GCCGGGGGGCTTCAAGGAGGACGGAGGTGCCGCGGGGGGCTCCCTGGGAGTCCCCGGAACCGCGATCGCCGGCGTGGGACCGCCGGCGACCGGGTAAGTACCGAAAGACCGGAGGGCGTACTATTACGCCCGGCGGCGTTTAGAGCCGCCTATAATAGGGCGTAATAGTACGCCCTCCGGTCTGAAGGGGTTAAATCATACTTACTTTAGCTTTGAGTTACAATTGTAACATTTATTTATCCTTTTATTTAAAATTCCTGCCACTGGTGTATATCGAGTGAACAGGGTTACCACGCCCACCTCCTCTGATTGGCTCAACACGTAGGGGAGGTTAACTGTCACTCTTCCACAACCTGTGGGCTTTTGATTGGAGGGCTTCAACTTAGGGGTGTGTCTATATCCCTTTATAACTGCTTCCCGTGTCACTTACCAGGTAGCTCTTGACAAAGGCGTATCTAAAACGCCAAAACGCGTGTCGAGATATTTTCTAGCCGATGCTATTATACTTAATTGATTTTTTTCACTCTATCTTCTTCATTTACCTGGGTTTCCATAGCGCATGTATTGCGCTCATACTTTCTTCTGATACAGACTTAGGGATTTGGATAGGCTGCCACGAAGCAGCAGTCAGTTTTGCTGTCTCCTCTAGGATAGTTAGTCTTTTTAGGGTGACTTAGGGGGGTTTCTCTAATTTTTTCTGTGGGTTATTAGCCCCCTTTTTCCTTTATTATAAGGTAACTCTGTTATCTAGACAACCTATAATCGGCTTGGGCGCCCCCCACTAGTTGCCATTAACCCTGTCCTTACTAGTCGATACTTTTGTGGACTTTGTTTCAACACTATACTCTCTCTATCTATTTTCTCAGTCGTGTCTCTCTATTTAATGGACCTAGACTAACCTGCGTTGCCACACATTTACTAGATTATTTGGGTGTACCTTTACATCTTTATCAATCTGTATGTACTTTGCAGGATTAGCCTCTCCCAGGCTTTTATAGGTTTTCGAGTTTAACTTATAATCAATACACTATTTTGGTGTATGGTAATAGTACTTAGTTCCATATACCATTTTTAGCATTGTTTCTAATAAAGGTTGTTTACCCTGTTTTATGTGACTATTTACAATATGAGGTACTTTTGAATGAGGCTAGGTACTCCACCCACCTTTTTGTGAGTGGACTGCCTGCCCAATTTTTTGTCTCTTTTTTTCTGAAAAGGGATATTATTATTATTATTGCCATTTATATAGCGCCAACAGATTCCGTAGCGCTTTACAATATTATAAGAGAGGGGATTCAACTATAAATAGGACAATCACAAGAAATCTTACAGGAACGACAGTAAGAAGAGGACCCTGCTCCAACGAGCTTACAGTCTATAGGAGGTGGGGTGTAAAACACAATAGGACAGGAAATAGCAATCAAATAAGGTGAAGCAGAGCTGGAAGACACAGTAGAGTGCTGCCTTTTAGGAGAGAGCAAGAGACAGGTATGACTCCTATAGGATACAGAAAGCCAATGTAAGGACTGACAGAGGGGTGAGGTGAAAGAGGACCGACTAGAGAGGAAAATCCGTCTGGCGGCAGCATTCATTACACACTGTAGCAAGGCAGTATGGTTTTCGGGAAGACAAATTAGGAGAGGGTTACAATAATCCATGCGGGAAATTAATAGAGCATGGACAAGCTCCTTAGGAGCATTTTGCATAAGAAAGGGCCAGATGCGGGCTATGTTTTTTAGATGGAATCTACAGGATTTGGTTAAATGCTAGCTCAAAAAAAGAGGCCAGATTCAAGTATGACACCAAGACAGCACACTTGCAAGGATGGACTGATGTGGATACCACTAACTTGAAGGGAGAGTGAAAGAGAAGGATCAATATTAGGAGGAGGAAAGACAAGGAGCTCAGTTTTAGAGAGATTGAGTTTCAGAAAGCGGGAGGACATCCAGTCAAAGATGGAAGAAAGGCAAGCAGTGACACGTTGCAGGAGAGAGGTCCAGGGAGGAGAGATATATCTGAGTGTCATCAGCGTACAGGTGGTAGTGAAATCCAAATGAGGTAATAAGTTTGCCAAGAGAGGCAGTATAAAGAGAAAATAGAAGGGGACCAAGGACAGAGCCTTGGAGGACTCCAACCAAGACAGGACGAAGGGCGGAGATATCATTAGAAAAGGAGACACTGAATGAGTGTTGGGAGAAATAAGAGGAAAACCACAAGAGAACAGAGTCACAGAGACCGAGTGATTGAAGAGTTTGAAGAAGGAAAGCATGATCAATGGTGTCAAAGGCCGCAGAGAGGTCAAGAAGAATTAGTTTGGAGTAGTGGCCTTTTGATTTAGCTGTGATTAGGTCATTAGTAACTTTGATAAGAGCAGTCCCAGTAGAGTGGAGAGGGCGGAAGCCAGATTGAAGAGGGTAAAGACAAGTCTTTCCAGAAGCTTTGAGGAAAAAGGGAGCAGGGATATAGGACGATAGTTAGAGGGGGATGATGGGTCAAGAGATGTTTTTTTCAGGATAGGTACTACAGTGGCATGTTTAAGGTCAGCAACACCAGAAGAGAGAGAGCAGTTCAAGATGTGTGTTAAGGAAGACACAGGATGGGGGGGGGAGAGATCTGACAAGATAAGTTGAGATGGGACAGGATTGAGCGGGAAAGTGGTGGGGCGAGAGGAAAGGAGAAGCACGGCCATCTCTTGTTCAGTAGCCAGGGAGAAAGTTGGAAGGGTAGGAAAGGCATGATCAACGTGTGGTTGAGAAAGAGAACGACAAGGTGGGGAGAATTCTTTCCTTAGCTGTTTTTATCTTGTCGGTAAAGTTATTGGCTGTAAGGTTAGTTTGGGGGGTGGCCACAGCAGGGCGAAGAAGAGAGTTAAAGATGTCAAAGAGATGCCTGGGGTTGCGGGAGCATGAACTAATGAGAGAGGAAAAGTATGACTGTTTGGCAAGGGCTGGGCTGCATTGTATGAACACAATATGAAGGTAGTGCAGGTAATGTGCAATTATGCACTACCAAATGTTTTGCATCAAAACGTCCACCCAACATTTTTTGGGGGGGTTTGAAAAGTAGTATTTCATAGCTCTTAATTGTTCTGGATCTGGCCTTATTCTAGTATTTTGTGTTAATTCCCAGGTGCATCAGAAAATGCACTTGCATTATGCAAAGGAACACTAGTGTCAGAAAGTAACTACATTATTAAAATAATGTAGTAAAGGACCACTATAGTGCCAGGAAAACATACTCGTTTTCCTGGCACTATAGTGCCCTGAGCTCTCCTCCTCCTCGGCTGAATGCGCATGCGCGGCAGGAGCCGCGCGCGCATTCAGCCAGTCCATAGGAAAGCATTTACAATCACAGTGAGAAGCACGCAAGCGCCTCTAGCGGCTGTCAAGAGACAGCCACTGGAGGCTGGATTAACCCTAACATAAACATAGCAGTTTCTCTGAAACTGCTATGTTTATAAAAAAAAAGGGTTAACCCTAGCTGGACCTGGCACCCAGACCACTTCATTAAGCTGAAGTGGTCTGGGTGTCTATAGTGGTCCTTTAAGATCACTGTGTTCCCCTCCCCCCGATCTCATGGGAAAGATGTTTTTACTCACCATTTTTCTTACACCGCTCTCGCCCCGTTTCCCATGGGAAAGCATTGTGAGGCTATTGCACATGTACGGCAAAACGCAGCGCTGCACCAATCGGCAACTTCTTGTAAAGATGCACTGAATCAATGCATCTCTACGCGGAACGTATGCAGAGTGTGGAGACACTGACCACTAGCAAGCTCCTCTAGTGGCCATCTCAGTATCTCAGTGACTGTCACTAGAGGTGTTTCTAGGTAGAAATGTAAACAAGCATTTACAGTGCTCAGCCTGCCGGCAATAGACACCAGAAGTACTACATTAAGCAATAGTGGTTCTTGTGCAGTGGCGTACACACAACCCATGGGGCTATGTTTCACTGAGGGTTAATCCAGCCTCTAGTGGCTGCCTCATTGACAGTCGCTAGAGAAGCTTCCGCGATTCTCACTGTGAAAATCACAGTGAGAAGACGTTGAACGTCAATAGGAAAGCATTGAGTAATGCTTTCCTATGGGCGGTTTGAATGCGTGCGCGGCTCTTGACGCACATGCGCATTTGGAGCTGAGAAGCGGATCGGGGCAGAGAGATCCCCAGCGCCAAGGGAGTCCGGCGCTGGAGAAAGGTAAGTGCTGAAGATACACACACTCTCACGAACAGATGCATATACACTAGCTAACAGACACACACACTCTCACACGCATACACACTAGTTAACAGACACACACATTTACTGACAGACACACACTCAGTGACAGACATACATACACACTCACTTACAAAACACAAACTCACTAACAGACACACAGTAACACACACACTCTTACACTAACACACTAACACACACATACTCTAACACTAACACACACGTTTTTTTTTTTTTAAATTTAATCCCCCCAGCCTCCCTACCTTTGGGAGCGCTGAGGGGATTCCCTGGGGTCCAGTGGTGTCATCCGGCAGGCAGGCACGCGAGGGAGCACTCTCCCCTGAGTGCTTCCTGTTCAGCTCCCTTGCGCGCACCGCACTGATGCAGGAGCCGGAATATGATGTCATCTTCCGGCTCCGGTATCAGTGCGGTGCGCGAGGGAGCTGTAGAGGGAGCACTCAGGCGAGAGGGCTCCCTCGCGTGCCTGCCTGCCGGGTGACACCAGGGCCAGCCTCGGGGGCGTGGCCGGCTCCTGGGCCCCCCAGGAGCAGAGGCTGGCCACAGTGGCATACATAACGGGTTGCAGGGCGGCCGGGCCCCCTGGTGGGCCGGGCCCGGCCGCGACCCCGGTATGTACGCCACTGTTCTTGTGACTATAGTGTTCCTTTAAGCCCATGACCAGAGTTCATTGTTACAATCATAATAGATGACACACAACAGATCTTTTTCTTTATGCTTTAAAACCAGATCATTTGTGAAAGAAAAATAACACAATAGTCCTTTTAGCGATAATATAGTATTAATGTTTATTAAGAAGGATTTTACAAAATAAAAAGCACTAATAAATATAAATCTATTGGTTTTCTACTTCATTAATATATATCAATCCTTCAATCAATAACCTTTTGAAAAACAAACACACCTGTGACTTGCTGCATATCACCAGAAAAATCTGCTTTCAATGCTCACACTATTCTAATATGCCCAGCATACCAAAGCTCTGGAATGCAGCCACACCCTGTTAGACGTTCTCATTGCGAGGAGAAAAACAATATATAGGTAAGTGTTAGGAAATAGAGATGACGTCTCCACCTTATGGCCACTCCCTTGTTCACCACCTCTCTCTTTCCAAAGTTGTCAGGACTTAGCTCTGTCCTTTCTGAAAACGCCTTGGCAGGAGTATTGCAGTTACCAGCAACTGTTACCTTCTGGCGTGCAGAGATAATCCTGCAGTCAATGCCAAGGCCTTCTCCACTGCGCACGTTTTGCAAAAGCTCTGAATAAACTGATGGTGTGTCTTAGACATCAACTTAAAAACCAACAAAAACAACTATAAAGACATACATATTTCATTGTCTGAATAGATATCAAGATTACATACATATATTAGACATACATACAATGTGAAGATAATTACATTGCATGAATTAAATTAGGGCAGTGTAAAGAAGACGGACAACTAAAGGAGAGGGGAGGAGACCTTTATAAGCTCAAATCAGATCAACTCTGGGTCTCAGCTCCCCAATTATGAAATTGCATCTACAGCCTTTATCCAGTTATCTCAAATACAATATTTTTATCGTTTCACACAAAAATTAGACACAATTTTGCATCCCATTTTACACTGAAATTTAACCCGCTCTTTGATTTGTGGCCATAGTTCAACCTTAGATGTTTTACAATTTGTGTCAATTGAGCCTTTAAAATGTGGATCAAAAGCCATTTTTTGATTTTCAATAAGGGTGGCAATTTCAGATGTAATATAACCATTTCTTCCGTCTACACGTTTCAGGCCTAAAAGTTTGTTTTCAAACACCACAAGTGTTTCCCAACCAGATTTAATCAGGGGGTATTCCCACCATATGTGTAATTTGTCGGCTGTGTCCGAACCACATCTCCAACAAAGACATTTATCATGGGGGTACATCTTATTTTTTTTAAATTCTTTATTTATTGGCAAATGGCACGACTGCACATACATAGATACATGTTGCCAGTTTTTTATAATGAATATAGAGTTACAAGCCTTGCATGCGATATCATTAGATATGTAAGTAAGCCTTCTTCATATACAGATAGAGAATACAGTTACAGTGAACTGCTCAAGAATAAGTAAGGAAATATATATTTGCATATTATTTAATTTTAGGGGTGTTAAAAAATCTTTTAAGTCTCCTTTTTATTAAGGCATTGAACTGGTGAATACACCGTTCGTTTATAATGCAGCCTACCTGTAATATACCTCTGTAATATTGATTTTTTTTTTTTTTTAATTTCTAGTCCACCTGTCTTTTGCCTTGGGGATAATATTCCCATTAGTGGCTTGCATTATAGCAATGCATTTTAAATCCTTTCCTAATTCAATAATGTTATTTATTTTATCCACTATGTCACTTGAGGTTTTTTTTATATATATTGAGGTCTTTAAAAACGTTACTAATTCTAATATAATAAAATATCAGACCAGATTGATTCCAAAGCATGAGATTTTTGTGATACCCTGCAGTATACAGTGACAAATCCAAATTCTCGCACATATTCATAGGGTATGTAAGTGGAAGAGATGGTAAGATTTTGGTATTTCAATTCATATATCTTTTAAAACTATTCCAGAAAGTCCTACATGCATTAATGAGGAATCTATGTAGTATAGGTTAATACTTATACCCAACCCAATTCCTCCCTGTTTCTTATTAAAGGGACCCTATAGTGCCAGTAAAATAATAGATCAGGGTGGTGCAGTAGACATTGCTTACCTAGATTTCAGTAAGGCTTTTGACACTGTTGCACACACAAGGCTTATCAACAAACTGCAATCTTTAAGTTTGGATTCCAATTTTGTTGAATGGGTAAGGCAGTGGCTGAGTGACAGGCAACAGAGGGTTGTAGTTAATGGAATATATTCGAAGCTTGGACTTACTGCTGATGATACTAAGATTTGTAACACGGTTGATGTTCCAGAAGGGATAAGCTAAATGGCAAATGATTTAGGTAAACTAGAAAAATGGAGTTGTGGCAACAGACATTTAATGTGGATAAGTGCAAAATAATGCATCTTGGACATTAAAACCCAAGGGCAAAGTACAGAATATTTGAAAGAGTCCTAACCTCAACATCCGAGGAAAGGGTTTTAGGGGTAATTATTTTTGAGGACGTAAAGGTAGGCAGACAACGTAATAGAGCAACAGGAAATGCTAGCGGAATGCTTGGTTGTATAGGGAGAGGTATTAGCAGTAGAAAGAGGGAAGTGCATGTCATTGTACAGAACACTGGTGAGACCTCACTTGGAGTATTGTACACAGTACTGGAGACCGTATCTTCAGAAGGAAATTGATACTTCAGAGAGAGTTCAGAGAAGGGCTACTAAACGGGTTCATGGATTGCAGGATAAAACTTTCAAGTAAAGGTTCAAGAATCTTAACATGTATAGCTTGGAGGAAAGACGAGAAAGGGGGCATATGATAGAAACATTTAAATACATAAAGGGAATCAACACAGTAAAGGAGGAGACTATATTTAAAAGAAGAAAAACTACCACAACAAGAGGACAATGTCTTAAATTAGAGGGGCAAAGGTTTAAAAATATCAGGGTAGTGGATGCATGCAATAGCCTTCCAGCTGAAGTGGGAGAGATTAACACAGTAAGGGAGTTTAAGCATGCGTGGGATAGGCATAAGGCTATCCTAACTAAGATAAGGCCAGGGACTAATGAAAGTATTCAGAAAACTGGGCAGACTAGATGGGCCGAATGGTTCTTATCTGCCGTCACATTCTATGAAAACAAAGCCGTTTTTCTAGCAATACAGGTTTAATAGATCCCCCACCCCCTTGAAGCTGAAGGGGTTACGAACCCTTCAGTCACTTACCTGAACCCAGCGCCGATGTCCCTCGCCGCTGGGTCAGGCTCCACCTATGCTCTTCCCTTGCCGACGTTAGCCAGCAGGGGAGACCTAATTAGCATGCACGGCAATAGCCGCGCATGCATTAGATCTCCCCACAGGAAAGCATTATTCAATGCTTTTCTATGGGGGAAAATCTGAGGCTGAAAGTCCTCATGCAGAGCGTGAGACGTCCAGTGTCAGATAATGGACCAAAGGTTCGTTTGGATTCCTGAAGCGCCCCTAGTGGCTGAACTGCATGGTGTATTACAGTATATTATTCACTACCTCACCTCCCAGCTAAGCTCTGCATTTGGGGACTCACAGAGAGGGGTGACATAAGATTGTGACATGGTACATCACTAGCTGATGTCTTCGGCTGCAGAAGACGGTAGGTAGTGACTGCGAGATGTAAGTTATTGTAAACTACAACACCGACACCGATTATCAAAAAATATGCCGAATATCAGCATTAATGCATCGGTGCAAAGATAATGTCTATCATTACTTTTTGCATGTATCCCCCCCCCTATAAAACACGTTTCCATTGTGAGCAGAGCAGACAAGTAACTTGAGGACAGCACCACAAATACCACGGCAAGCTGTAGTAGTTATGGTATTCAGAGAGTCCTTTAACAACACATGAATTTGGCAAATATGAAAATGGCTAAATTGAAAGCCATGTCCAACAAATAAGATGGCACAGCAAGAGATCAGCTTTAGCTGCATTACGTGCTCTTGTTAGTCTTCTCAAATCCTTTTTAATAATTTTTTTTTTTTTTGTTTATTCCAAGTATTAAAGAATTCAGAATTTCTCATTGTTATAGCACTCAAAACCGACATATTTCTAGACAGGAATGTGAATGTATGTAAAAAAAGCTGCATTTAGACATTGCATAAAAAAACAACAAAAAAAAAAATATATAATAAAATAAGTAACAATAGAATGCCCGTGACGCCCAAAACGCTCAGAATTCCATCCTCCTCTGGAATACATGCCAACGCTCTGCTTTCAGCGACCTACTCATTTCCCGTCTTCCTTTGCGTGCCATCCGCCAGCGCCATCTCTCCGCACACTGATGACGTCGCTCAACGCGTCACCGGCAGACTGAGCAGTGGTCCACCGATGATGACGCGATTCTCCCGACGCATCTCGGTTGAAGTCGTTGGATGCTGGAGCTATCTTGGTCTCGTGAAGTGGCATGTTCACCCCGCGTGTCCCCCATGCGATCAGGGCCCCCCGCCGGTAAGTAGTCCCCCCTCCTCTCCCCCTGCAACTATAAGCGGCAGCCATGTTCCATAAGTTGTGAATAAACTAATACAAACTGTAATGCTCACACTTTAACCAATGGGGAAAATACAATAACATGGGCCACACAGCCTGCCACCTTACTGCTGTCTGTACCAGGCACAAAGGGAGGTTTGCACTGCAGCTGGGAAGTCTTGGCTGTATTTCTGTATTACTTAAGACAGTGTGCTGTCTGAGACCATAAATGTAAACACAGAACCTGCTTGTAAGCACTTCTGGTGATGACTTACAAAAGATAAACACACCCAGACTGGCCAAGCTTCGTGGAGAATGCAGCAGAGAAAACAAATACTTCTGTGAGCACAATACTGGTTTATTCTTGTCAACAATGGCACTTTCCTGGATACTTTTTACAGCAGTGCTTCAGTAACCATAGCCAATGCTAGATCTAGGTGGCACAGAGTAGGTAGCATGCACATCATAACATTATGCAAACAGAACTAACTATGACATTTGTAGTGAACAGCCACTATCATATGGAGATCTGTGAATAGAATGCATCAGAAGAATTCTTATTAAAGTAGGGAATCAGTCTGGAAATGCTGTATTGTCTCTGTGTTATTTGGGTCGATCAACTGCTGATTTTGTTAAGATCAAATCGTGCTTGTGCGGTTTAAAAATAGACTCCTGTTTTAAACAAAAATGTGCATTCACCACATTTTATATGAACCCCAAAGCATATGGAGTATGATGCTTGGACTGAGAATCAAAACAAATGACTGCAAGTGCAAAACAGAGCCAAGTAGCAGAATGTTGTTACAACAGAAATAAACCCTGAAATATCACAGTACTTGAACCACCGTTGGAACCAATTACAGCCTCAATTATTTTAGAGGATGATGGAACAAGCTTTTCATTCCTGGATTTGTGTAGTTTCTGTGTTCAGCTCTGTAGATCCTCTCAAGCTTCGTCAGGTTGGATGTGGCCATTTGTGAACAGAGATTTTCAATTGGACTCAAGACTGGGCTCTGGTTTGGCCACTCAAGGACATGCACATAGTTGTCCCTGTGCTACTCTGAGTTCTGAGTTCCAGACTACTCTGGATTAGGTTTTCAGTAAAGGGAAATTCCACTGCACAAATACAGAATAAATAAAAATCTTTGTTTAGTAGATATAGCCCCAACAAAAACATGCTTGCATTTAATTATGCATTTCTTCATTGGATGTGTATCTAAATATGGCTTGCAAAACATACATTGCCCAGTCTTTCTATGGCTGTCCAATCACACACTTCCCAATGCAGCTCAGTGAGAAGTATTTGCAGGTCAGGTGCTCTGGGCAATTGCTGCCTCTTGAGTTTAGCTCCACTGAGCTAAACAAACCAAGAAGTAACAGGACCATATGCCTAATTGACAGCCATGGGTGTGTAGCAAGGTGAATTTATAAAAGTGCCAATTTCTATTGAAATCTGCACTTTTTGCAAAATGGCAAGAGAGGACACACACATCATTTCAGCAAGCTAAAGTGTTTTAAGGGTTTGGAGTGTTTCTTTAATGATATTTCCATATTTTGCTGTGTTCAGCTTTCCCTCAAGTGTGACCAGTCTCACACTTCCTGCAGCCGAAAAACACCCACAAAACGTGATGCTACCACCTCCACCTTTCACCTTAGGATGATATTGTACAGGTGGTGAGCGATGCCTGGTTTCCTCCAGACAGAACGCTTTCATGGTTATTCACTAAAGTGAGAATTCAAAGTGAATTTAAAATTTAAGGCAAAAAAAGTCAAACAGGAAAAAGTCTTTGTCAGCTGTGCATTGAATTTGGCTACATTGGCCTTAGATTTGAATGAGAAACCCTATTTGTTTTTGATACCAAATAGATTAATCTTTGTTTTATCAGACCAGAGAATCTTGTTCTCACAGCCTGAGAGTCCTTTAGGTCAGGGCTCGACTAATCCCAGGTCGCCATGGCGACAAGGATTTTAGCTGTAACCTCCCTTGCGCGTCCTCCAGTGATACCGGGAGCCGGAATATGACGTTATTCTGGCCCCGGTTTCACTAAGCGGCGCTCTATGGAGCAGAGCAGGGAGATGACTGAAGCCCCACTGGACCCAAGGGAAAGCCAAATTACTCCAGCTCCAGGTAGGGACGCTGGGTGGCCGCCTTAATGTGTGTTGTTATTGCAGTGACAGTGAATGTGTGTGTGAGTGTGTGTTTAGGTGACTGGTCTCCCTTCAATTACACGTGTAAAAGGTTTACTCACCTTTTTACCCCCACGCTGTGCTGGTCTCGCCGCAGCTTGCCCTGTCTCCATGACTGCGATCATCAATCTTTATAATCTCAGCCAATCCAATGCTTTCCCATAGGAAAGCATTGGGAGGCAATTGCACGTGTGGCAAAACTTCATGCTGCGCCAATTGAATGAATGCATCTCGATGGGGAACATTCAGCCCCTCCATGCAGAGCGTGGAGATGCTAAACTTAGGTGCTGCATACTGTGCAGCACTGACCCAGGAGACTGTCTAGAGGCCGTCTGTGACTTTCACTAGAAGTGTTACTAGGCAACAATGTAAATACTGCCTTTTCTTTGAAAAGGCAGGGTTTACATTGAAAAGTGTGGAGGGACAGGTTAAGCTGTAGTGGTTCTGGTGACTATAGTGTCCCTTTAAGAATTGTATTTTTGACATTGAAAAACCTGGCTCCTAACCTTTTTTGCTCCTATGTTCAAAGAAAATTTGTCAAACCCTACTTTAGGTGTGTTTTTTTTTTTTTTTTTAATTACAAGTAGGCTTTCATATGTCTTGCAGTAAGGAGATGATTTCTGTTTGACCAGTGTGCAATAAAGACCAGATTGATGGAGTGTTGCAGTTATGATTGTAGTTCCACAAGACTCTACTGTCTTCACACATGATTTCTGGAGTTCACCCAGAGTGATCATTGGGTTCTTAGTAACATCTCCTAAAAAGGATTTCTCAGAAAGAGTCCTGGTCGTTCCAATCTTCTTCAATTTAAATGGACAGTATAGGCACCTAGACCACTTCAGCTCATTGAAGTGGTCTGGGTGCAGTGACTCAGTCCCCTTAGCACTGAGATAGAAGACACTTTAGTGGCTGTTTGAGTGATTGATACTAGAGGTGTTACTAGACAGCAATGTAAACTCTGCCTTTTCTCTAAAAAGCCTGCAGGGACAAGCTATAGACACCAGAGCCACTACATTAAGCTGTAGTGGTTCTGTCAACTATAGTGTTCCTTTAAGAATTGTATTTTTGACACAAAACCTTAAAACCTGGTTCCTAACTTTTTTTAGCTGGCTCCTAGATTCAAAGCAAATTTGTCAAATCCTGATCTATATATATATATATCTATATATATATATATATATATCTATATATATATATATATATATATATATATATATATATATATATATATATATATATATATATATATATGTATAAAATAAAATTTTAAACAGGAAGGACACATTGAGATTTCTCTCGTTTTCAATTGTGTCCTGTTCCCACTAACACTTCATTGTTACAAAAAGTATAGGGTACAATGTAATATAAAATAATATTAATACACAACACATATATAAATTTAACACAGAACAGGTAAGTAATGCAATCAACCATGATTACAGGTGCAATCTGTTTTGAGATATGTAGAGAGGGATCTCTTCAAGGATTTTAGGCTGGGGGGAGATTTGAAAGTGTCCGGGAGGTTATGTCATAATTGTGTTACACTGTAGGAAAACGAGATCGAGTCCCTGTCTTTTTGTATTGAGGTAGACTAAATAAAATGCCGGTATTGGATTGGCGGTTATAGGAGGTGGAACCTTCCCGGGGAGAGCATTCTGCTCAGGTAGAGTGGGAGCTTCCAAGTAAAGCTCTTAAACAGAAGGCTGGAAAGATGAAGGGCGCGTCTGGATTTCAGCGATAGCTAGTTCAGTTCTTTTAACACGGTCATGTCCAAAGTCCGGCTGCGGGCCAATTGCGGCTCGTGTTCCGGTTTAATACGGCCCCACAGGTTATTAGCTAATCCTATCTGTTGTGATCCCCAGTGAATCCCCGAGCGCTGCTCAGGATCCCTGGATCTTTGAATGCCGCGGTCCTGAGCGGCGCGCAAGGATTCACTGGGGACCAAGAGGTTGCGAGAACGCAGACGGACGTGCAGTCACTGCTCGTCCTCAGTCTGAGTTCTCGCGATCTCTTGGACTTCGACATCGCGGGATTTGGTTTGGAGGCAGAGAATGAAGGGGCAGAATAAAATAAAGACATTGTATTCAATCCCTCCCCTTGTTATACATCATCCTGTTCCTTCTCTACTGTTACACACAGCTTTACCTCTTGCCACATCATACACATTTTTTAACTCTCTTGTCATCTCTCCTCCTCGTTATTCACCATCCTGCCCACCTCCCTGCCATCTCTCACCCCCCAGAATAAAAGAGAAGGGAAAGAATGAATGGACAGAATAAAAAAGAGAAGGGAAAGAAAAAATGGACAGAATAAAAGAGATAAGGGAAAGAATGAATGGACAGAATAAAAGAGAGAAGGGACAGAATAAAAGAGAGAAGGGACAGAATAAAAGAGAGAAGGGACAGAATGAATGGACAGACTAAAGAGATGAAATGAAAAGTATGCCGCTTGCAATAAATTGTGCACAAAATAGTTAATTTGCATTTCATTTTAATGGTTCAAAGAATGTCAGGAAAATGGTCTGCCCTCACGCATGTTCACTTCATCAAATCTGGCCCTATTTGAAAAAAAGTTTGGACACCCCTGTTTTAATATGTCACAATGGTGAGTCCTGTATCACATTGTGGAAGAATGAGTTATACAATGTAGCAAGTTTGCGGTGCAGGTGCATACACTACAAACCTATACTCAATGACTGGCATTAGGATTTGAATTTGTACAATATGTTTCTTTACTGTGGGGTTTAGGCAGTATTTATTTCTATCCAGGGCAGCTAGGTTTTGATATAGTTTTGATGAGTTTTTCAATGTGGAGGACAAATGATAGATTGGGGTCTAGCATCATATCTAAGTATTTGAAAGAATGGACTGCGGTCAGTGTGTTATTTGATTTTGTTCTGATGCATTGATGGGAATTTTTTTTTGTAATTTAATTTAAGTACTGTTCCAAAGATCATTGGGACAGTTTTGTAAGTGTTTAGGAAAAGCTTGTGTTTTGTGAAACACTTTCCTACCTCTGTGAACTGGTCTTGGCGCACAGCCTCCAATTTATTTCTGCTTTTTTTTTAATAAAATTTTTTTTTATATTGAGCACGTTTAGGACTGGGTAGATATATTCCTTTGTTCTAGTGCCAATGCCCACATATTATTGCTTGTTTGGACATTTTACTTGTTGTAGTGTTTATAGTGCCAAGGCCCCACTGTTGCCATCCAGCGGTAAGTTGTCAAGCTGCTTACGAAGAGTTTTAACTGTTCCCTAGCTTTGTTGGCACCCATGGTTTTCAATCTGCATTGATATGCTAATGCAGCTTTGGCATTACCAAATTTGGATATTATTTAGTGGCTGAACAAAAGCATGAACTTACGATTTAGCATATCAGTATAGTGCGAAAGGACTATGGGTATCCGGCATAACCAGATAAGTGTCAAGTCATTGGTACTTAAAGTATCTCTTTACTAGAGATAAAATGCTGTTGAGATTTTTTTTTTAATTACACTACAAATTGTGGAACATTGGGTATTCTAAACTGTAGGTCAAAGTAGCTGATTAGGACATTTTCTAACTCATTTTGACATAAAAAAAGTTGAGCACATTTATGTGCATGCAGGGAATTGCTATTAGTGTAATTTAGTTTGGACTGGAGCCCTCATTAGGGGTTGACAAGAACCTGGCTGTTAGGGTTTCACGGAGCTACTGATTAGCACAGTTTGCATCGTGCCTCTTTTCCACTTATATAGACAGGATTGTTTAATGCTATGATTTCATCAGTGGTCTCTTGAGATTGTTGAGGTTTGACATTGATCAATTTTACTTTGTTTCTGCTAGATAGGACTGACATGTTTTATCACTGCAGAGATCTGCAATATCCCGCTTGAATAGCCACCTGATCGGCAAAGCGGTCATTGGAGCTTCATTTTGGCTGGCCTATCTGCTTGTTATTTTTGTATTACCAGTGCGGTATGATGATCTGCCACACTATTATATAGTTATTACTTTTCTCTACTTTGTCTTCTGGTTAAGGTGCCCTCGAAGGCACAGCAGGGCAAGACAGTAATTTATCACAGGCTCAATTACATCTCTGTTTTCCTTTCTCTGTAGGAATACTTCCTTATATGGTACTTTTTTTCTTCTCACATTAATAAGTTATATAGTACGGTAGGGTCGAAACATTGCTCCTTTTTCCCCAATAAAGCTGATATTTTTGTTCAGTGCCTGAACTGTTATTTATTCTGCCTATCTTGGAAGGGAGGCTTGGCCAGCCCGCTTTGGAGCATCTGGGTTATTTGGTGAGTGTGGTATCCAGTATGTCTCTATTAAAATAAGTATGTCTGATGCTATCTTTCCTTACTATCCAAGACAAAAGGAGAGACTACTTGGGGGAATTCACAAAACTCAGAATTTTTTCAAAATAAATCCAAATGGCAAAACTAAACCAAAAATACACATTAACGTTAGCAAAGTTAGAGAATATATATCCAGATCAGCTTTTTTTGCCTCTATTGTTTTCCATTCAGTTTTAATATGTGAGTTTAGCAAACAGCCCAGTCAATGTCAGGGCTCGGAGCAGTGGCACTAACCTTTGTAATTTATATTATTTTAATTTTTTTGTCAGGACAAGTAGATTATCATGACGGACAAGTAGATTGGGCTGCTGTTTTTTGTTTTGTTTTGTTTTTTACTCTTCTTCCCTGATTTTTATTAAACTTTACTGCCAGATAATGTAGGATAGGTTTTAAAGTCCCGCAGCAAGTTAGAAGGTGCATGAATCCCACAGCCATTTATTTTGAAGGTGGAGTCCCTCCTTTTATCAAGTAGTCCCTATCTTTATATTGCATTGGAATTTCAATTAAATTTCAACGCAATCAGCATTGATATTCCTTAAAGATGTTATCTTGATGAAATACTTACCAGTGACTGAACCTCTAACTTTTTTTTTTTTAACCAACGATGTTTGTCTGCAAACAGTACCACCATGGTTTATCCAGCGCTGTGCTAATTTAGCACTAGTGGTGAATAATGACCATGGTTAGTGCTAGTGAATAACATTCCATTTTTCTTCTAGTTTACGAGCGTAACTGACATTGTGAATTATGTTGCTTTTAACTCCAACTGGTACATCAACATTTTTTTTTTCCATAAATGGGTTTTGTGTGTAACTTCCCTTATATACTCAATAGATTCATTCATTTTTGATGGTGAGAGAGCCTATAGAAGTTAGAAGAGACATGCAAATAAGTACTTGTACCGACATTGACATCATTGAGCAGAGAGGTTATGTAATTTAAGGAATGCAAGTCTTTTCTATTAATCCCTCCTTTTTATCCCGAATACAGTGTGGAGTGCTTCTATCCGCTAGAACTGAACTCGTTGGAGGAGTTTAGTAGACAAGCACCGTTATTTTTACTACATGTTTAAGTTAATTACTCTCAACTAGCCTGCCTGATGAGCTGTAAACTGCACAGTCATTAAACACTGTCTGTTTATCTTAGATTAACTTTAAAGTAAATGTGTGTGTGTATAGACAACAGTGCTGCCATAATAACTTTTATTAGGTTGACAGTATTTTACAGTGACAGTCGTGAAAATAGATATGTGCATGTATGTATATGTATTTTTATTTATCACTGGCATTTATAAAGTGCCAACATATTCTGCTTTGTGTGTATGTGTATTTTATAACAAAGGCTGCAGACTTTAAAGGGAGTTGACTCATTCTACATTATATGTATGCAGGAAACAAAAAAGGTTGAGAGATCAGTCTTTGCAGATACTGCAGTCACCAAACCAGGAAGTACCTCAGTCAATCATGCTTTCTTAACTCTGTAGCATTGCTGAGGTTATCTAATATATTATTATTAGTATTTATATAGCGCCATCTTATTCTACAGCACTTTACAATGAGAGGAGAATTTACTAAATGAGACAATAACAAAATGTAACAGGAACAATAGATAGTTGAGGACCCTGCTCAAACAAGTCTAGAGGAGGTGGGGTATAAAAACACAATAGGAAGGGTATTGAGGCAAACAGCAAATATTTATAGTGCTTTATGGGCACAGCAAGGGCATTTAGTAATTTCAGTTCAATTATCAGATTTCTACTGTGTAAAGTTAAAGGGACACGCTAAGCACCAGAACCACTACAGCCTAATGTAACAGTCTTGATGCAAAGATCCTTTCCCCATGTAAGCAATGTGTTTTCTGTGATATCTAAAGATGACTTCTAGTTATTTTACCTAAAACTCTCCCACATGATTTCCTCCATCTTCTTTCTTCAGCTCTGGCGCTGAATCTGCCAAGAGCTCACATCATTCACGCACAAGATTATAGCACAGACGTTTCTGGAGGATCTTGTTGGACTGCAGGATCCACCATAGACTAAGCCTGTCGATCTGCAGTTTTCCACAGTTGTTGCCATCTAATTAAGAAATGTTGACCAAAGAAGCTCTGCCTTTTGTCAACTTTTGTCACTTTCAGGCTTGACTATAATACAAAGGACTTTCTCTGATAACCTACGATTGCGCTGAAATTACGTGTAATTCTAATGCAGTCATGCATATGAGTATTTTACAAATATATCTTTAAAAATATTCAAATTATATTTCAGTGACATAGCTGCTTTTATTTTATTTTTCACATAAATATGCGTTTGCTTTATAATTTAGAAATATTAACATTAATGTAAGAATTTACAGAACTTTTAAATATGCTAGCAATTTTAGACGGTGCTGACCTTACAGGTGCGTGCGTGCGTGTGTGTGCCACATTGCAGATTGTGCAGTAGTGAGTTTAGAAGCTGAAGAGCCATGCTTAAAGACAATCTTCGCAATCATTAGCTTAGCAGTGATGCATTGCACCATTGTTATGGAGTTATTGGGGATATCAGAGGATATTGGCTCTTTAAGCCCTGTCTGACACAGTTCAAATGTTTCTGACCTTCCCCACTGTGCCATTTTAAAGGCCCCACAAACTGCAAGGGAGTAGAAACGCAGAGAAATGAGTCATACCGAGCTCTTTGAGCTCTTTTCTCAGACTTCCTCCTCTTCACAGATAAGAATGATCACATTGCTAAGGGAGGTGAAGTAGTGTGATGGGTGTTCAGTTAATGTGTATTTGTTTACCGTATTTATCGGCGTATAACACGCACCTCATTTTAAGAAAGACATTTCAGGAAAAAAAAACTTAAATTTCAAATTTCTTACTCCCCTCTTCTTACCCCCCTTTCTTACTCCCCCCCTCTTACCCCCTCCCCCTTTTCCTTCTTACCCCTTCTTACTCCTACCCCCTTTCTTACTCCCCCCTCCCCTAACTCCCTCCCTCTTCTTACCACCCTTTCTTACTTCCCCCCTCTTCTTACCTCTATTTACCCCTTCTACCCTCCCCTCTTCTTACTCCCCCTCTTAGTGCTAGTGAATAACATTCCATTTTATTCTAGTTTACGACGTAACTGACATTGTGAATTATGTTGCTTTTAACTCGTGGCCGAGCTGCTCTGCTGTCTGCGGTGGCCGGCTGGAGTGATAGGAAGGTGCACGCTCAGTGTGCACCTTCCTGTCAGTCCGACCGGGTACAGGAAACAGAAACTCGCACGGAACAGGAGTTTCTGTTTCCTGTACCCGGTCGGACTGACAGGAAGGTGCACACTGAGCGTGCACCTTCCTATCACTCCGGCCGGCCACCGCGGACAGCAGAGCAGCTCGGCCACGCTACAGGGGAGGGGAGGTGAGAACCAACGGCAGCCGCCTGACCGCTCTTGACAGAGCGCTCAGGCGGCTGCAGCATTTAAAGGGCCGGCGTATAACACGCACCCATAATTTTCCCCCTATTTTCATGGAGAAAAACTGCGTGTTATACGCCGATAAATACGGTAATTATTTTTGAGCATTCATTCACCCGTCTTTGATTATTATCATTTTACATTACATTACATTAAATTGGGTTGTGGCACTGAAGAGTATCACTCATAGGTTTCCCACAAGGTCCCTTTGCCTAAATTGGCCATGGTTTTAGGAACCCATTCTTAAGCATCTTTTTATAAAATATGTATGATTAACAATATTAAAATAGCATTTAGAAAGACACTTTCATTATACCTTTTCATTTTTTTCATTGCTCCAGGAAAATAAAGGATGCTACCTTAAACAACTCCTGTAAGCACTAGCCTTAAAGACACACTCTTAGTACCAAAACCGCTAGATCTTAATTTTGTTTTGGTGCTTTTAGACTCTTTTTCCATTTCTCTTCCCTAAGCTTTCCATTGTCATCCAGTTCGAAGTCATCACACACAGCATGATTATTATTTTATTATTTACAAAGCACCACCGTAGCGCTGTACAATGGGCTGTAGCGCTAGAGTCCTCAAATCAAAAGCTAGGCCAGTGCAGCACCTAAGATCAGCTCTGAAGGATCCCCATAGAAATGCATTGATTCAATTCATATCTATGAGGAGTTGCTGAATAGTGCAGCGTTTTGCCACACTTGCACAATAGCCTCCCAGTGCTTTCCTATGGGAAAGTGTTGGATTGGCTGAGATCATTAAGATAGGTTTTTTTTTTTTTTTCAGCCATATAGTTAGGGCCATCCGTGGCAAGACCGGCACAGTGTAGGAAAAAGGTTAGTACAAACAACTTTCCCATGCGATTGAAGGAGGGGTCGGTCACCTAAACACACACTGACTGACAGGCATACAGACACACGTTCTCTTACACACTCACAAATTATTTGTTTTAAAACAATTTATGTTGATCCAGCCTTTCTACTTTTGCTGTCATCTTCCTGCTCTTCTTTCTCTGCTACCTCGGATGCTGTTTACTGATGCTGGTGCAGGAGGCATCACAGCAGGGCACACACGGAGAGAGCAGGAAGATCACAACTCCCTCATCCATCCACCTCGCAGGCCCCCAAGACGGCCAGGGATAACAAACACTCAGGCAGCAGGACAAAATTCCTGACCTGGTGAGCGTGTTTTAACCACAGCTGTTTTGTAGAAATGGCAGTGCACCCTTAACCCCTTAAGGACACATGACATGTGTGACATGTCATGATTCCCTTTTATTCCAGAAGTTTGGTCCTTAAGGGGTTAAACACACACTTCCTGGCAGCCATAATGCCACTTGAGGCGCTTCCACTGCACTGACGGAAACCCGCTTACGTGACGCATGAGGAAAGCATTGATTTGGCAGTAAATCCTTGAGAAGATGGGTTACTACCGCCTAGGATGTCCTTTCCAAGTTGTGAATAGCTCCAGAGTGATTATACCCTCCTGCACAGCATACCGTTGTCTCACCCAAACACTAGTCGAAACTTAGTGAAAGGTGAAGAAGAACTGTTTTTTGTTAGGTCTAGGTACACCAAATTTATACCCAGACCCCCAGCAAAAGGTCTCCATTCAAAGTAACACGAATCCACCCAGGTGCTTCTGCGTCTAGGAGATAATTGTGTCAGCTCACTAATTATTTCCCGTCCCGGACACAGAAAGCTAAATTCTTAAAAACCCTGAAAACAAATACAGTACAATAAAGGATCCCCATATGTCATACATCTCCTGAAAGGTCTCTCTGAAGCGCCCGATCTGTCCTAAAAGCGCCATGATCGGATAGGTTTAGCCCGAATTAAACAGAAGTCCAAGGTTCAGCAGGATGGGGCTAGCCTCCGATCTGGCACAGGACTCCATAATGCTGGGTAGAGATCTCCGGTCACCTAAAACCATAGCGCTTTCCATGGGTATATAGAGCACCCCCGACGTTCTTGGTGTCATTGGATGCCTCATCACCTCCTTTATCAACTCTCCGAAAAGCTCCCTGTTTGCTAGTTCAGGGACTGAGAGCGCTTTGATCAAAAGTTCAAAGCTGCTCCCGGTCAGGCATACCATGTCTTCCTGGCCGGTAGCGGCTGCTTCAGGGGCTGCGAACAAGTCTGGTTGCCTCGGGAGACATGATGGAGGGTCAATTTCTAGTGAAAATAGTCAAATTTGGAAAGGGTGAGGGTTGGGGAGACCAGTACCTGGATAAGGTGACCTAAAGGTCTGTCACAATTGAATTCAGTGCTTTCCAATAAGAAGCATTTTATGCATGTGCAGTGCACACCTTTAAGAGGTCAGGAAACTATGGGAAAGCATTTTGCATTTCCTTTGATTGACTGCGTTCTAATGAAGTTCTTTAGGTGACAGATGAAGATAGGAATGAGAACAGAGGACACACAAAGTTTGTTGACAGAGTAGAAGAACTGAGATGGGTTTGAATATTAATTACAGGTAGTATTGACTTTCATAAAACCTGTATTTTGGGCTAGTGATTAGAAAGAATTTTAAGTATGTTCCAGTATTTTAATTTATTTCTTAAAGGAACACTATGAACACCAGAATACAGCTTGAGCTATGAAAGCGAGGGAACTGGGAGGGCAAATGTAATGAGAGCACCCAGAAAGTTAGTAGGCTATCCTAAAGACATGTGTTTTCATCGGCTTCTTAAAGGTTGGGAAGCTAAGGGAGTCTCTGGCATGAGGTAGAGAATTCCATAGGAATGGGGCAGCCCTTGAAAAATCCTGCAGATAAGAGTTAGCAGAGCGGGAACAAGCAGATTAATATAATTATTATTATTGGTATTTATATAGCGCCAACTTATTCCGCCGCGATTTACAATATTATGAAAGGGGGGAAATTAACAAATAAATTAACAATAAATAAAACAATTATAAGCACTAGGGGGCATTTTTTTAACAGTGAGCAGCCACTGGCTGCTTACTGTTTAGTAAAAATGACGCTACCTGCGGCATAGCATTTAGGTGCATTTGGGAGAGTTTAATCTCCCTTATGTTATTATAGGGGTCATATTGACCCCCATAGAGTGAGGGAGGACATGGGGGGGGCTTTTTACATATTACAAGGAGGGAGCTGTGCGCCGGTAATTCCCTCCTTGTAAAATCAAATGAACGAACAAAGAGGTCTTCGTTCATTTGTTTGAAATCTCTTTTCATTTATTCGTCTTTCTGACGCATGAATGAATAAATAGATGAAATTCTCGTTCGCACGTGCATGCATTTCACAGTGCTATCTAGTGTGGGCAGATGACGTGTCCCACAGACTATGGGGCATTTGGGGTAGACTAGGTGGACAATTAGATGTAGTAGAGTCAGGAGGGGGGTTAAAAAAACAAACTTGATTTGGCCATGAAAGTGCTGCTTTAAAGGGCTTTCCTAAGCTCTATAATCACTACAGCTCAACTATCTGACCCTGTTTATGTCAAACAGTTTTTATAGAGTTATGTACCGTTGCATACAATCCTGACTTCTGCTGCTCTGATAATGTGAAAGTAGACTTTCCTTTAGTTTGTCCAATTTTGAACAGCAATGGTAGACCGAGAAAGCTGGGGACAAGAATACTGCACAGTGTCCTCTTTTTACATCTAATGCCATATCTGAAACAAGGACAAAGAACAAGTAGTGTATTTACAGGTCATGGTGGTAGAGAAGAAGACCAGCTCCTTGGAGACTAGCCATAAGGCTATTGCTCAGAAAATAACTTTTTCAGACTCCATTACAGACACTTTCCCATATAGCAAAGACATAGGAGAAAATCTATTTTGAAGGTGGTTCAAGAAACGTTCCTGCCCTTCTCAACTTTCCAACTTCTCTCCCGATGGATTTATCTTTTCTTTCGAAGGTCACAAGGCAATGGCAACCACAGTTTCTAGGGGCAGAATAGCTGTAAATAAAAATGTCAGTTGTGAAGGAATTGCTTGTGGCTTTGGGGTAGTAACTTGCTTACAGTATAATACAGGATCAGTAGCTTTATGTATTTTCTGTGCTTCTGCGTCATGCAGATTTGCAGCAGTCACGTCAACCTTGAGGGTTTGAAGAGTGAGTTATCTGAGGGAGGGCATTGGGCTCCTTCGTAGTCCAGCTACCATAACTTTTCCATATGATTCCTCACCTTCCCTCACAGGATTAGATCTTCCATAACAATCACCTGCCTCTAAATCATTGAGGGGCAAACTACTCAATATCCCTAGAGTCAACAGCAAGCTGAAGACCATTGCTTACCATAAATTTACCATTTACTCACTCTTTCTTATAAGTGTATTACCTGCAGTGTAATTTATGTGTACTCATTCTGAGACAGTTTTGGTCACTCAGTCAGTAGGAATCTGTTTCCAAAGACCTGCACTCCTTTTCATTTTCTACAGTCCTTTGCTAAGCTCAGTCTAAGAATGTTTTACTGCTTTTTGTGTTTAACGCTCCTTTTTAAATAATTTTTTTCATAGTGTGAATCTGTTTAGATGATGATTAGCTTAGTTCAATTTGCACTTCTTATTCAATTAAAAAACAAACTGCAAAACGTTAAAGATGTGTGTATACAAAGTCCACATTTTAAAAGGTGTTGATATGACTATTGGTTCTTTATTTTATTGTTTTTTCACCAGTTACCTGCACACACAACTATATACAACGCAGAGCAAGTTTTTAAAATTAATAGTGCAACATTACCCATTGCATTATATAATTAAAACTATTGTTTTTGCATTTGTTGTTTTATACAAAATAGCGATAATGGTTCATTTTTCTCTTGCATCGGCAAGAGCTTGATTGCTGCAGTATTCATTTCCTTTATATAAGTAAGGGAATGTAAGCTTTCCTAAAATTATACTCTTATTTTTTTTATTTTTTTTATAACACATTCATCATCGTGTCTGTGCTTGACTGCCTCTGTTTAAGCTGGAGCAATTTTGCCTCAAGTCCTAAATAGAACAAAACTCTTTGTCTGTGAGGCAACAATTAAAATGAGATTATAAGGCAGGTGAACATTTAATAAAAGGTACTTCAATTAAGATGTAAATTATGATTGCCTTTACTGGTAAGTAGAGCAAACTTTTGTGATGAAGAAAACCTTTCCTGCATAGTTCTCTCATTCTGTAAACTGACAAATATAGACCGTTGAGGTGACTGGTTTGTGGTATATCTGCATAGCCATTTCAAGTATTCCTGTCTATTCTACCAAGTCACCCAATTTTTATACTTTTCTTTTACTATTCGTTATTCCTTGGTATTAGCGTCAGCCCTGTCATTATTAAACTTTGTATTTTTGCATAATTTCGTGTTTTGTGTGTTACTAAAGGTAGGAGGATGTACTTGGGGTGTTAGACATTATAGAGGTAAATTAATGTAAGTACTGTTACTAATACTGAATGTATAATATTTACAGTAAGTACAATTTCAGATTTTCTTATTTTTTTGTTTAGTATAAAAGAATGCCCAAACTGTATATAATAACTTGTATTATTAATGAGAACCAAACAAAATATTTAAACACTGTAACAAATCAAGTACTGTGAAAAACACTAAATGTTAATCTTTTTAGAAAGTTATCTAAATTATGCCGCAATGATTTAATTACTTGTATTTTGCTTTCTATTAGTTGGGGTCATTTTAGCCAGTAGGAAACACTAGCTCTTAACTGTATTAAGAAGCCTTTTTTTAAGGAATTTGAAGATACTGTTTGTTATTAGGTTTTCATTCAGAATATCTTCTACAGTTATTTGGAGACACTGTTCTCATTTATATAACTATCAAAAAAATAAATATATATAATGATATATGACCTCAAATACAGTATGGTGATATACAGTTTTAGAAGTGTTTTAAGTGCAATGCTTTTGGAACTTGGCTTTGTTTTTACTGCCTTCATATGTTGTGGAACATGTTAAACAGAATTTGTATTGTGGTAAAAATATCCCTATTGTTTAACATGCCTACTTTTCTTCTATTTTCTTTTCTTTTGTGTATCTTTATTAGTTAAAGGAACACTATATAGCGTTAGGAATATGGACTTGTATTCAAATGCATAAGATTCCCATACTTATGTTAGTTCCACCCACCCCTCTGCAGGAGTTTAAAAGGAAAGTTTTACTTGCCTTACATCCCGCAGCGTGCTGGTCTCTGTGCTGACTCTCTGCATCCCTGGCTGAGATCATTGAGTCTCAACGATCTCAGCCAATCCATTGCTTTCCCATATGGAAGCCTTGGTAGGCTACTGTGCATGCACAAGAAAACTTTGCGCTGAGCCAGTTAAATGCTGGCATTGAGAGTCATTTCAGCTATTTATATATCAGTTAAACTCTCTTATAGCTCCAGAAGCCCCTCAAATGCGCTTCCTAACAGCCACTAGAGGTGTAAAAACTGAAAGTATCTCACCTCACTGACAATATCCTCATCAGTCTCCATGTATTATGTACATTCTTTCCCATTCTAAGCATTGGATAATTTGGATCTCGCCCACTTGGCCTGTTCCCATTAAGCGTTTTCCTTTGCTTGTAATGGACGCCATCCTGTTCTTATTCAGGCCTCCTAAGCCTTTATCTTATATCCAGTGCCGTGTTATCTATATCTCTTTAGTTTCCTTAACACCCTAGTGTATAATTTTGTGTAGTGCAGTTTCACTGTCGTGTTCTCAAGCCCCAGGGGTTTAACAGTGAGTCATGTTTCAATGTTTTTTCACTCTAACTTGTTATGCACCATTACTATTTAGTTCCCTTCCACATGCCTAGCTAGAAACATAGAAACATAGAATGTGACGGCAGATAAGAACAATTCGGCCCATCTAGTCTGCCCAATTTTCTAAATAATTTTATTAGTCCCTGGCCTTATGCCATCCCACGCATGCTTAAACTCCTTTACTGTGTTAACCTCTACCACTTCAGCTGGAAGGCTATTGCATGCATCCACTACCCTCTCAGTAAAGTAATACTTCCGGATATTATTTTTAAACCTTTGCCCCTCTAATTTAAGACTTTTTATGTCCTCTTGTTGTTCCACCTATACAAATGGAAGACTAGCTGATGACTTAAAGGACCACTCTAGGCACCCAGACCACTTCAGCTTAATGAAGTGGTCTGGGTGCCAGGTCCAGCTAGGGTTAACCCATTTTTTCATAAACATAGCAGTTTCAGAGAAACTGCTATGTTTGTGAATGGGTTAAGCCTTCCCCTATTTCCTCTAGTGGCTGTCTCATTGACAGCCACTAGAGGCGCTTGCGTGCTTCTCACTGTGATTTTCACAGTGAGAGCACGCAAGCGTCCATAGAAAAGCATTATGAATGCTTTCCTATATGACCGGCTGAATGCGCGCGCAGCTCTTGCTGCGCGTGCGCATTCAGCCACATGGGAGGAGAAGAGGAGGATCGGAGGAGGAGAGCTCCCCGCCCAGCGCTGGAAAAAGGTAAATTTTAACCCCTTTCCAGAGCCGGGCAGGAGGGGGACCTCAGGGCACTATAGTGCCAGGAAAACGAGTATGTTTTCCTGGCACTATAGTGGTCCTTTAAAGGTAGACAGACAATGTAATAGAGCAGCTGGAAATTCTAGCAGAATGCTTGGTTGTAAAGGGAGAGGTATTAGCAGTAGAAAGAGGAAAGTGTTCATGCCATTGTACAGAACACTGGTGAGACCTCACTTGGAGTATTGCATGCATTACTGGAGACCGTATCTCCAGAAGGATATTGATACTTTAGAGAGAGTTCAGAGAAGGGCTACTTAACTTGTTCATGTATTGCAGGATAAAACTTACAAGGATAGGTTAAAGGAATTTAACATGTATAGCTTGGAGGAAAGACGAGACAGGGAAACATTTAAATACATAAAGGGAATCAACAGAGTAAAGGAGGAGACTATATTTAAAAAGAAGATTTTTAATTTAAGTAGTCAAACTATTTCCTGACACCGTACCACTACAATATGCTGTGGTGTTAATGGTGCTTTAAGTGCTAGAACATCTCATGACATACTAATAATAGGAGGCATTAAAACTGTTAGTATGGAATCGAACAGCATTTCATGTTGGTGCAACAGGGGAACGCAGCTATAAATCCTGAAGACTGGGGTCATATTTTGTGGCCCAAACTTAGAGATGAGTTGTATGCTGCTCTCAAAGTAAGTGCTGCATACAGCCTTTTAAATACATTTAAATTACTAGGGCTGAATAAACGCAATCTGCCATGTCGATGCTCAAGACAGACTAAGGTTCAGCATGGAGGAACTCACTGTCATGCTGCAATTGTAGAGTACAGAGTGCTCTGTACTGTGTGAGCTCCAACTTTGGTAAAAGGGTTAGTGTTAACTACCAATAATTAATTTAGGTACTTTGTGGCATTTAACAATCACGACTGAAACATGAATCTATTTTGAGTTCTATTTCTTTAGTTCAGTGCTTGACTAATTTGTTTGGAATCTAGGAGCCAGCTGAAAAAGTTAGGAGCCAGTTTTTTTGTTGTTGTTTTTTTTAGGGAAACTAGAGTAACCAGAACCACTACAGATTTATTTAGCTGTTCTGGTGTCTATAGCCTGTCCCTATAGCCTTTTAAATGTAAACGCTGCATTTTTAGAGAAAAGTTTACATTGGTGCCTACTAAGACCTCTAGTAACAGTCACTCAGACGGCCACTAGAGAGTCCTGTGTCAGTGCTCTGCATGGAGATGCTGATTATTACCCATAGACAAAATGCACAATATCCTCCCAATGCTTTCCTATGGGAGAGCAATGGCTTAGCTGAGATCATAAAGATTGATGATCTCAGCTATGGAGGCGGCACAAGCCACGGCAAAACCAGCACGGCGTGGGAAAAAAGGTGAGTAAAAACATCAATCATGTGATCGAAGGGGGCAGGTACCTAAACAGACACACACTCTCTGTCATACACACACTAACAGAAACATTCACACACTCACAAATTTACATTTTTAATTTTAATCCACCAAGCCTCCCTATCTTTGGGAGAGCTGAGTGGACTTTCCCTGGGATCCACTGGGGATGATATCTCTTCCTGTGTGAGAGGGAGCAGTAATCTACCTGCAGCTCCTGTCTGCTCCCTGTAGTGATGGCGGGGCCGGAATGATGTCATATTCTGGCTCCCGGCGTCATTAAAGAGCGAGAGAGAGAAGATGCAGGAAGATTGCTGCATCAGGCGACCGCTTTGATGCTCCCCTGGGTGGCCAGCCGGCTACAATGCTCTCTGAGCCGGCTGCCACTATACTTCTGCGGACGGCCAGCTCCATTATTTGCAAAGCTGGCCCCTTAGGTAAAAGGCTGACAAATTCCAGGCGCCAGGGCAAAATTTCCGTCGAGCCGTGCTTTAATTTGTAAAATATATTATTAAGGAAAATAGTTTCTTTCTTTTATTCACTTAATGATGTGTTATGTATACATATAGGATATTAAAGGGACACCATAGTCACCAAAATAACTTTAGCTTAATGAAGCAGTTTAAGTGTATAAATCATGCCCCTGCCGTCTCACTGCTAAATTCTCTGCTATTCAGGGATTAAATCACTTTGTTTATGCAGCTCTAGACACACCTCCTTGCATGTGACTTACACAGCATTCCTAAACACTACCTGTAAAGAGTCATCTAATGTTTGCACTACTTTTATGGCAACTTCTATTTAATTCAGAATTTCTTACCTCCTGCTCTGTGAATAGCTTGCTAGACCCTGCAGGATTCTCCTGTGTGTGATTAAAGTTCAATTTACAGAGCGAGCGGGAGATATAAAAAGTAAAGTAAACATCTGATTTAAAGTAAAACCACTTTTTTTCCATGCAGGCTGTGTGAGTCACAGCCAGCAGCCACGGTAGTTGTGGTTAGGGTTGCATAAACAGAAACAAAGTGATTTAACTCCTAAATGGCAGAGAATTGAACTACTTCATTAAGCTAAAGTTGTTTTAATGTCTGTAGTGTCCCTTTAAAACAGTAATTTCTGTCCTTTAAAAAAAATATGTAAGATGTATGGGTGCACTTAAAGGGAAAACTTTAAATTATGGTGAAACAAACACACATTTTTCTCTATTGTTTTGGTTCAGAAGTTGGCCAATTGTCCTTAAGGGCGTAATATAACGAACATACATTACTTTTTTTAAATATTGTTATTACTACCGCTACTTCTAAATGTAAACAATTTTATGTCTATCCAGAATTTGAAAAAAATACGAGCTTAAAAGGATCCTTTAGTGCCAGGAAAACAAAGCCGTTTTCCTGGCACTATAGGGTTAATAGGTCCACCCCTTCCGTGGGACGTAAGCTGGACCTAACAAACATGCGTAGCAACGGCCACGTGTGCATTAGACCTCCCCATAGGAAAGCATTATCCAATGCTTTCCTATGGGGTAAATCTGACTCTGGAGGTCCGTGAAGATGTCCAGCGCCAGATAATGGACTAAAAGTCCGTTAGGATTCTGAAAGCGCCCCCAGTGGCTGTCTGGCAGACAGTCACTGGGGGCAGACTTAGATCTGCAATATAAACATTGCAGTTCTCTGGAACTGCAATGTTTAACCCCTTAATGCCGTTACGGCGTTCTATGCCGTCGCGGCTTTAAAGGGCTTTAAAGCCGTTGCGGCGGCATAGAACGCTGTAACGGCTTAAGCCCCCAGGAGGTCCGGCATACTCGCCTCCGCTGCGATCCTCTTTGGGAGTGTTGCCTGACAGCCCAGGCAGCCCTCCCCCGGCAAATTACATAAAAGATTACATTAGTATACACGTAGAATGTAAATACCTATAAATGCATATATATTAAAATTCTACGTGTTTATTTAAATAATCTTTTAACATAATTATGTGATTTTATTAATTAAAATTTGGTTGACATGCCTGACAACACAGGGAGAAAGTGCAGAGAATTTAATTCGCAAGCACCATATTTGACCCTGTAACTCTCCAAGACACCATAAAACCTGTACATGTGGGGTACTGTTCTACTCGGGAGACTTCGCTGAACTCAAATATTAGTGTTTCAAAACAGTAAAATGTATTACAACGATGATATTTTAAGTAAAAGTTAAGTTTTTTGCATTTTTTACAAACGAACGGCACTTTTATGGACTATATTATTTTTTGCGATACTTTCTACTGTTTTGAAACACAAATATTTGTGTTCAGCGAAGTCTCCCGAGTACAACAGTACCCCTCATGTACAGGTTTTATGGTGTTTTCAAAAGTTACAGCGTCAAATATAAGGCTTGAGTTTCATTTTTTTCACATTAAAATTCGCCAGATTGGTTACGTTGTCTTTGAGACCCTATGGTAGCCCAAGAATGAAAATTACCCCTATGATGGCGTACCATTTGCAATAGTAGACAACCCAAGGTATTGCAAACGGGGTATGTCCAGTCTTTTTTAGTAGCCACTTAGTCACAAACACTGGCCAAAATTGGCGTTTTTTGCATTTTTCACACACAAACAAATACTAACGCTAACTTTGGCCAGTGTTTGTGACCAAATAGCTACTAAAAAAGACTGGACATACCCCATTTGCAATACCTTGGGTTGTCTACTATTGCAAATGGTATGCCATTATGGGTGTAAATTTCATTCCCGGGCTACTATACAGTCTCAAAGGCAACGTAACCAATCTGGCGAATTTCAATTTCAAATGTAACGTGCTATATTTGACCCTGTAACTTCCCAAAACGCCATAAAACCTGTACATATGGGGTACTGTTTTACACGTGAGACTTTGCTGAATACAAATATGTGTATTTTATTGCAGTAAAAGCAAACAGTATTATGACATTGACAGTTAAAATGTCATGTAGAACTAAAAAAAATCAAAAGAAATCTTATTTTCTCCCATTTTTTTCATATTAAATTATGTTTCATAGCTAAATATTTGATATTAAATGAAAGCCCTGTTTCCCCTGAATAAAATAATATATATAATAAGGGTGGGTGCATTTAATATGAAAGAGGTGAATTACGGTTGGACAGACATGTAGCGCAAATGCCAGGTTTTGTTTACATTTTGTTTCGTTCACAACGTGTACATTTGGCTCCGTCCTTAAGGGGTTAAAACACTAATATTTGTGTTTAGTGAAATATCCCGAGAATAACAGTACCCCCCATGTAAAGGTTTTATGGTGTTTTGGAAAGTTAGAGAGTCACATATAAGGCTTGCATTTTTTTGACATTGAAATTTGCCAGATTGGTTATGTTGCCTTTGAGAGCATATGGTAGCCCAGGAATGAGAATTACCCCCACGATGGCATACCATTTGCAAAAGTAGACAACCCAAGGTATTGCAAGTGGGGTGTGTCCAGTCTTTCTTAGTAGCCACTTAGTCACAAACACTGGCCAAATATTAGTTTTTTGCTTTTTTCACACAAAAACAAATATGAACGCTAACTTTGGCCAGTGTTTGTGACTAAGTGGCTACTAAAAAAGACTAAACATACCCCATTTGTAATACCTTGGGTTGTTTACTTTTACAAATGGTATACTATCATGGGGGTGATTTTTATTCCTGGGCTACCATAAGGTCTCAAAGGCAACATAACCAGTCTGGCAAATTTCAATGTGTATAAACTAAAAAATGTAATGTGCTAAATTTAATATGAAAGAGGTGAATTACGGTTAGACAGACATATAGCGCAAATGCCATATTTTGTTTTGATCACAACTTGTACAACTGGCTCAGTCCTTAAGGGGTTTAAAACAACAACAACAACAACAAAAAACCTTGATGCGGCCATGACAGCGCTGCTTTAAAACAGAGAAAACCCTAGATTTAGCAAGACTAAGCAAGCCAGATTCTCTATCTGCAAAACAACATAGTTTTTGTCAAAATTGTGTCCAGGAAAAATTCATGGATGTGTTGATTGCATCCCAGTGAAGTGAGTTTTCTGTCCAGAGCCTCTCTATGTCACTGTTCATTAATCACAACAGGCAGGTCTCTTCCAGTTTGCAGACTAACAAAATTTGAATGTACTACAGAGAATGCAGCTTGCATGATACATATACAATTCTCACCTTTCAAAACATGGCCACACGCGCATTAGACCTCCCTATAGGAGGTCTAACACTATTATTCATCATAAACCGCTGGTTTTGCAGACACCAAATATGAATGTAATTCCATCCTGGCATGTGTCTGCTCATTAAATAGGAAGTAAGCCCAAAAAGAAACTGCGGATCAGGCTTACAAATTTGTACTTGCCCTGTTGCAAGTGATGACCATTTGAGGCACTTAATTCTTTAAAAATTTTTTTTTTTTTTTTATATCTCTCCCCTAATTACCTTACAGGTTTTGCCCCCTATTTACCTGACGGTTTTGTTTCACACTCCCTTTTTTTTCCTATCTTGTCTTTTCCTGTCTGCATTTTTCATTAGTGCTCCAACCTGTTTTTCTTATGTTCGTAAATCTTAGCTATTGTATTTTATATTCTCCTCCCAGTTAAGGTATGAGCATTTCTACTAATGGAGCAGTCTCCCCTTCCTTCTAAACCATCAATTGTCAAAATCTTGTATGTATAGTTGATTGTGGTACATGATAACGTTTTCCTTTTTATCCCAGGTTTAGTTCAGCGTTGCGTGATAATCCAAAGAGACGAGAATGGCTTTGGTTTGACGGTCAGTGGCGATAACCCTGTCTTTGTTCAGTCTGTTAAAGAAGGTAAACCCCAGCTATTTTGAAATTGTAAATACTACAATGCAAGTTAAATGCATATTTTCTTTATAAAGATGTGCTTTATAGATCATATTAGTGTGTAGTGGGCTTGGTAAATATCATTAACGTCAAGGAGTAAATAGTGTGTGAGGCACTTCTAAACAAATTCAAAATTTTAGTGCTAGAAGATGGGATACCTGTTCAACTGGTCCACGATAATAAGCAAACAAAAAATAAAGGTCAGAAAAAGAAACAAGACTTCAGGGATAGAAGAATCTAGCACTGGAGTCAGATAGCACGGTGTGTGTAATTATGGCTTAAAGGACTACTATAGGCACCCAGACCACTTCAGCTCAATGAAGTGGTCTGGGTGCCAGGTCCATCTAGGGTTAACTCTGCCTGCTATAAACAGCAGTTTCACTTTAGGGTTAATCCAGCCTCTAGTGGCTGTCTCACTTCCCGATAAAAAGAAACTGGGGATACCAGATCTCAAAGATTTACCCACACTACAAATTGAAATACATTTCTATTGGTATAAAAACTTATGTCTAATCTTTATTGATAATTTTAACGTCACATATAAAGCATAAAGTGGTAAGTGGTGTAACAAACGTGATTGTTGATTGTGAAAAAGTTAAAATAAAAAGGGAGTGCTATATAGCCTGCCAAATTTGACCTTGCAATATAAAACCCCCATAGGTAGATACAATGGTAATCCTACTGTGCTATGGTGAGGAAGCTGTCTGACACTTTCCAAACAGAGGCAGTGCAAGAGAGGAGGTTGCTGCCTACAAAAGCAGGCTATTTAGTGGCGCTGGATAAGTTGAGCAGAAGAAAATTATGCTCTAAACATGAAGGTGCTATATCTCTGCCAATTCAACACTCCTTGGCCATGTCCTTCCTGTTGGTCTCCCCACAGCAGTAGCCCTACAGGTTGATCTTTCCACAGCTACATCTTTACAATTTGAGCTTAACCCTAACCAGTTGAGATTACAAGAGCATTACATCCATTCATCTTCCCATATCTGTAACCATCCTACTCATCTCCATATGGCAGTATCCTGACAGTTGATCTCTACACAGATCACCTTCCTAAAAACCAATCTCGCCCTCCCTTTCTTGTCACTCAGTCCCCCACTTTTTCCCTCCCCATCTCTCTCCTTCCTTCTACCTTAAATCCTGGACTGTTGCTTATCCTTGAGGACTGTTCTGCTATATAGATGTGTTACAGTGCATTACTTATTTAACAATGGCAGCTTCATCAAACCCTGCTGTCATTAATTCAGTCATCATTCTATTATTCTATAATAATGAACATATTGTTATGACGCTAAAGCCCATCTCAGTGAAAGCTTAAGCAGTGCTGCAGAGCCTCAAATTCCACAAAAAATGAATTGCTTGGTACAGATCACAAACTGACAACAGTTTAGTTGATGGGGAAAAAAATACAAATTATGCAATATGTATTTTGGGATTATAATAGTTGCTGTTACATGTTTACACTTTAGATGGAGCTGCCATGCGAGCTGGAGTTCAGACTGGAGACAGAATCATTAAGGTAAAGTACATACCCCACTATTGTAATATGTATGTTATTTGTAAAGTAATACACAAAGAATGGCATTTTGTTCTTCATTGTTCTATACCCTGTATCTTTTTAACATAGTATGGAAATCTTATTGTAATAGATTACAATTGAATAAATATTAATTAGTGATGTTTGCAGTTCTACAATTTTTTTTAAATTTTTTTTTTTTTTACACATTGTATGGATTTATATGTATATACATTTGCAGTTTGTTTCACGTCTATCTCTTTCCTTCAGGTTAATGGCACTTTTGTCACACACTCCAATCACATAGAAGTAGTCAAGCTCATAAAATGTAAGTGTCATTTGACTTCACGATCAACCAAAAATCACTAAAAAAAGAAACAAAATGTTGAAATATGGCAGGGAATGAAAATAGTAAGTCTGATCAGGCATCGTACTTAGATTTTCCATTTTAGTAAACTAAATTGTATCATATGGCTTGTTTGAAGAGATTCCTTTACATGGAAATAATGCCAGAAAATTATACAACAAATGTTTACTTGCACACATACCAGTTTTTACTCTAGCTAGTAAGATACATTTAGCCAATACTGTTTGAGTGATTTTGTCGAGAGCATTGTAGTATGCCATAAATTCCCTTTGTGAATTAGTTTGACACTGCGGACACATCTTTAAACATATGATGTCATTTCATTATTTGGTTTGCCTTTGTTATATGGTTTTTTTTTTTTTTTTTTAAATCTTCTTCACACAGCTGGCTCCTATGTGGCACTAACAGTTCAAGGACGACCCCCAGGATCTCCACACATCCCCCTTTCTGACTCTGAGCCAGATTCACTTTTGTCTCCCCAGTCCCCAAGCACCCCAGGGCATTTTGACAGGATAAAAAGCCCTGTACTTGTTGGGGTAAGTTGCCAAGATAAAATTTGAATGTGTAGAAAGAAGCTTGAAGTTTTATTATTCGTTCTTCTGGCAGATTTGCTAGTATTTAGGTTTGATTTTAATGAAAATTATTGTATTAAAGCATTTTAATATGTCTTGTCTAATCTATATAGCTAAGGTATATTGACAATCTATTCTATCTGATCTATATCTCTATGTATATCACTCTCACATCTATATCTATACTATAAATATGAGAATTTCTGACATTTGACTATACCATATCTCATTAAATCTATGTCAAATTTGCAAAAGTAGTTAAAGGGATTCTTCAACCCTTTGTTGATATTATTAGAATAATGCCCTCTTGGCATTATTCTTTGGTCCCCCCAAATAAAACTCTTAAGAGCGTTTTGAAATAAGGTTTATTCTCCTTAATTCAGTGCTGGGCAAAGATCTCTGCACGCCCCTGTCTGACATCACAGAAGCCGCGCCGAGGTCCAATAAAAGGCTTCTCATCGAGAAGCCTTGAATGGAGGATTTAAAAGTCTCAGAAGAGCCCTTTTGGGGAGGGGGAAGGTTGGCAGAAGGGGAGAATAAATAAAAATAATCAGCAGATAGGTTAGGGAGGCTCCAAGGGCTACAATCAGCATGCGTGTGGGGGAGGAGGGAGGGGAACGAACATCCCTTTGCAGTGAAAAATATGCATAAATCCTTACTGTACTTACCCTATTCCAGCGCGGATGTCTGTCAGTGCTGAGTCGGCGCTCGGCTTCCTTCTATGTCACCCTCGGGGTGAGCGCATTTGGCTCTCCCTATGGGAATTTTACTGATGCTACATGTCCTCATACAGAGCGTGAGGACATCCAGTGTCAATTATGTGACTAAAAGTCGCTTAAGCACTAAAATACTGCCTCTAGTGGCTGTCTGATTGACAGCCAGTAGAAGCAGTCTTAAACCTGCAATGTAATTATTGCAATTTATCAGAAACTGCAATGATTAACATTGCAGGTTTAAGGGGCAGAGACATTACACCCAGACCACTTTAATGTGCTGAAGTGGTCTGGGTGCCTGTAATGTCCTTTTAGGCAGCCACCCAAGTAATGTGTCCTGGGGGTGCAAGTTGCTCCCTGCAGAAGCACTGCACATCCAGACTCCTACCACTTTGACCACAAAAAACACAAGTGGTCATGGTGGTTGAAGTAACCCTTTAATTTAATTTAATGATTTTTTTAATATTGGAAATTACATTATTAAATTGACCAAAAAAAACTACTTTGCTTTACTTTTGAATCCCAAACTTTCTGTTTTTTACTTAATGACTATATCATATATTGCTTCGGTCAATGGTATTAAAGGAACTCTGTAGTGGTTATGGTGCCAGGAGTGCTTGGGTGCTTCCCAATGTAGGTAGTCAATCCTGGCGCAAACTATTAGCCAAGTCTGGATCTAAGTCATCCTAGATCACAGCCAATGAGTTGGCCCTGTACTGCACTCAGAACAGGGTCTTATAGTTCTCCTGGAGGCTGAAAGGACACTAGGAACCATGTCTTGCAGATCTCAGGTAAGCAGTCAGACTGTTCAAAAACTGTTTGACTACTTAGATGGGGGGAACCAGGGTACTTCTGGCATCATTGCATCTGCAGCACATGGAGTGTTCTTTTTAAAAGGACTTTAATTAGTCAAAGCTTTAGTAATTGTGTTTTATTTATGTTTACATCGAAGGATGAGAACAATCTTATACAAAGCCCAAAGCTAGAGATATTAAAGAAGATATTTCAGCAAGAACAGTTGCAAGTATGTATCTTTGTATATGAGAAGTGATTTTTGTCATGTCACTTTTTTTCAACTCCAATATATTTTAAATGGAAAAATTGTAATTCATGTTCATAGAAATTGTAAGATTCAGCTAAAATAAAAAATCTAAAAACAAATTATATACTGCACCAATTGCCCTTTTTTTAAACTGCATATTAAAGACCTGATCCACCCATCTTAGTATAAGTACTGCGGCTCTTCAGATCAATAAAACAGGATTGTTTTTTTTTTTTTAATATATATATATATTTTTTTTAATATATATATATTTTTTTACTTAGCTGTAAAATCTTTTTTTTCCATGGCAGTACATCTTACCTCCCTTCTATTCATTAAAATGTATACTTTGACTACAGGCTTTTATGTCTGGTTTTGGCATTACTTATGGGCCAGTTGGGTGTACAGGGGTGGGACTTAGGTTTTATATGTTCTGTTTGTTAAAGAGACTCTGTAGTCACCCAGAAGGCTTAATTTCAATGAAGTGGTCTGGACTCTGGTTGCCATTTTTTAACCAAGAAAATGGAAACATTGTTGTTTTGCAGAAACTGCAATGTTTTCATTGCAGGATTAACACATCTGGAAGACAATCAGTAGAGGTGCTTTTGCAGCTATAACCAAATTAAACTGAGTTAAAGCGCAAATTACTTTCCTAGCGTGCATTTGATTGGCATGTTGCAGAGTTTTCCTGTGCATGCTTACTAGCTTTTTAATGCATTCCTGTGAAAAAACATTGGATTGGCTGAGATCATCAGTCTTGATGATATCATCTTGGGAGGTGGAGCATCAGCACAAAGACTAGCATACTGCAAGATATAAGTTAAGTAAAGCTTACCTTTTAAACCCTTGCAATGGAGTACAGAAACACGAGTGTGTTAGGAATACAAGCTTGTATTCCTGATGCTATAGTGTTCCTGTAAAGTATCTGTCCAGATTTTGAGGGACAAGTCAACAACCGAGTGGTGAGTCCTACTCTTACTAGAATGGATTTTAGAGTAAGTAGAAGAAAAAAATTACATCTTGTTTTAACATGTCAAGACATCCAGCAAAAGGTGTCACAGATGTCGTGAAGGGATTTTGTAGGCATCATAACCTCTTCAGCGGATCTAAGGGGTTTTGGTGCCTGGAGTTCAGAAACACCAGGTCCCATACTACTACTAAATGGTTTACTCACAGTTTAGCAGAGATTCTCATTCCCCGCCGCCTAGCCAAGGACATTGGGTGATTAGGGCAGAGACACTCTCACCCCACCACTGCCTGCTACCCTTGGTATAGTGTGAAGTGCACCATATGTCTGCGTCCCACATTTTGATATTGCAGGTTGGGCTGTAGGCTGCCAGGGACAGAGTATATCTACTAAATATTAGAACAAAGGTTATGAGGCCTACAGTGTCTCTTTAGGTTGTATAATTAATTATTTTGTTTTGTTAGTAGATTGAACGATGTTCATGCCGTTTGTTATTTTCTTTAGCATGGCTCAAACTCTTTACAAATCAATGAGCTGGAAGCAGACTATGGTGACCTTGTGCGCAACGATTACAGCAGTGGTTTCGGATCACGTCCAAATAGTGAAACTGCAGATGTGAGTATCTTGTGCATTAAAGGTTGGTACTCAAGATTTGGGCATTCACAAGGTCCAACTTAACCTGTACCCTTTATACTATGAATGTTCCATGTGTCATTGAAGTTTTGAGTTTTCTATAACAGAGATATGGAGTAGAGGGTGTTCTAGTAAATCAGTCTATTGAATTTTTTTTTTATCGTTTATGTAGTGAGTAGTGGCGGAGATAGTATTTGTCTTTTTCTTAAATGTATAAACCATTTTAGAAGCAACTTTATAATTGGCTACTTGAAAAAAAATATTCAGATATATTAGTAAGTGCTTGAGCCACTTTTTAATCCTCTACAAGAATATATCTGCCCGGCAGCGAAAAGGGACATTCCATTGCCTGAATAAAATAAACATTTTCGATCACTGCTTAGTATATAGGGTATTGGTAAGATTATATATGTGAAATGAAAATATGCGTGCATTTAATTATGCAGTTTTTCATTGGGGGTATATAAAAAAAAAAAAACAGCTTGCAAAATGTGCAGTTCTCTTGTCTACTGCCTTTGCAAGCACTCCACTTCTAATCCTTCCCTGCATCTTGAGTTTAGCTCCACAAAGCTAAACAAATTAGGAAGTAACAGGCCATGCTGTCTGCTTGAAAGCCAGGGAGGTGTAACAAGGTCAGTTTATAAAAGTGCCAAATTGTATTGAAATCTGTACTTTTTCTAAAATGAGGAAAAAGAGGACACACTCTTCATTCATAAAGTATTTTAGGATGGGTCTGCTGAGGTAGACTTACAAGGTTATTCACTATTTGAGAATTCAGTGTGAATGTCAGATTTTAGGTCAAAATAGTCAAATTTGAGAGCATGTTTGATTCAGAGAATTTTTCCAAATCCCCTATTTTTGACTTAAATTTGATGTTCACTTTAATTTCTCACTTGAGTGAATAAAACTGGGCGTAATGATGAATTTCAAGTTAATTTTCACATGATAGCGCTCATTAGTGTAACACAGGAGTCTCAAAGTCAATTTACCAGGTGGCCAGTGGTGTAGTCATCATCTCTCATGGGGGCTGCATTACCGTACTACCATATATCCACTTGTACAAAAAAACCGCATACTCCCATTGATACAGACACTTACAAATCCTAACTCCCATACACACAGACACACACACAACTGCACACTCCAGTACATACATTTACAACTACAATCTCCTGTACACACACAGCTACACACAACTGTGAGGTGGCCACACTCTCGATGAATACTGCTTCTCTGTGCTGTGTGCATCAGTCAGTCTCATAATTGAAGATTCTGTACAGAACTGCAGAATGCTGGAACTTTATTAACAAGGCTTGTAGGAGCATATAGCCTCCTTAACCGCAGCAATGATCAGGACCAGGCAACCAGCAAACCAGACAGAGAGAGGTATGCCCTGGACTCAGATTTCACTTACATGGATAATCTTTGGTTTAACACATATGTTGAACAATAATAGTGTTGGTACTAAGCCTTTCTAAAATGCCTGAGTTGTGTGCAACTCTACAAAAAGCATTGAAGTTATTTCAGAGCACCTGTCTTCTTGTTTCTTCAACCAGCCCTCCTTGAGCTTTTATCCCATAATATAATGGATTGATAAAATGTGATCATGCAAGAAAGATGAGGGCTAGAATTGTATTTACATAAAATTGTGCTTTATCTTTTTTTCTTCACTCAGCAGCTTCATCAGGGGTTAACAACAAGACATTATTTAGTTTAGCATCCACCACTATGGTAGTGTGTTGACGTTTGATAAGGGTGACTTTAAAGTACTTAGAGATAAATGTCATTCTGGGAGAGTCACAGAAAACTGTCCCTGTGAAGAGTCACTGTCCTGGAACATCATTTTGTGGAGATCTTGTCATGGAAACATTAATGCTGCAATTTCCAGATTAACATTGGTACTGATAGTTCTATAACTAGTATCCATGATTTACCAGACATCTTTCAAAGTGTGCTCGAGCTTAGAACATACTCTGCATAGTTACACAATGGGTATATTCACTGGAAGCTTCTCAGTTAACTCACAGTAAAAAGCGACATGGTGTAGAGTAGAGATCCTGTCTGTTTTCCTGTAAATGCCCTCCTCTCTATAAAATATAAACTTTTTAGCCACTGTATATGTTCACAGTGCAGAGCAGAAGAACCACAGATGCCCAACAGAATAAGAGAAGTGTAAAATTATTTGTAAATGGTTTTACAGCTAACTTTTGTTAGCGCCCAGTGACTCCTACAGCGCACTGTAGTAGTTATGGTGCTTAGAGTATTCCGTTAACTGATCCTTTCTGTAGTCTGTGCGATTGACAACAATATCTCTTTTCACAGAGTCCGCGTAGTGGACTGAGAGAGAAACACTTCTTAGAAGAGAGCCCAGAGAAGATTGAGCTTCTGGACACCGTAAGAGCTTAATTCTTTTTTTTATTGTTTTTGTTAAACATTTTCATCCACTTGAGACAATGTGTTCCACATAAAAAAAAAAAAAAATCTTCTCTTCGTTTTTCTTTTATTAATAGATGATTCTGTTGTATCAAAATATTCACGTCTAAATAGGGCTTGATTAACATTTACCTGTAATTTAAATATTGGGAAGTTATGCACATCCAAAGAGTTTCTTGTTATATTAGTTATGCACATCCAAAGAGTTTCTTGTTATATTCACATTAAAATGCTAACTGTAAAATAATGAATATAAATGTGCTGTATTTAAAAGCGTGGCACCACAATAGCTCCATTAATAATTATGTCATTACTGTTCCAGGTACAGTGGGTACAAGAACTGTAATCACATGTCCTTAGAGATACCCTCTTTTTCATGTTCACTGCTTTTAAAGAACCTTCTATTTCTACATTGAGAAGCGCATGGTCACATTTCACACAACTATTTGTACATAATGTGCTGTTATGGTCAGGTTCATGTTTGGATGAGGGGCTCTGGTAAATTTTTATTTTATTTATTAGAGCAAAATGTCATCCTTGTTTTATATCATCCGTGTAATAATATATTTTACATCACATTGCTAAATGTATACCTCCTAGTTTGACATCAGAGGGAGAGGGTGGCAATCTTAGTACTGTAACAGTTGCTTTGGTGAAAAGTGGACTCTCATTAAAGCATTGCATGCATTGCTTTGGATTTTTCTTATGCCAATCGATTTATTACATCATGCAAATTTAGAATTGTTTTAGACAAAAAAAAATTAAAATAAATAAATATATATAATACAAAAAAAATATTTTCAAGTAAAAATGTTAAAAAATAAAATAAAAAAGCCAAACAAACTACCCCCCAGACATTTGTTGGTTGTGCATACTTATTCACCCACATGTCGAAACTTGGTAGAAGAACCTTGGGCCCAGTAATAGCATGGAGTCTTTTGGGTAATTCTCAGCATTGGCAAACTGTTCAAGCTTTGTCAGTTTGATCATGGAGCTTTGGTGAACAGAAATTTTTAGGACTTTGCACATATTCAGATCAGTGTCTGGGCTTTGACTGGGACACTCTCATTCCAAAGCTAAATCATTCCATTTAGCTTTGGCTGTGTACTGAAGGTCATTATCCTACTGGAAAACTATAATCATGTTGCTAATCTAGTAATGTAGTCCATCTCCTGTTACCACTATGCTGAGCGATGCGCTGGGGAGCCAGAGACATTGTAACTATCCCCCCCAGCACCTTTTCCAGTAGATCACTAAATGTAGAGGTGTTGTTGGTGACACAGGCTGAAGCCAGTGACTGTTAGTCCCAGCAATTTTTAGCAAAGTGAAACATTTATATCCTGTTACTTCCCTAATATTAAATGAACCCTGCTTCTAATTGTATTTGTAAAACACTTAATACTGATGCATGTATTGTTAGAAATCCCATTGCTGGGTTCTGAAAACCTGTATAAACCATTTGTCCTTTGGTCTCTCTTGCCTTGGTATTCATACTTTAGTCTTTTGGTTCTTGTGCACCCTTCAATGGCATTATTTTCTCATGATGTATACTTTACTGCTGTATATTTCATGTATTCATGTAGATGTACTCATAGCAGTGTATATTGTATGCTGTTATATAAAATATAATGGCTTATGATTTTCACTCAGGACTCTCAGTCTAGCATTGGAAGCCCATCCACTTGCAATGCACACAGTATCATTGGAGCAGAAGATGACGATTTTGATGCTGAACAAGAGCAGGTAAGATATTAATAGCTAAAGTGAAAACATAAAGAGGAGAGTGTAATGTTCAGTATTTGGGGGGTCTTTTGTGCATAATAAGCATAATATGTGGACTAATCCTCGTTCACTCTTCCACACACCATACACAACTGCAGCAAAAGGAAATTCCCTACATTCCAGAGTAATTAAGACATTAGTTAGAGGTTTGGGAAATAATTCTCGCTGCTGTATTGTCTGTCAAGCAGAACTGATAATTGGCTTTCCTTTGTCTTAAAGAGAAACTATAGTCACCTGAGACACTACAGCTTAATATAGTGGTTCTGGTGTCTATAGGATGTCCCTGCAGGCTTTTCAGTGTAAACGCTGCATTTTCCAAGTGTTTACATTGCTGTCTAGTAACACCTCTAGTGGTGCACAGGCAGCCACTAGAGGTGCTTCCTATCTGAGTGCTGTACTGTGTGCACTACCTATGTTCAGTGTCTCCATTCACTCCATGGAGACTCTGATTGCTCCCCATAGAGATGCATTGATTCAAAGCATCTCTATGAGTAGATGCTGATTGGCGCAGCACTGCATTTTACCAAACATACCCAATAGCCTCTCAATACTTTCCTATGGGAAAACATTGCATTGGCTGAGATCATCAAAATTGAGAATCTCAGCCATGGATGCAGGGACAGCCACTTCACAGCAAGGAAGAAAAGGTAACTTTAATTCCATTTTCAGGGGGGCTGTGGACCTAAACTGCTACTCCAGCTCTATAGTGTTAGGAATATATGTTTGCAACACTATAGTGTTCCTTTAGGTCACTCTAAATGCTACTGCCAATGCAAGTAAAGCCTATGAAGGTCCCTCAAGCCCTACCTTATCTTAGCAGTGTAATTGTGTTGTTTCTTTGTGTTTTTTTGTTTGTTTGTTTGTTTTATTTGTGCTGTAGTTTCCCCTCACTTTAAAATTCAACTGGTACTAGCAGCGATCCATTTGGCTCCATTAGGTTAGGATGTGTTCGGCAGTGGATACAGTGATAAAGATACAGAGTAATTTTATTAACCAAAAGAAAGTAGTTTAATTATTTTAGCTACTTTTAGTTTAGTCAATAGAACCCGAACATAATCTCATTGTTTACCCTTCTTTTTCACTGAAACTCCTGGTCAACATGTATAAGCTTAGTGTTCATAGGCTATAAGCATATAATTAATTACAATGCGGGTAGAATGTCTTACAAAATGAAAACAAACTCCCGCCCATCCCTACTCTCTACTCGGAACAAGTTGGGGAGAAAAAAAACACACCTGTTTCACTCACAATGTTCTGAAGATAAAAGCTGAGTCTTTATAGACCTGTTGTTATGGAGATTCATTGAACTGTTTATAAAACTACCGTATGCCCATTCATCTTCACTCTAAATAGCATTAGTGACATACTTCATTAATCTTTGAGTACTTTTATTTATCTCAGATGCTGGCAGACATATTACCAGTATTTTAAGAGCACCGCTTAAAATAATTGAATTTCCAGGCTTTTAGCTTACGGCAAACAAACACATTACACTTTAATTAGTAATGTTTTTTTCAGGCTTCAGTTAAAATTTATAGTTTATCCTTGTATTTCAGAGCCATTATGGTTTTGCTTTATGTCTTAGGAATTAGCCCCTAATATAAATTACTTTAAAATTAATGGTTGTCTGTTTATTGCATATTTAATAGGATAGAATCTGGTTCCATCCACAAAACAACAGAGGATAAATTCTTACATTACTTGCTTTCAAGTAACAATTTATGTTTGTTTATTTTATATTGACTTGTTTAGCATTCATTTAATACTTTTTGTTTTCTATTGTTGCCAAATGCTTATTTAGGGATGTTTTGACCCCCTCTATAAGAATAAATTTTTAGACCGAAAAGTGTCATCATTGGCATAAGAATAAGAAATACATAACAGTTACAAAATTAATGTATGTAGTTACAATAAATTGGTGTGTGTTTATAGTGGGAAAGTAAAGGGACTCTATACGCACTGCAACTGTTTTGTCTCTTTGAAGTGGCTCAATGTCTGTAGACTCCTGGCGCCATCCTTCCATTCAGTGTTAAATAATTGTTTTAATATTATACCAGACTTTCCAGCAACTCCCCCACACCTATCCCTCCTGTCCCCCCACACCTCTTCCCTGTGCTGCTAGGGCTAAAGTTTAACCATTATGCTGAGGAGTAATTGGCAGCTGTGATTGGCTAGGAGTGTCAGTGACCACTTTCAGCCTATCACAGTGCCTATACCACATTGCAGGTATCAATCTGTATGGCTAGAAGGAAGTGTTTGATTTCTGCCTTATCTACACCTCCAGTGGGGGCTCAGCTACGGGAAGCCAATGACTCTAGAGTTTTGTTTACATTGTCAAATGACCCGTTAGCATGCAGCCTTTAAAGCATTGCTTTGTAGAAATGGAATGGCAAGGAAGGGGGAAATGTACATTCTTTTATGGTATTAAAAGACCCACTGAATGCAAAAGAATTGGATATGCAATTATTTTTTATTTTACTGCATTCTGTTATCTTTTGTAAAATTGCAATACTTTCTGACTATTCCAGATATAACTGGAATGTGGATAGATTAATGTGTTTTTTTTTGTTTGTTTTTTTTTTACCTTTGCCAAACCACATGCGTTTTCCATTTGAAATAAATGGGTCTGCTTAAGCTTGCCCGATATAGCTGCAAGCAGCATTCCAGATACTTTAAACAATGAATTAAGAGCCATGAGTGCAAGCTGCTGCTGGCTTCTGTTCACTTGAAGAATAATATGCCATTTATTTCTATTAAAAAGTAAGTGGGATGGCACTTTTGGTCATTATGTGTATTTTTTCTGTTTACTTAGACTAATATGTTTGCTCCATAGTTTTACCTTTCTAATTAGTAGGAGAAATGCCAGTAATATTTCACCCTGTATATGATGACATGTAAATGTCTAGATAGAACAATGTTCTCTGTGCTTACACAGTGCTCAGCTAAGTGAGTTCCATCAAGGACATAACACACTGAGATAGATCAGGGACGCATTTTACATGCACAACTCATTAAAAGATAATTTGATCTTTATTTCATTTAAAAATTAAATAGATGCATGTTTAATGCATTTGTACATGTGGGATTTTAAACTAAATGTCTTCTATTACGTGCGGAATCTATTTTGTACTATTTTTTTTTTCTAAAACATTTTTATTTGAATTTTACATTATGCAATGATGAAACATTAGCCTTTTAATAGGTGTGGATCATCAGGAATGTGGCTTGACAGTGATGTTGAATGGGCATGTAGGATGCTAGCCCTGTCCTCCAAAAGCAGGAAATGACAGGCTCAGTCTTTTGAGAAACAAACACTAGTACATATGACTTGGAGTCTAGCATATTCGAGGACTATCTCCAAATTCCTGCTCTCTGTGGCATGCATGTCCTATTTACAGGACATTGGCATTGTATATATCCACTGATTAACAATATGCTATGGCTCTGCCATGTTCTGTTATATGAGCCTGGCTCCTTGTGTGATCACTGAGATGGCACTAGCTCCCTCCTAAGACAAGGAAAGGGTAAAATGTAATTCACATTCAGTCCATATATCTAGCTGCGATTACTCATTGTGTGATTTGTTATAGTGGACCATGCAACCTCCAGGACATGTGTACAAATTATATGCCTGTCTCTGACAGTGAGGTAGAAAATGCAGTGCTGCATTGTGGCCTGATTATACCATTACTTAATGTGATGTTTTCAAAGTGCACAGCTCGCCACCAACCCAGATGCTCTTCTCATGTATGTTACTACATCGCTCATCCCCAACTGCCCCATAGCCAGTTCGTATTACAGCAGTGTTAATAAACTACTACCTGCTGCATCCATAGTGAAATAGGTCTATCCCATTTCTTAAAAGGTTACTCCAAGCACCATGTACTCTTCACCGATTTAACGTAGTTGTGGTGCATTGATTCTGTATTTGCAGTGTTTATGTTCGAGTGCTGCACATATAAAGATGTAGCACACCCCCTTTTGTGCCACCAAAGTCCTACCTGTAACCCGCCATCCCTCCCAGGATGAGAGGAAGATCCGGTAAAATCCCACGGTCTTTACTTATTACTTATTCTTCTTTATCTTTCTGCTGCATTCGGCACTGTTGACCAGCTTATACTCCTCCTCGTCCTTTGCAAACTTGGTCTCAGGGACACTGCTCTTTTCTGGTCCTCACCCGACCTCTCTAACCGCCCGTTTATTTTCTCCTTCTCTACCTCTAGCCGTTGAAGTTCCTCAAGGCTCTGTGTTCTGACATCTTGTTTTATCAATTTCCACTGCCTCTCTTGATGACCTAATATCATCCTATGGCTTTCCAAATCACCTGTATGCTGATAATACACATATCTACCTCTCATGATCTTTCTCCCCATCTACTGGTTCGTGCCACTGACTGTCTATCCTCTGTTTCTGACTTAATGACTTTGATTACTAATACACACCTCTTCAAGTCTGAACTCATTGTATTCCTCCCTCCAAGCTTACATCTTTCTCTGTTTCCCTAAAGGTCAACGGAACTATTATAACCTCTACCCGCAGACATAATGCCTTGGTGTACTATTTGACTCTAAACCTTTCCTTTATCCCTTATATAAGATATATCATCAAATATTGTTGCATATACCTTAAAAACATTTCTAACATTCTTCTTTTTCTCACTCTGGAAGAAACCAAAATGCTTTTCTATGTTCTCATTGTTTTCTGTCTTAATTATCGTAAACCTTTTGCTTATTGACCTACAAAAGTTCTCAGATTTCCCTTCTACAGTCCATAATGATTACCTCAGCCGGACTCCTCTATCTTACATCCCTCAACGTTCACATCTCACCCCTCTGTCAGTCTATACACTGGCTTTCCATAACTGTGATCTGAATTTATATTTCATACCTCATTAGCAGATATCTTCCAACCTGGCCTCTTCGCAGGACTACTTCTGCTATATAAAACACGTTTTGTTAGAGTTAAATGAACACTATCTGGTCCCCCCTTGTCACCTAAATATAATAAAATCTTATCTTTATTCCAGTCTGCTGGTGTTGGCTTTGCCATTGATCTGCTTCCTTGTTGACATCATCAGAAGTGATTATCTCAGCCAATAACAATGAGTAACATTGATTATCTTAGCCAATTACCTCTTTCTCCAGCACCGTGCGGGGAGCTCTCCTCCTCCTCGGCTGAATGCGCATGCGTGGCAGGAGCCACGCGCGCATTCAGCCAGTCCATAGGAAAGCATTCTCAATGCTTTCCTATGGACGCTGGCATCTTCTCACTGTGAAAATCACAGTGAGAAGCGTGGAAGTGCCTCTAGCGGCTGTCAATGAGACAGCCACTAGAGGCTGGATTAACCCTATTATAAACATAGCAGTTTCTCTGAAACTGCTATGTTTATAGAAAAAAGGGTTAAACCTAGCTGGACCAGGCACCGAGACCACTTCATTAAGCTGAAGTGGTCTGGGTGCCTATAATGGTCCTTTATTTTCTTGTTTTACCTATTGTAGAGCACTGCTGAATATTTTAGTGCCATATACATAATTGTATAATACTTTATTTTATTTTTTATTGCTGAAAAGAGTTTGTTAAAGGGACAATCAGTGATGTGCCTAGTGTGCCCTGGCACTGTCCCTCCTTTCAGTGTTAATCCATTTTCAAGCAGTTTAGCACTGAATATGGGTCCATGGATTCCTATAGGCAAGGCCCAACTAGAGGCATGGTTAAGGAAGATATTACACACTTCCTCCTAGCCATACTGATTCATAACTGCAATGGGCACTGAGATAGGATGAAACTTTCAGCCAATCAGAGACTAACATTGCTGCTCAGGTTAATGCTTCCTTGTTAGCCTGTGCAGCACGAGGATGAGTGCTGGGAACTCTTGTATAGCATTAAAACATAAAACGGCAAGAAACAGCTGTCAGTTTTTCCATAGAGACCAAAAAAGAGGAAAAATTTACTTTTGTTAGGTAAAGGTTAAAAATTATAACACAAAAAAGTACAAATCTATTAATATTCTTTTACTGTGAAATACTGTTTTGTCTGATGCTCTGTTATACAGCATTTGTATCCCAACGGTCCTGAGCTGTGTAGTAGTACTATTGGAATTTTACTTTCTCCTTCTCTAGCTACTATATAACAGGCAATGTGGCAACAGGGAGGCATATTTTTACATTGTTTATAAGCCAGTAGCCCGTACAGCTGCTTCCTATCTCACCTGTTGTCATGAGATTTAGGAGATAAGGTTGGAGCCGATATAATTTAACATTGCTTTATAGGAATAGCCATATGCTCTGTTAATAATTAATATTCATAACACTTGCATTTTGGATATTAATATTTGTATTTTTGTGTTATCATTTGTAACCTTTACCTTATAAATGTGAATGTTTAACCATTTATGGTCTACTCAGAAACATTGGCAGCTCTTTCTTGCTGTTTATTCATTACTCCCTGGGGTTGCCCCCCATTTTCCCTGTTAATTTTTCCTAATGATAGATACATTCCAAGATAGATAATTATCTGCTTTTTAAGCATTAAAACAGTAAAAACTGTTTAACGCTAATTCGAATTCGAAGGGGGGCGCCAGGGTTTCCAGACACAGAAATTTCCAGACAAAGAAATGAAGCTGTTACAGTGCCTACAATATCCTTTTAACAAATGTTAATCGTGTTTTTAAAAACATTAATCTGCATATGCTTTTATCATTTGGTTAAACTTTATGCAAACCTTTAATAGAAGAGTGCATTGTACTCTAGGCTTATTCTAATTACTTTTTCCTTTTATGTATTTGTTTATTTTCAGCAATTTGATGGCCAGTACAACTGTTTCCAGAGCATGGGACTTCTAAAATCGCACCCTGCTCATTTGGCTGTGTTTATACACCATGTAGTTTCCCAATTTGACCCTTCATCTTTGGTAAATATTAAGTTATTTTTTCAAAATTGCTTTATGAAATCATCATGATGTATATAATTATTCACCTTATTGTCCCCAGCTTTGTTACCTCTATGGAGACTTTTATCAGCAAATTAACTCCAAAGAAGCACGGAGAATCTTTATGGAATTTCACCAGTTCTTCTTAGATCGAGCTGCGGTGAGAAATGGCACAACTCTGCTGTGTTTATGGCCAACAAGATACAGAAAAGATTGTCTACCTAATCTGTTTGCACTGTCAGTGGTGTCAGTATTTATTGATTTAGCTAACATTTTCTGGAGTGTACGCAGGATAAGAATAGTTATTTTGCTAAACAGTGTTAATTTATTTTTATTTTATTAATTTACATGGAAAAATATGTTAACTTTTAACTTTCTGTTGCAGCATCTTCGTGTTTCAGTGCCAGAAGATCTTGCTGCTGATTTAGGCAAGTGCCAAAAATAAAGATATTGAGCGCCTTGGTCAAATGAAGGAAATATTCTTGCAAAATGCATGTTAAATTTTTAGAATCAAAATACGTAATTTTGATGGAAAAGGGTATTTCTCACAAAATGTTGCTGATGTCTTTCTTTGAGTGCACTTTGTAAGTATGCATGTATATATTACATCTTAATGAAGATGAATTCTTTGTTTTTTCTTATTATATAATATTTTAGTAAATGGCTGTGATGAGTTTTCCTTAATTTCATATGCATGAGTGGAAATATTTCTATGACGTCCGTTGGCTAAAGGAATCTTTATTTTCATTTCTATCATTGATATAAAAGTTATAGCTGCCAGGAACTGCAGTGAGGTGACACCTGCCTTAAGTGTCGACTTTCTAGTTCTGCCCTTCACTCATACAGGTTTTTAAATTTAAATCACATAGATGACAGGTCCACTTAGTCTGAGATATCTGGTAGGTTCTAAATGACGTAGAATTGAATTTGAATGTTTCTATTCTATATGAATATTTGTTTCTCAATTTGCAAATTAACAGAAAAAAGACGCCAAGAACTTATTCCTGAAGATCTGCAGCGACAGTATGTCCAAACAGTGCAAGACAAGCTTTACCCAGAAGTACAAAAGCTTCTAGAAGACTTCAGGTAAATCTAACTATACCTTTTAATTACAGCTGTATGGCCTTAAAATATGTCCTAACAATCCAAACTATAATGACATACACGAGGTCTTATTTAATGTCAATAGCTCTGCAGAGTTTTGCACAAACTATATCACAAGGTCCTTCAATACACCTAAGAGTTCTTTAGACCCTAAACTGTGATGACAAGCAGAAGATTCAGCAACACTGCAACTTCAGTGAGGGAATTTGATAAGAGCATGACTGGTGGGCTTGACAAATATGCTGTTGGTCTATAACTTTGCCAGGTCATCCACTTAGATGTTCTAAATAAATTCATTAACTGCGGAAGTATCGTTGCCGAGTATTATTATATTTATTTTTTTGGTCAAATTGAGGATAGAGAGACAGTAGTGCTTTTTTGTCAAGTACCAGCAAAATGTGTGTAAGTACCTTTTACATTATTGTATACATTAGCCTGTAATAACTTGCATCATAACGAGTAATTAATCAAATGCATTAGTATTAACTGTAAACCCCTGTTCTCTTGCCAGGCAGAAGCGCAGCATGGGATTGACCTTGGCTGATGGAGAACTAGCCAAACTGGGTGCAGAACGCTCAAAAGATCGAAGCACTTTAGAGAAAGAGCGAGTCTTCGCAGAAAGCATTATTCAGAAGGTTGAGGAGGTCTTGTAAGTAAATATGTGGGCTAGTAGAACAGTCAGTAACCTTAAAGGGATACTGTTGACGCTGTAACTGTCATCTCTTTGAAGTGGCTATATTGTCTGGAGTCCCCTCACGCTGTCCTTTCATGCAGCATTAAACTGTTTTTAATCTTTTGATGCTAAAGAAAAGTCCCCAGAAGTCCATCCCCTCTGCTGCTTTGGCTAATGAGGAAGCAATGGGTGCTGTGATTGGTTGAGAGTGTCAGCTGACTGCTTCCATCCTATCACAGCACTCATTGCTGGTATGAATGAGAAGAAAGTGTGCAATTTCTGCTTAAACAATTTCTTCAGTGGGGACTGGGATGTGGGCTATTAGGCACTATAAACCAGTCAGATGAAGTGGTCATAGTGCCTACAGTGTGCCTTTTTATATTTAATTTCTGTCAATGTGATCATAGTAGTAAATGAACCGGGCTTCATGTAGAGTGTTCTTCACCATCTTGTGGGGACACCCCTCTTCTCTTCTAAAATCTTCAGTCATTAAAAAGGTAATTGTATTCTCTGGACATGAATTTGAAATATTGTTTCATGGCGTTGCTATTGACCAGCCTTTCTTCTATTTCACAGACTAGCTTCACAACCACATGAGGAAGAAAAAAGGTAAGGAGTGTTAGAGCAGTGGCGAGTTACCTTTCAACGTTTTTTTTTTTTCAATTTGACAATTTTTTATTTTCATAGTTTAATGGGGGGTTGGGTACAGAAAGGAAGAAGGGGGGGGGTTCAAAAGGTGTCAGATTCATAACATTTTGGTAAATATTTATGAGCTCTGTCCTAGATGGTTGATTCGTTATACAGAGGTCGTCAAATATCGTGAATGCAGCTCTCAATAACCTAATACATAGTGACATTTTGCTTGCACATCCTTGCTATGTCTCCTCTGTTTTCTGCTTACACCTATGCTCTAGTGTTGAGAGGGACTGCAGCATTGTCGACTGTACCTGGATTGTGTTGGGGGGGGGGTGGGTATAGGGTAGGTAAGTTACAACATATGTACATGTGGGTACTTGTGTATGTTGGGTGGTCATCGTTTGTGTCATCACTCGTCTAGTGTATTGTGGTTGACTACACTCTCAGCTGGGTCTCGTCTTATAGGGGACCTGTGTTATGATCTAGGCTATATCTTTGCTTTTAGTTCTTACTCACATATATACCCATATACAGATAGAAGTGGCGTTCTCTGGGCTTCTCGCTTGTCCCTGTGTGGTTCTGGTGGGACTTTCTGCCTGATTAACGGAAAGGCCGTTTGTTACCTTTGTTTCTGCGTATTACAGTTGCTCACTCATTCATCCTCTGTTCCCTGGTGTCTCACTATGTGCCAGTATGCTTCCCACAATCAGGGTGCAAGCTGCTATCAGTGAGTGGAATAAAAGTTTGGAGTGTACCTTAGTTAAGTTGTCGTGCCATATATACAGGAGGCATATCTCCGGGGTTAAGTCAGTTTGCATTGGTAGTAGGAGGTTGAGGATTTCGCCCACCATTGCCAAATAGGGCCCAATGAGCTCAAACGACCACCATATGTGATAAAATTATCCCTTTTCAGATTGGCATCGCCAACATTTAGAGGAAGTGCTTGGAAAAATTAGTGCTAACCTTGTTGCAACTAAGTACCATCTATATTGTAATTTACGTATCTGTTCAAAGTGAGTGATGCATTTTGTGTTCCCTTTGTGAGCTGTGTGTGCTCTGCTCCATTATGTAGTTGTAAAGGAGCAACCTAGGTCTTCGTGCCATGCTTGGGTATATTTGTCATTGGGCTCTACTTTGTCCAGTAGTGTTGTGTAGATTATCAAAAAAAATTTTTATGCATCATACCTCTGAGACACCAAGAGTCAAATTTGGAGAGGGTGGGCACCCTCCGTTGCAGTAGGGACTTGAGTTGGAGGTAGGAAAAAATGTCTCTGCTGGGGAGGTGAAACTGAGTTTGCAGGTCTGGAAATGTTTTGAGCTTGGAAATGTTTTGAGCATCCTGCTTTTACCCATATGTTGTAGTCAAAGGTCTGGTTTCTTAAGTATATGCTGTACATTGGTGTGGCTAGTGATGTCGCCGAGGGTCCACTGAGATGTTCCTGGTATTGGTCCCACACAGTTAACAATAGTGTAGTTGTTACTAGCGCCTGTGGCATTGCTGGTCTCTGTGCTTTTGGTACCCAGAATAAATAGTGTAGACCGGCTTTGCAGGACCAGTGTGATTCAATAGCTACCCATTGTGGTGTGTTGTGTTGTATGTGGGTGCTTGCTATTGTGGAAAGGATTGCAGCTTTGTAATATAGTTTTATGTCTGGGAGGTTCATTCCTCCCTTCGCTATTGGTTTTTTGAGTGTGGAGCTTGTGGAATAGGTATTGTAGTTACGACATTTTGAATGCCGCCATCCGCCCGTACCAGGATATAAAGTCCCCACTCCAGGTTTGAAGTGTCTGTGCTATCTCCTGATATAGTTTCTCATAGTTGTGTTTGTGTAGAAGGTGTGTCGTTCTGGCTAGTCTGATCCCCAGGAGGTTATGTAATCATCCCTCCAATCAAAATTAAAGGATGCCTTAAGGGTCTGCATTATGGACCCAGGAAGGTCCAAGCCCATTGTCTGTGTTTTGGTAAAATTTAGTTTATAGTAAGAGACCGCGTTGTAGTCATTTATGCATTGTAGTAAGTTTGGGAGTGAGATGTGTGGTTGTGCCAGGGTCAGTATTCCATGGATGGATGGATTTGCTCGTTTCACTGAAGCTACGGGTTCCAATGCCAGCACATAGAGCAGGGGCGACAAGGGGCACCCCTGTCTAGTTCCATTTGTGATTTTAAATTTGTCTGAAACAAATCCAGAGTTAAGAACTCGTGCCGTTGGGGCCGAGTATAAGGCCCTGACCACTGAGATGAAGTCCCAGGGAGCCCAAACTTGTGGAGAACTGCCTCCAGGAACCCCCATCCCAGTCTGTCAAGTGCCTTTTCCGCATCGAGGGAGAGCAGCAGCCCTCCCCCTTGGATGCTTTGAGGCTCTGCATTATACCGAGGACCTTTCTGGTGTTATCCGCCCCCTGTCTTCCCATCACAAACCTTACTTGGTCATCATGGATGATGTGGGGAAGTAAGGGTCTCAATCTCAATGCGTAAAGTTTGGCTAGGAGTTTTGCATCCGTGTTGAGGAGCAAGATAGGTCTAAAATTTTGCGGGCCTGTTGGCGGTTTCCCTGGTTTGGGGAGGGTAATTATGTGTGCCAGCTGTATTTCCTCGGGGAGGGATTCTCCTCTTATTGCTTCATTGAAGACTGCTGCTAATTGAGGTGCCAGTATCTCCTGGAATTTGTTGTAGTAGGAGTTGGCAAAACCATCTGGGCCTTTCGGCAGGGTTTTTATTGTGGCGATAACCTCTTGATAGGTGATAGGCTTGGCCAACGTTTCTTGTTGGTGGGTCGTTAGGGTGGGTTGGTCCAGTCTGTTTAAATATGTCGCTATGTCAGAGTCCGTGGGGGTGCGTGTGGCTGGGTCGTGTTTGAGGTTGTAAAGATCTGAATAATATCTTGCAAATTCATTGCTAATATCAGTCGGTGTCATTGCTTTCTCTCCCCCTTTAGTGTTTAAATATGCAATTTTCTGTACCTGTTGCTGTTTTTTTTAGTCTTAAGGCTAGCAGTTTACCTGCTCTGTTCCCCTGGGAGTAGTGGGTGGCTTTGAGTCTCCGCAGGTGGTACCCCACCTTGGTAAGCGCGTGTTGGCGGATTTGTGATCGTATGTGGGAAATTTGCTCTCGTAGTATCGGGGTTGGGTGGACCTGATTTTGGGCTTCTAGTGTGTAAAGCTCTTTCGTAACTGGGTGTACGATTTTTGTTTGAGGTAAGAGGCGCGCTTTATAAGGATTCCTCTAGCAACGGCTTTATGGGCCTGCCAGATCGTGTGGTGTGGGAGTGTGGGGCTTGTGTTTTCTATAAAATATTGGTGTAGTGAGGTAGATAGCTCGTCTGTGAAAGTCTGGTCTGATAGGAGGGTTTCGTTGAGCCTCCAAGGGCTCCTGTGTTTGAAATCATAGGTGTCTTTAAGGATCAGTTCTACTGGAGCATGGTCTGACCACACTATTTGTCCCACCCTGCAATCGATTATCTGACCCAGTGCTGCTCCTCTCCATCAATCCTTGAGTAGGTGTTATGGACTGTCGAGTGGTGCGTGTAGGCTGTATTCTCCGAATGCGAGACCCTCCAAACATCGTAATAATGGTGTAGTGTTAGTAACTTCACTAGGGCCGTGCATTGTCGTCTGAGCGGTTTATACCTGGGGCTTTTGCTAGAGAGTGTTGTGTCCATAGCCAGATTTAGGACATGGTTCAGGTCCCCGCAAATTATAGTCGTGCCTTGTTGGATACCGGAGACTGCTTATAATCATGTGTAGGAAATTTATTTGGTTTGTGTTAAGTGCGTAAATATTTGTTATTGTGTAAAGGGCATTGTTTATGCGTCCCACTATAATAACGTACCTGCCCTCTCTGTCTGTGTCCACTAATATCATTTCAAAGGCCATCTTTCGACATATGAGGGTGGAGACCCCTTTATATTTTGTTTGTGAGATGGAGTGGTATTGGTAGGGATAACGGTCTGTCAGTATGTGGGGGTGGTTTGTCCCTCTCAAGTGGGTCTCCTGCAGGCATACGATGTCGGCATCATTTTGCCGTATGTCCCTACCCAGGAGGTGCCTCTTCACCGGGAGGTTCAATCCCCTCACATTATGGCTATAAATCTTTATGGTGTCATGTATGGGAAGTATCTGTATATTACCAGTTGACCTTTAGTTTTTGGAGGGGTCTGCCTCTCCCAGCTCGGTCGAGCAAGGCAGCTCTGCTCCTGTGTACCCCACAGAGGCATAGTTGTGTTTCCTGGATGTCCCATACCAGAGTCCAGCTTCAGTGCAGGAACCTCATCGGATTCAGTATGACAAATGATGACGGGTGTGCATGGGCGACCCACTAGGCCCTTGTGTAGGGGGGGAAGGATAGGTAGGGGTGTGCAATAGGGTGAAAACACAGTATATAACAACATACAAAAACTTTTCCAAACATACTAATATGTATTATCTTAGTTGCCAAGAATGTGGCTTGGCGCCTATAGGAGATGCCTTGGGGGTCGGAGCTGAGAGCTTCGAGCCCGGAAGGTGTAGCTTCCGCGAGGTCGGCCCTCGCTAACACGGTGGTTAAGTAAGGTGACCCTAAAATGTTCAATTCGTATTCTCGTGTTCCGCTTAAGCTCGTCTATGGATAATGGCCCTCGTGTGGGCTTTCAATAATGCCATGCTCATGTTATTTACATATATATTACCCCTTCGTCTCCCATCCTAAGTGCTGCGATAAGGCAATTAAACAACCAGTGGGTATTAGTGCTCGGGCGTTTGCTGTACATTCTAACCTTTCCCCTTGCATTGCCCGGGTGTAAGGCTGTTTACAAAGCCTCTAGTACTATTGTAAGGGTGTGTGATGATAAGGCACTAGCCTGTAATCTTAAGTGTGCGGAAACCATACATTACATTATTCTTGCGAACCCAGGAAAGGCTGTGGTTGTAGCATAGTCCATGGCTTATTGGCTATTTGCGGGTTTTCTTCCATGCTTGAGGTAATCGTCCAGCTGCTTGGGCCTCCGGTTGTTGTGCCGGTGGGTTGATTCCCCTGTCTTTAAGCGTTTGCAGTCCTTCTTCAGGTTTGCAAATGGCGCTGAGGGACCCATTTCTGTGTACCAGCAGCTTAGTCGGGTATCCCATCTGTATGCGATGTTATTGCTTCTGAGAAATTCAGTGATGGCGCCAAAGGTTTTCCTCTTCTTGTGCGTCATTGCTGAGATGTCTTCGAAGACTTAGATTTTTTGGTATGTTGCTGGTAAGTCTTTGTGCATGCGGCTGGCTTTTATGATCGCCTCTTTGGCGTGATAGTAGTGCATTTTAAGGACTATATCTCTGGGCGTATCGGTGGGCAAATAGTGCGGTTTTGCCACTCTGTGGATTCTGTCCATTAGCAGGACGTCTTGGGGCAAGTCCGGGACTAGGAAGTGTAATAGTTCGGTGGCATATGCTGGTAAGTCTTGTGGGCCTATGTTCTCTGGAATATTCCTCAGACGCAGGCTCCTCCGGCATGCCCTATCTTCCAGGTCAGCCAATTTTGCCTCATAATCATTAATCCGATCCCATGCTTCCTCCACTTTAGTCACTAGGCGGTTATGGGCCTCCACGTGCTCCTCCATGTTTGACTCCAGCTCTGATGTGCACGTTCCCAGCGCCTGGATATGTAAACGATCTCTGCAGTGTGTCCTGTAGTTTTGATGCCATGCTGTCGAACATCGCTTGTAGGCTTTCTGTTGTAAGTATAAGGCCAGTTGGGTCTGGTTTTACCGCCTGATCACCGTCTGCATCGTCGCCATCTTGGGATTCCTCCGGCAGTGGCGCTCCCTTTGCCTGTCCTTGTTTGGTCCAGAAAAAGTGCAGCTTATCTTGTTTTTCGGACGCTCGTTTTCCCTTCTGGTGAGACATGGTTGGGTAAGCCTGTTGTTTTTCCTGGGATTTAAGGGTCTTAAATGCTGTGCGAGGGCCTAATTTTCACGGAGCTAGCCAAGCATGCGACCACTCGCGTTTGTTCCTGGTCACACACCCCTACCATTAAACTTTTGAATTCATATTCATTCTCTTTTTTAAATTTCTTAGTGTGTGTAGCGAAAAATCTCAATGAATGCAGTAATTCTGTTACCAAATGCAATATTGTAGCATCATAATAGCTCTGTAGCTGATCTGGATGGTAACTTATTCAGATGTTAAAAGTTCCAGGCTGCAACACTTAGTTGTTGCACAGCCCTTTATGCCACTTCTGACAGCTAGTTAGGAGTAACAAGAGCTCTGCTTCTACCAATGCTCATCACTGCGCAGCCCCTAGATGTTTGGAGTGATTTAAATCCCTTTTACTCATACTTTACGGGCTATAAAAAAAGAATCATATTGGAAAAAGTTTTGCATTCTCTAGTAGGACAGCAGTAAAACTACGGTATTTGTGTTCACCATATCTGTTCAAGAGTAACAATGTACCCTGGCTTGCAAGAATGGGTAATTATCACTTTAAACCAAAATAGACCTATGTGTAACTCCAGATTGTTTTAACGGACAAAATTTATTAGATAAGATTTCACTGAGATTTTAATTTCACCTTCCACTTTAATCACCTGTAATTAAGTTTTTTGGGTGGAGCTACCTTGGACTGTACTGAAATATTTTTGCAGTCTGGGAGTTCAACATTGTGGTGACTTTAACTTGGAGTTGCTACCAACATGTTCTTGTTGGTGATACTGTTACAACTTCTATAACACAGGCAATATATAAGATAAAAGAGCAGTTAACAGTACACCAGATTATCTGTATAGTTGGTGGCAAGCAATATATCGGGCAGACTGATGTCCCAAGGCACGGATAAAGGAATCTTTCATTGTCCGATAAAACTATGTTAGTAAGGGCATTACTAGCTGTGATGTTTATCATTATTTACCATTCCTAGCTGTGATGTTTTGTCATTTTTAATTATCATTTTCTGGCCATAGAGAGAGACAAACATATATTTAGGGATGGCTATAGATCCAAGGCACTTCCATGTCGGGAGGTCTTTTAACTGTTTACACTGTCCACAAAGATTCCTAGTTGATTTAGAGAGGAATTTGGAGGTGGGAACATTTTCACGTATTTAGGTTTTCTTGTTCTCTTTTTATCCCTTGTCTCCCTTGTTAGGTACCCTGTTGTCCTAAGACTTGTCTTGAAAGGAGAATGCACATGTTTAATAATGCAAGAGCAATACTAGAGTGCTGCTCTCACCTCTTTCTACACAATTCTGCAGTTGCTTGTAAATTTACTGATGAACACTTGTGAGGATTAACCTGAATATTGTTAAGTTTTAATTTTTTCCCACTTCCTATCTGGCTGTCAATTGTTGCTTAATTCACATCTCACACAATTATATCTAGTAGTATTTAGTCATAAAATAATCTTTTGTGTCACTTTTCCACCCAGCAACACTATCCAGTATGTGATCTTAAGCTATATGAAACATCTTGGTGTGAAGGTTAAAGAATCTCGAAGCCTAGAACAGAAGCGTGGCCGCATTGGTTTCTTGCCTAAAATTAAGGTATGAATGTAAACTAGTAAATGCTTTACAAAATATTTAGTCAGTTTTTCATATACAAGTAACATTTAACAAGCCGTAAGGGTTTAGGCGAGTGAGTTAAAATATTCATGCAAATAGTTCTAGATTGTAACTAGTTCATAGTTATAGACAGTTGTACAGTCATAGGAAAAATAAAGTACACCCTCTTTGAATTCTATGGTTTTACATATCAAGACATAATAACAATGATCTATTCCTTAGCAGGTCCTAAAATTAGGTAAATACAACATCACATGACACAAACAAGCTCATGTAACACCTTACTTTACACAAAGCAGACATAACAATACTCAAAACTAAGTAGAGAATCATGTTCCTTGAATGAGCCTTGTCTACTGTTTAGGGATTTCAGGCTGTGTTCAGCAGTTGGCAGGGCCACTGCCCAGAGTGGAGAGAGTGTTTATTCCATACAGCGTGCACTTTTCTGCACGTCTGCAGGAGGCCTCTAATATTGAAGTAGCATAATCACAGTCTTTTTCCCAAAAGATAAGGTAAAAAAGAGAACTGTGAAATACACTAAACAAAAAAATCCCCCAACATTCTATACAGGATTCTTTAATTCACAACAAATATATGTTTGTGATTGCAAATTATAGACCGTTCCAGCTTTTTCATTCATTGTTGTGTCCTCTTTGACCATAAAATAACCTTAAGATAACTTTACATTTTTTTTGCTTGTAGCAAAGCATGAAGAAAGACAAAGAGGGGGAGGAAAAAGGGAAGCGCAGAGGGTTCTCCAGCATACTAGGACCTCCACGGAGACCAAGTCGCCAAGACAGTAATGCAAGTAAGTATGAGCTAGTAACAACTTGACACAGAAAGTTATGCTTTAGTTAATATTACGTTTTAGTGTAAATGAGCATTCTATATTCAGGAATGCAAACATGTATTCCTTACACTATAGTGCTGGTGTGGATGTTTAGGTGACCAGCCCGCTCTGATCATGCTGAAAAGGTGAGTTTACTTACCTTTTTTTTCCCCCCATTGTGCTGGTATTGCCAAGGCTGACTTTGCCTTAATGGCTGAATTAATCTCTCTCCCATAGACAGCATTGGGAGGCTATAGCAATACATCTGTATGAGGAACAGTCGGTGTCACTCTGTGCAGCTCTGGACAAGGAAGCACCAAAAAATGGTGTTAAAATATATACTTAAAATACTTATGTCATCAAGTGTTTCTTTTTGCTTAGAAAAACAAAATAATGCAGACTTACCACTTAGTGACCGCGGACGTATCTGGTACATCCGCAGCAAATTTGAGCGCTGGAAGCGATCATGATCGCTTTCAGCCGCTCTAACGGTATTGCAGCAATGCCTCGATGTTGATAGGATCGAGGCGGGAAGAAGGTTGGTGTAGCCTGCCAGTTGTAACCCTGCTTTAGTAATGTACATCATAAGTGCCGTAAATAAATACATTTTCCTGCATCTTACAACTGGTAAAAAATCCATCCCTGTCAATGAGACATGTGGGTTTTAGTATTTACCTACTAATTAAGAAACTGTACATGGTTGTGACTTTGCCTTAAGCTTTTTTCAAGAGCCAGAAAGTACGCTACTCACAAACGTACAGTTTTGTATGTCATTTTCAAGTAATCTTTCCTATGTTTTTATATAGTATCTAGGGCCATGGAAATACAAAAGCAGAGGCACCATAAGCACTTATCCACATCCTCATCCAGTAGCCCTGAACCAGCAGAAGGTAGCAGATTACGCTCCAGTGGTGGATCAGTAGAGGTTCCAGATGGATATTTTGTCCAAATATCCACAACAAAGCTACTCCCGGTTTTCAGCTCCTCAGAAGAGGGCAAAGAAGTGGAAGGAGGTAAGTGCCAACATAACATCTAACAGAACTACTATTAATGTGCTTAAACTTGGAATAAGTGCTCTGTTAACACTGATAACTGAGCTGCAACATTTGTATTTTTCAGTTACCCAGATTTTCTTAATATTATTACTTGCTTTTCAGCTCTGAAAGCTGAGGTCTTGCCCTCTGATTCTAGTGAAGGGACATCTCGTATATCTGGTACCATCTTTGATAGCCCATCCTCTCCTTTAGACCTTCTTCATGAAGATGTTGGCGATACTGATCGGTATGAATTGTACACTTATATTTGATGTCTTGGAATATAACTTTTCCTTAATTTACATCTTTCCATTTATGGGTGTTACTTTTTTTTCTTCATCATTCATATCAGGTCTAGTGAACTGGGGACTCCAAAGCCTTTCAGAAAGTGAGTATAATAATGTACAAAATGTATTTAAATAAACAAAATGTATGTTCTGGTCTAATGCTTATATACTATGATATGTTTATTATATATGGTTTCTTCTTTTATTGTCTTGTATTATAAATTTTTTTCTTTTCTTCTGATTTGTCGTTGACAAACAAGGTATGTCTTAGATATACCACAGGCATGTTATAATATCATTACACACCAGTCACTAGAGTGGAAAACAAGCTTGTTGTCAGTGATTTATTATTAATTAAAATATTGAACTACCTGTTAAAAATTAAAATCATCCACATCTACAGATGTTTCTATATTCAACACAGACCATGCCCCCTATTTTAACTTTACAAGTGAAAACATTGATATTCTGCAGAACTCCAGTGTTTATATTGCAGAGCTTAAATGCCTCTAGTGGCTGTCATTCAGAGGAAATAGCACAGTGTGGCGTTTTGCTGCACATGCCCACCAGCCTCCCACTGCTTTCCTATGAGAAAGCATTGGGCTGGGTGAGCTCAACTCTGCCCTTGATCTTCCGGTAGTTCAGTCAACCACTGGATGAGGTTGATTGGAGTTATAATTCACATAGCTAGTTAGCAAGAGGTTCCCTCAGTAACCCATGGTATCAGGTATGTGTTTTTAACTCCCATGAGCCTCAGCCAGAGTCTCACAGAGCATGACAGAAGGTTTATGTGACTGTTGGGCTATGCATGAGTATTGTGCTATATGGGCGGTGGGCTGTTGTGGGCTGTGGATGATGCACTTCCTTTCTTTTGGTTCCCCATTTCCTGGTCATGTTGGCAGTTGGTGGAATGTACTGGGGAATAGAAATGGTGGCTGCAGAAACCTTGCAGGCAGCAATATCAGGAACCTTGTATATATGTAATAATAAAGTGAGTACTTGATTATACAGAAATAATTGACTGGTTTGTACAAGACAACAGAAACATCAACACATTTTACTAAACATCACAGTTGAAGGTGAGGTAAAGCTTACAACCAATTGATGACCTTTTTTTTTTTTTTCTTTCTTTTTTTTTTTGCATCTACTTCCTGCTGGACTAATATGGCAAATTAAACATCACATTCAGTGTCTGCTTAAAATAATTGGTAAAATATTTGTCAGAAGCAATTTGGGGAAGGTTTGGGTTTGACCATTCATGACTCTCACCTATTTTTTCTATATTTTACACTTATTTTGCCATATTTATTCCTAAGCTATTTGGGACTCATTTCTGAGTCATTTAAATAGATTTTCTGATCATCTTCAATTCACGTGAACTGCGAGTAGGTTTTGCACATTTAAAAGATATGAACTACCACAGAATTTAGCCCCCAAAATAAAAAGTGACGATTGTTTTCTCTATGAACCCAAAAAAGAAACCTTGCTGTTGCTTTTTTAGTTGAAACATGAAACAAGTGTAGGGATAGTAAATATGCACACTAGATTTCTTACACAACCAATTTCACTGACATCTTGCATTACAAGATCAAATAAAACACTTCAGAAATATAAGTTACATGCACATATTGCTCTATAAAAAAAAATAATGTTTGCTAACTACTGTCATTAAAATACAGTGATTTACAACGAATTATTTCAATAAACTGACGACTTTATAACACTTTTTAGGAGCTTTCTTTTCTTACTGTCTCCTTAACCATTTCACTTCACTCCATTTCTTTGCACAGATTGGAGAGCATGAGTCTTATTGAATGTCAAAGTGAGGACGAACTGTACGATATGGGTCTGGAGACTGATCCCCCTAACTGGCAGCAGCTTGTGAGCAGAGATATCCTAATGGGTCTGAAACCACATGAAATCAAACAACAAGAGGTTATAAATGGTGCGGAGCTAAATTAAATAGCATTAATATTCCACATGCCTATCGTTTGCATCATTGTGGATGTGTTGTTGTTTTCATCTGCCTACAATGGAATAATCCTATGCAGTATCCACTATTAAGTGTTTGTTTTACACTGAAAGTGAATTTACCTTCTATTTATCAATGTATATGTGAAAAAAAAAATCATAGTGGTTAAAAATGTGAAGAACTTATTTTGAATATTATCTGACAGCAAACCTTATTTTTCCTTTTTGAACAAATTACATTGAAGTATAAAATGTGTTTTGTTTTTGTTTGTTTTTTCTTCCTTTGGGTTTAAACATAGTTCATACTTGCTGAGGTAATGTCAAATTAATCGCTTAGGTTTCTTTTGTGTTAGATTAGAAACGTCTTCTTCTCAGTCCTTAGATCCTTTTTGAACATAAATTACTTTTTCAGGCAGTTTACTTTATTTTATTTTAATCTTAGAGCAGCTCTGGGACTGAGCTCACCTTGAACAAAAGACATATCTAGACAGTGCTTTCATTCTGTGTTGAGTTATGAATTATAGCTTTGTTGCACATATTCTTATTTTCTTTTGCCAGTTTTCTACCCACCACCCTCCCAAATCAAAGCTTTACTATTAAAGAACGCTTTATTTTCTTTGAAATGGCAACTGCAGCTATAATAATGTGTGCCAGGGATTTATTTAATCCAGAAGTGACTAATATCTGTTGGCATTCTGTAATATTAATTATACTGTATAGAAAGATTGCTTCTGACATAACTATTCTTGTTTACTTTTTGTTCTTCTCTAACAGAGTTGTTTTACACCGAGCGAGCTCATGTTAGAACACTCAATGTCCTAGATCAGGTGTTTCACCAGCGTGTGATTCGTGAAAGTCTTTTAACTGCTGCAGAAACCCGTAGTGTGTTCTCCAACTTGGAGGAGATCCTGCAGATACATGGTTAGTGGTCAAAGGGAATATCTGAACAGACATCTTTGTTTTACTACAGCTTAGATTTGTAGACTCAGCATTGAATAATAGTACCCAGTGAGTCCAGGCACACAGGCTTGTGAAATGGAAATTTATTTTACACCCAACCACCTTCATAAATATACTTATGTCTCCACCTATATCTATTAATAATGAATAATGTTTTTACTATACTGGCATAGTTGAAGAAAAAAAGTCTTGTTCATATAGTATTGACCTGTGGTAGGCTGCAGAAGCTTTATGGAGACATTACTTTGTCTTCGGGGGAGACAGCCACTTGAACTACAATGTTTAACATTGCAACACTAAGTGCAATAGGGACACTGTACCCAGACCACTTCAATAAGCTGAAGTGGTCTGGGTGTATTTTTAAGTACACATACCTAACTGACATTGTATCCATTCATATATCCAGATTAGGGTTATGGATTTTATTGTGCTAAAAAAAATTATGAAACAAACTATTACAAGTTAGTCAAGGAATGAAAACCGTACCAATAATTAAATTTAGCAGATTTATATCATGCCGGAGATCACTTTTACACTCTAACTGTAGATTTCTGCTCTCTATCATGTCTTATTGTCAAAAATAAATATTAAGGCCATGATTTAATATTTTTAGATACGATTTTCAAATTATCACAATCTGTTAGAAAAACTTTTCAAATGATTCATAAATCATCATTGAAGTCTAGCTTTTTTTTTGTGTAGATAAATCATCTGAAATTGTTTTTCGTAACAAAATTAAATCAAGGCCTAAATTGGTAAAGTTTATACCATTGGTAACATGTGGTATTCTTTTATTTGTGGTAAAGCTATGGTAACTTAGCTTTATGCAAATATTTATTTTGCTCTCCCACCAATCTGCATGATTAGTAAAAGAAAGAAAATGGAAAGTTTCACGTTTTATTACCCAAGTAACCTTGTAGCATTTGTCATTTTTTTCTCTAAAGACTACAAATTATTAATGCACTTTCCACTCTTCTAAGTTGGTTTAAATGAACAGATGAAAGCTGTCCGGAAACGCTATGAAACCTCTTTGATCGGTCAGATTGGTGATGATGTACTCAGTTGGGTAAGTTGACCTGCTGTTTAGTTGGAAGTTCTGTGCGTAAACCCATGAAGTACACGTCATGATTTATTCTCTTTTGATCACAGTTCAGTGGACCTGAGGAGGAGAAACTGAAGCAGGCAGTTGCCACCTTTTGCAGTAATCAGCCCTTTGCTTTAGACATGATCAAATCTCGACAGAAAAAAGACTCAAGGTTCCTGACATTTGTACAGGTGAAAGAAATAAAATATGTGTAAATGGAATGCAATCATATGTTTTCCAAAAAAAGTAGACATTGGCTTCAGATTTTAAAGTAATTGGGGGGGTGGGAATTGCTAGATTTGTACAAGTTTGTAAACCAGATATCTTTTGTTGTGATTTTAGAAGAGATTTGAAAAAAAATAATATATATAGAATTACCAGCAGGGCATTGTTGTATTAAGACGTGCAATTCAGATTTGCCCTGACAGTCACTTAGATATCCAGTGTATATCAGGGTCCTGTAGTAATCAAAACTACAAAACTAATCAACTGTAATCAAAATTAACAGGGAACACTCTAACAATAACAAATTATTGGCCAATGAGTGATTTGTGTGATACTCCCTAAACATGTGCAAGAGTAAAGCATTGACAAAGTTTAGGGCAACTGAAGCCCTGACAGTCACTTAGATATCCAGTGTATATCAGGGTCCTGTAGTAATCAAAACTACAAAACTAATCAACTGTAATCAAAATTAACAGGGAACACTCTAACAATAACAAATTAATTATTTATTATTAATGTCGGTGTTCCTATACTTGCTATAGCATTTTATTCTGTATCACACAATAACATTTGCTTTTGTAACTGTGATTTCCTTTCCTCTTTATTCACTTCTCTTTATGTATCATATTTTAACCTCAGGTTCTTGTTTAAATAAAGTTTAGTATTATTATTTATGATTTCTTGTTTTGCCATTACCTTTGAATGATTTAATTTAGGAGGTAATTTCAGTAAAGTGGGTTTCTGCCCTTGCCAGGTGGACTCCTTTACCTTATTTGTATGTATTTTCTACAGCTTAATGTAGTTGTTCTAGTAAGTATAATTATTCCCTGCAAGCATTTTCATGCAAACAATGGGTTTTATATATATATATTTATTTATTTATTTTTCCAGTTTCTTTTCTTCCTGATTTACCGCTTGTTATACTGGCACTTTTAGTTGACATTCATGCTCAAGTGTGAATCCTTGGTACTTTAAAGTGTATTTCAAATTTTAGGTCAAAGTAGCTGGCTTGGAGAATTTTTGCAATTTGACCATTTTGACTAAACTTTTGAACCCAGCCTGAGATCACTGATTCTCTCTTTTTGTGAATAACCCCGATAGACTTACGGTCAAATATTTTGTTATTCTAAGCTTCATCATCACGTTCAGCTCTTTAGTTATACAGTCTTTTTTTTTTTTTATCATTTTATGTTCCTTTAGCATATATTGGTGATGTTGCTTATGTGCATGTAATTATCAGTGAAATATAATAACTCATGTTTGACACTCCTTTGCAGGATGCAGAGAGTAACCCACTGTGCAGACGTCAGCAGCTGAAAGATATTATTCCAACTGAGATGCAGAGGCTAACCAAATATCCACTTTTACTTGATAATATTGCCAAGTACTCAGGTAATTATCTCATTGCGGTTTTACGAATCTGACAGAATTATCCACTGCCTCTTAAACATACTTCAGTTTTTGACATTTCCTTTACTAGCTAAGCAGAAAACTCTTCCCTCCCCCCACCACCCATTAATCCCTTTGGGTGTTCATTTGATTGATATCACACTGAAATTCTACTTATGGTGGACTGCGCAGTGAAAATATATGTTTGTACAAATAGACTTTTGTTTCTGCTTCTGTACGATTGATAGCAGGAATGTTTGAGAACCTATCCATCAAAGTTTGATTACAAGGGTATAAGACAAATTTTGATTCTTTTTGGGTTCACCGTTTTTGTCATTTGACAAGCTCTTTCCCTCTCAATTTAGTAGTCTTTCTTGATTCTCCTCTATAATTGAATGTATTTGAAAAAAAGATCAGCCTAAGTAGGGCTCACAGGGGATTAACATGCTTTTCTGAAAGTCATCCTGTCATGGCAAAATCACACATTTTGTAAACTAATGCAGTTTTAAGAAAGTTCTTGATATTCGTGTTGACAATACTATTGCAACTGGTATGGGACTTCTGAAGGTGTGACACATAAATGCTAAAAAAAAACAAAAAAAACACACTAATGAATAATCCAGATTTTTCCATTATGCAGGTATCCAAAAGTGTTTTCAGACATAATGTTGGATACAACTCTACAACTGTAGCATAACATTTTTAGGGAGATTTATTCTTAATGGACAATGACACAAATTAATTTATTTGGTCATACATATCAAGGTAGTGTCCAGATGCTGATTACGTAACACACATTTTGGCTGAAAATTGAGGAAATGCATTATCGGGACAGAAGCAGAGAATATTTTGGCTGAATAATGAGAAGAAGCATTACAGTGACAGTAGCATAGAGGGTATATTTTGCATGCCTGGTATGCTTTGTTTTTTGGGGGGGATTTCATTTACAACCTCTTTACACCACAAACATTACAATATGTTATGATCATTAGCCATCTGCACACTATTGTAGGTTATAGCCAATCTGGTTGAATATGGCAGTACATTTCAGATTTTTTTTTTACTTGTTTTGACTATCCTTGTTTGCTCTTCATCTCAGATATTGTCTGTCTTCTGAATGGATATACCATTCAGAAAAATGCAGCAGGTTTATCACAAATAAATATCAAGATCAATCTTATGGTCAGGCCAGTAGAGCTAGAATGGCAAAACAGTCCCACATTATTTTTTCCCCAAGGACTTTTCTAGGTAAAGTCACAGAGAGCCTTCACATGGAATAACTAGAGTGATCATTACAAATTAAAAGGATCACAATAACTGTGCTGTGGTGATTTCTATCAATTTATTTTGTTTTGAAGTCACAACCCATGGCTTTTTCTGTTCTCCCTACAAGTAAAACCGTACAGACCTTTATTCGTAGTTTTAAGTGTTTCTGGTCTCTTAAATTGGAATATTGATTGCCTCTTTAAAACTTAAGTTCTCTGTGGAAAATCTAGATCAGCTCTGCTAATCAATACCTTGGACTTTAAAGCTATTGCAAGGGCTCTGCTGACTTGTCACCCCTTACCATTCAAGCAATGCTGCTTACATAAACCACAAGGAGACATAAGCACTGACAGAAATGACATGCATCATGTTCTCGGCAGGTTGATAATTCCATTTCAGCTGTTTGAACCCCTAGGGCAGACTACTGAGAAGTTGATTTTTTTTCAGTCAGCAAGTTTTCGCTAAAGGCAACTGACATGAAATATAGGAATTCTAAAGATGGATGTAGTCGAAAGCAGGCTCTACAGTCCTGCTTAACATCAGGGAGCCATTTAGTATCTGTCACTGAAAAAATGCATTGTTATTGTGTTTTATATATATATATATATATATATATATATATATATATATATATATTTCTATATTATACACAGCTTTTCCTTTATATTTCTAACTTTCCATACTGTGTGAAATATAGCATGTGATTTTGTTGTACAATATACAATGTTCACTCTGCATTGGATCTAAACTCTGCTGATATTTTACAAATGTATTGTTATCTAGTAATTACAGAGACAGTTAATTATTACCCCACATGTATTGACCTGTATTTTCTGGTGTGTCATACTGTAGCACTATACTGAAGGTTGTTAGTCAGTGGTTGGTAAGGTTAAAGCAGATCCTGATGTATCTACTGTGTGTTGTATAGTTGTGCTATGCATTTCCACGTTGGCTAGGCATTCAGTGTGGCTGGCTCAGGTTGCATTCTCTACATTCTGATTGTGTAATCTGCTCTCCTGTGTGAGAAGTGATCACTTGCATAATTCCTATTCACATGTCTTGTACCTGTTGCAATGTTTAGTATGCTGATACTAATGTTTATAGTTATATGTGATGTTAGTTGTGTAATTATACCTGAAAGACGTAGTATAATGTCCCCATGAATGTATTTTGTTGTGAAATATATTTACTATTTGCTAGGCAAAGGCTAAGGCTGCTGAATAGATAATGAATAGGCCTTCACAGTGGCATTTTTTTCTTCCTGTATTGTGTTACTGTCCATTGGTGGTTGTTTTAGAAGCTGTACAGGTGATAGATGCACATTCCTCAGTTCTATACTGAATGCATATCATTACCCTTTGGTCATAGTGCTATTAGGTCCCCACTGGTCTGTTTCCAAAATGTACATTTTGATGATTTGTGCTTGTATTTAGTTCTCTTGTAACCTCCCCTTTTCTCTGAGGATGAAAGATCAGATATCCATCCAATAAAGTAACTAATTGGCCCACTACAACAAGAGCTATGTATCTTGTTGAAACTGCAGAAACATTAACTTCTATCGGGCATGGCCTGGAGAAAAACATCACTGGAGGTTTCCTGAGAAACGAGAAGTAATGTTCCACATAGTGCGACAAGGACTAGGTCTTTTCTTTACAGCAAGATGACAAGATGCACACATGACTTGAGATGTCTGCATGAGCTGTGATTTATCATTCAGTTGAATGAGAATTAATGGCCATATGCAACACATCCAACATTGACTTCTTGTTGGCTTGAAAAATAATGCATGTGAAGGGGAGGTGACTTCTTTCCACTTGCAAATGTTTTTGTCATTCACTTAAATGAGAACGCTGCTATGTGGTTTATGGAAAATGTATTGTACACTATTTAGTGACATTGTGAGTTGAAGTGGGCTGTTAGTGGGAGAAAAAAGTACATACTTACAGCTATGCTAAATGTTTATTAAACCAGTGAGAGAGGTCTTATTGAGTTGTGACTCTCATGGCCGACTTCATATTTGTAAAATGTACATAGAATAAATAGCAGCTGGATTTATAAATAGAATCCAGATTGTGCAGATTTTTTTTTTTTTCATTGTCATTTTAACTAAATTTGAAATACATTTTGGTAAAGTGTACTACAGATATTAGACTTAACTCAGACACACATGCTGAACTGGGTGTCCCGATGCATGTAGACTGCAGTTTTATCGTCACTTCTACCTGCAAATGAATACAATAAAACACTGTTTCTGTTTCGAGCTTATGTACTTCTTATTAGCTAAGTGTTCATATTTTAGTTGTAAAAATGGATCAGTCACCAATTCTTCTGTTCTGCTGAACTATATACTAAAATATATTCACTAGAATGTTGAAAGTCACACAGTGTAATAAGGTTCTCCATTGAAGTGGGGAACAAGGTAATTGTATTGTTAGCAGTTATCTTGGTCTGAATAAGTACAGTGGGCAGCAGGGACACAGTTTTTGGTTCAGAACTTCTCAAGGCAAGATTAGGTAGAACATTTCAACTTTTGGATTAACTTTTAAATTTTAACTTTCGAATTAACTTGAGAATAGTATTAACTAGAATGTATATTCAGTATATTTGGATGATCTACATTTGGTACTTCTAGTTATGAACTCCAAATCTTTTACATCTCGAGTGCATTAATTCAGTGAAACTTAAAGGGGCACCTCAGCAAATTATATATTACTGTAACTGTAATGACCGCACTGCTTTGTTTTCCTTTCAACAGACCGGCAAGATGAGAAGGACAAGATTAAAAGGGCAGCAGAACACTGCCGGCGGATTTTGGATTATGTGAATCAGGCTGTAAGAGAAGCAGAAAATAAACAGGTATCCATGCAATCAATGCTTTACCTTCCCAGTCAATGGTATTTCTAGGGCTATTTAAGGCTAAACAAGAAAACACAGCCTTACCTTTCCCATTATGTAAGGATCATGCAGTTCAGGAATAAGTTTTATAGAAATATGTAGGAAAATACTTTTTCTTTATACTACCCATTCAACATTAAGAATACTTTTTTTGTTGTTTTTGTTTTCTATAAGTTTTCATTTTAATTTCTGAGCACATCTTCCAAACATGTTTGAAATATTATTTGCTTTTTTACTTTATAAATAAAATCAATAAAAAGTTTGAACAAAGGACAACTAATGTTGTAATTCAGTGATATCTCTAGAAATAATGCTTACTTGCAGTGTTCATTTCCATGGGCTCCCAAATGATATCACAAGAAGACTTATATTCTGGTTCCTGTGTTACTTATGCTCCTAATAGTTTGCTGTCATTTTGTTTTGGCAGAAATTAGAGGATTACCAACACAGACTGGATCTATCCTATTTGAAGCCAGGAGAGTATCCTATGATTGATGAATTACGAGTAAGTCATTTTCTTTATCGTCTTCAGCACAATAATGTTACATGCTGCACTGAAATGGCAGTTGTGAATATTCTATTTTTCAAATGCTTATATCTAATAGTGCATAGAGTGACAATGATATTATTATTTTATAAAGTTGAACTAATCACTGGCAAAATATCTCAAAGCTTTTTGTGGAATATAGAAAAAGTGCATTAATACACTGTTATTTGGCTGCTACATAGCTAGTCAAGATGTTGATTCTCCTTGTTTCTTACCCATGATTTGTTAATTAAAAATAAATTGTTTAATTTTTCATTATGTAAATGTTGAAAAAACTTAACCTTGGCATTTCCGTATTTTGGACAGAGTCTTGATTTAACCAAAAGGAAGATGATTCACGAGGGTCCTTTAGCGTGGAAAGTAAATCGAGATAAGACGATTGGTAAGCCAATTAAAGAGTGTATTTAATTGAATCATCATTCAATTATTTAGATATATATAGTAAACTGGCCACTAGGTTTGTTTGTGTGTATTTATATGTTATAATATATATATATATATATATAAGTTCAAAATATATCTAATATATATAAAAGTTAAAAAAAAAATATATATATATATATATATATATATATATATATATATATATATATATATATTATAAGTTCAAAAAACACTTTTTGTGTGTCCTGATGAAAGCTCCAACCGGGAGTTGAAATGTTGACCGTCCTGGATTGACTGTAAAATAATCGACTCTGCAAAGCCTAGAGTGCCGGTATTTTTTTGAACTTATAATATTATTGTGACTTGGCACCGGGTAATAACATTTTTTGTCAGTTGGAATGCAAGAGTTTCAATTTAACCATAAATAAATAATTATTATTATTAAAAATGTACAAACTAAACCTTCTGAAGCACATTACAATCCAGATACAAAGAAATATAATGCAGGGTTTTCTGGGTGGCATATCTGGGCCCTAAGATTAACAAAGGGGTTCCTGGAAACTTCTCTCTCATTCACACCCTAACCTTTTAAAGTTTTGGGTAAAAATAAGTAGTCTCTTAAGACCTATAGCCCAGGTTTATTGGTTTAGAGGTTTATATAAAGATGTGTTCCTAACACTATATTGTTCATGTAACAGCCCTTCAAATAATTTCTCAACTACATATATTAAGCTCACAGATTTGTAGTTTCCAGATTGAGCTTTTAACTTTTTTTAAATTAGACACCATATCTGCTTTTCTCCAATCCTCTGGTACAATTCCTAATACAATTAACTCTTAATAAATGACCAGTATCCTGGCCCCGAGTATTAACCCTATCCATTAGCTAAGGGCCCCAAACACATAGCTTGCAATCCTCATAAAACACCCGCTCCACAAAAAATGACATATGGCATACTTGCACCTTTCCTTGTTAGAAGTATTCAGTATGGAGTCTCTATAACCTAAAAATAAATCACTGTACAACCCTGCGCAAGTCTCATTCTTTTGAGACTTGCTTGGTTATGTTTTCAAATAATCCAAATTTCAACCAATCTTTGTACTCCCTCAAAACTTATTATATCCCACAATCCTTATTATTTATCAGATTAGGAGTTTAGCACCTTGCAGCAGTTTCACTCATCAGATAATATGAATACAACTGCTGTCTTCGTTCACGGTGGCTGCTATCAGCATATTGCTTGTTTCTTTCTTTCTTTTCTTTTTTGCAGCTATAAACCCAGACATGCAACATTTCAGTGGAAGTTGAGACTTCTCTAGCATGCACCCACCATACATGTTCTGAGTGAATAAATGGGCTTCCAGCCACTGAATATGTTTGCTGCAGTTATAACACAACCAGGGTTATTTACTAAAATGAGAGTTGTCGGGAATGCAAAGAGAATTCAAAGTGAATTTCAAATTTAAGGCCAAAATGGCCCAAAGGAAAACAGAATTGACTTTGAGAATATTCTTGATTTGGCTATTCATTCCTACATTTTCAAATTCATTTTGAATTAGCTTGGAATTCACAACATTTCTCACTTTGGTAAATAACCTTGAATATGTGCACCGCAGCGTATGAAAGGAACTTAAGATTTTGTTTGTCTGTTTTGCCTTTTTAATGTGAGTTTTATATACCAAAAAGTATGTATTCTGTTAGTCATGTATCACTTACACATTTTCTGCTCACTTCATATAGGAACTATAAATAAAGTTTTAGTGACCTAAACTCTTTATGACTATAAATTGTTCTTTTCTATTAAATATTGGGTTAGAATTACAATATTTTCATTAAAATGACATCAAGAATAATCCACAAATAATCAGAATTGCACAAATATACTTTGTATTGAATAAGATATAGTAAAATACATATCCATAAATAGTAGCTGTCCGTTCAGCTAAAGCATATTTTTGCCTATGGTGGGATTAGTGTGTTCTGAACAAGAAACAGTATCACTGTGTTTTGCAACATTTTTCAAATCTAGTAATTTGCACCTTCCCAAGCTAAAACACCAAATAAGCTAAAAGCAAAAAATGAGTTTTTGCATAGGTCTTACTCTGTTATAACAAATGTGCAGCAGTAGGCCAAGGCTGAAAGAAATAGAACTTATTACTTTAAAGTAAATGCTAAAAACACCAAACAGTGCCATGCTAGACTTCATACTTTTCGCAATCAGCAAAAAGCTTTTTGGTATCTGACTCTGGTAGTCAGACTAGCAAATGTTTTTTTTTTTTTTTTTTATAAAATATCAAAAGTTCAGGAAAAGTGTAAGGATTACATTTGCTCTCAAAACGCCATAACCACTGCAGCCAGCTGTTGTTGTTTTGATTTGTTAAGCTGTTTTAGGATGGCCTAACAACTTACCTGGTTCCCACTTGGTAGACATAGCCACATGCCCTGCATACCCTAGCTCCATATTGCTCATCTGTGAGTGCAGTCCTGTATCAGTCTTGACTAGCTCAATAAAGACATTGAACGGGAGAAGCAGGATGTGGCATAAGCCCCCATCAAGCCCATATTTTTCTACATTGTTTCTGTGGGGCCCTCTTCAGTGGGCTGTAGTGGTTATGGTCCTTGGAATTCTACTTTGACTTTAACACACATGCTTAGCCAATCTTCTGATTCCACAAAGATGCAAGTATTGCATTTTCAAATAATGATTGATGTACCTTTCTTATAATGCAAATGTATTCATATTTTACTTCATAGTCAGTATCTGTGTTTGGTGTCTTGAGAGATCATGATATCTGATATTCTTGAAAAGAATGTGTGTCTTTTCTCCCATAACTCATAAGCTCATGGCTGTCACATTATTGCTTTAATTCCTCAGATCTATATACCCTTCTTTTGGAGGACATCCTGGTTTTGCTTCAGAAGCAAGATGACAAACTGATTCTTAGGTGTCACAGCAAGAACCTGGCCTCCACTTCAGACAGCAAACACATATTCAGTCCCGTTATCAAGCTCAGCACTGTATTAGTACGACCTGTGGCGACTGGTAAGTCATGTAAAGCTCATTTGTTATTTATTTTAAAATTTAAACAGGTATATACATTGGTCATTATTTTTATATGATTACATTTTGTTTAGGAGCCAACCTGAAGTTTTCTTAAGAGCCACTGAAGAGCTTGATACATAGATAAAAATATGTAATTTCTATTACGTGTCTTTAAATGGAACAATATTGCAATTCACTTAACCTGTTTTATTATAAAGTTATCCAGACATTTTCCGTGTGTGTGTGTGTGTTTCATAGCTATAGACACAAAATATGCTTAAAAGAATGAACACATTGCTTAATGTCAGAACTTATAGATTACTCAAAAAAGTTTTCTTATTGCTAGCTGGGATCTTACCCATCCTATTTCCCAAATTATATGTTTTAATTGAAGCCATCAGTCCACAAAGTGTTGTTAAAGTAAAACTCTAAACACCTAAGGCACTTTAGCTCGCTGAAGTGCTTTATGTGTGAAGAGCGCATTCCCTTTTTTCTTCCCAGTTACAAAAAAGTGCAGATTTCAATAGAAATTGCCACTTTCATTAAGTACTTGTGTTACATCCCCTTGGCTGTCAGTCCGACAACTGGTCCTGTTACTTCCTGTTTGTTTAGCCTAGTGGAACTAAACTTAAGAAAGGCATTTGCCTAGAGCATCTGCCTTGCAAAGACTTCTCATTGAACTGAAATGGGAAGTCTGTGATTGGGCAGCTTCAGAAAGTCTGGCCTGGATTAGTAGCATGCAAAGGCTGCAGACAAATGATCTACAGACTGTTTACACCCAATGAAATAGTAATTTATTTAGTGCTTTTTAGAAGTCAAAGTGGCTGTAACCCACACATCCAATCTTCTTGAATTAATTTGACAACATGTTTGCCTATTTCATTCTCAAAATAGCTTTTTGAAGTAATTAGCCTAGCTTTTCACAAACCTATCCCTACCTATTCTGTGCGTCCTATATTCTAAAAACACCAAACAGTGCCATGCTAGACTTCTAAAAAGTACATAAAAATGGTTAAGTAAGTATACTTGTGTAAGAACCTGGAATGCATTACCTGCAGTACAGCTTCAATATGGCAACAGAATGTGAAAAGAATTTCTGTATTTGAGAATAATGTCCACGTAAATACAGTTAGATGATTTCTAGAGTGAAGATATTTAAAAAGTGCTGTTGCATTGTATTACTCTCTTAAATGCTAATTCACTCCTCCCCCTCCCTGATTGTAGGAATTGTTGGACTAATTGGACATTTTGTTTACAGTTTTCTAAGAAGAGGGCAGGCATTAAATAAGTATTTAGTCAAGAAATTAAATAAGTAACTAGTGGTTTTTTTTCAGGCAGAGTATAAATTAAGATAATTGAGGCTTTATCGACAAACTTTTGTTGTGCAAAGTACATGAAAGTAAACATTTTTATATTCCATTCTGGAAGTGAAGAGGTTCATCTAGAGATCTCCTTGAGCGAACAGCATACCCTTTAATGAAAAGGAATGTATGTTTTTTACAGGTTTTATCCAACCAGTGGGACACTACTTATTTAAAAAAAAAAAAATTCTTTCAATTCTGCTTTTTGTTGCCTATGGTAAAAGCAGCATATGTTATGTAAAACATTCCATTACTCAGATAATTAGTAGGATTACTTTTTTTTAAGTAAGTGGTCACCTCCTATTGTTTCATTAACTTGCAGCATGATAGATGATTTAATTTTTCATTTCTTAGTTTAAGAAATTAATTCAAACTTTCACCATAATTACAAGGGTTTTTTTATTTTTAGCTACAAGCAAATTTAGTGATACTGTTGTAAAAAATAAAAACCTGACAACAGTGAAATTACCTGGACTTTGTGAAATGAATTGCTACTTGCAAAGATACATCATAGCCACAGAAAAATGAAATTCCCTTTCAATATAATAAAGCTTTCAGGAAGAAAATTAGCCTTACCATAGTCTGCCAAAGTCTCTTTTACGCTTCCCGAAGGGTAAAAAAAAAGGCAATTAAGGAAGTCTTAAATCCTCATTAAGCACGCAAGACTTTTCTAGATAGTAATACATTAATTAAAGCTTGACTTTGCTGGAACATTGAAATAATACACACAAACAACTAAATCATATAATATATGTTGTGTTACTCCATGGATTTAGCAATGTAGATCTGCAACTTTAAGGAGGGTAGTTAGATTAGACAGGTGCTAATATGCCTTGTTTCTTGTTCCATGTGGTGCTCCATAGTGGTCAAATAAACATTGGTATTTTGATTAAACACTCATGCATACCTTTTTCATGCCTGTATTTTTTCTTCTTACCAATTCCATGTACTCTTTGGTGGGTGGGGGAGGGGGTTGTCTTTCTCTTTCTCCTTCTGTATCTCCTTATGTACATTTTGTGTCAAAAATGTTAAATAAAGATTGAAAAAAAAAAAAAAATACTGAACAACTGTTCCCATGTGCCATGCAGTGTCAGAGTTAATGTATATATGAAAAGTTCCACATGGGCTCCAAGTAACACATACCAAGAACCCGGGGCTAGTCTTTCTCATGGCCAACTTGCCATTAAACATTCCAGCTCCCTGTTCCCCAGTGCTGCATTAAAGTACATGAAGAATGTCATTAAGAAAGCCTTAAAGTAGTTACTCATGATTGTATCTTTTGAAGTGGTCATGGTTCCTGGAGTTGTCTGTATGTGCAGAGTTTCAATATGAGTATGGCGTTATGGTCTTTTGCTGTTGGAGGTGTAACTTCATCCACGGCAGCGTCATTTGGGCCTAATTAGGCTGCCAGGAACAAGAGTTTAGGGGTGGCTAATGTCAATTCTGTCCACATTTTTATGCACGATCTCAGCTGACGCTCTTAGCCAATGAATGGTTCTGAGTGGATTGACTTCAGAGTTATGCAGCTTTGCAAAAGCTGGAAGTTTATCACCAGTGCTGAAAGCCTTGGAGCCTGGCAGAAACTTGGGTAAGAGGCTTGCCCCATTACCGGAGTACATGGCCAGGGTACTCCTGACACAATAACTTCGGCGGATTGTAGTGGTTATGATGCTTGGAGTTACCTTTAAAATTTTCATTACAACATTGTATTGTAAACGCAGAAAATAAAAAAGTAGTTTAAAAGTAAGAAATAAAAAAACACATTTTTGTTGTTTATGTCAATTATTTATATTTGATTTTGCTTATTTCTAGGATTACCCACTTTTCTGGGTACCAATCTCTTGTGTTTTTGGTATTCTCAATGCCAATTTTCACCTAGTGTCCTAGTTGTTCACCAAAACATTTCCAAAAAAATTAATCAACAAAGTAATTTTTTTGAATTAGTAGGCAATTTGTAATATTCCACTGTGGATGTTTATATCAGGACTAGCTGACATTTCAGCTTCTTTTTTCTTTTCTGTTATCTTTAGTGCAGCCAAATGCTTACTAAGAATCATGGGACAGTGTTTTGTTAATTAATGAGGTTTTAAAAAAAGAAACAAAATCCATCAAACTAAACTTTTCCAAAGATTTATCTTCAGGGCTGCTTGTCCTTCAGTGCCATGCTGTTATACTGGACTTAATTGAAACCCAATTAATTATAAGAATACTTTATAACATGGGAAACAATCATAGCAGAAGGAAAACATGCTACTTTACAATGTTAAATCAGAGCTGTTAAGTCAAAGCTGGTTTCACATGGCTTCATAGAACAGCCTCTTGCTGCAGCAACAGCTAGACATCCGGTATGAACATTACCATATCTTCTCTTTTAAATGTCACAGATTCTCTCTAAACCCATTTCTTTTCTTTTCACAGATAACAAGGCTCTGTTTGTAATATCCATGTCTGAAAATGGTGCTACAATTTACGAGCTAGTTGCAAACACTGCTTCTGAAAAAAATGTGTAAGTTGTTTCCCCTTTAAGCCCCATTTCTCATACTGACATACATACTTATGTATGGCACACAAGATACTCTAGCACCATTTTATTTTAGTTTTGTTTTATCTTCTTTAATCACTGCATCATAAGCCCTTAAGGATTCTGATCTTTTCCCTAAAGTCCCTGTGCTAATATGGAATGTCCTGCATGTTTTGCATTTTCAGGTATATACTGCCATGTGTTTGAAAAATAAGTGAAAAATTAAATTATCAAAATTCATTTTGATATAGCATCTTTAAAGGCCTGTTTGTTATGATGTATTACTACATCACTGGTTATTAAGCTGTTAAGGTAATACCATTCATAAATTATTTATCCTATTAAGGTAGGACAGTGCCCTGAACCTTCAGGCATCAAAACAACATCATTAAGATTAAGTTGTTATGGTGTCCACAGTGTTCCTTTTAAGTTGCATACTTACACCCAGTGTATATTCCCTCAGCACTAATTCAAGTGAATCATTGATGGAGGTTTTTACAAATGGGATTAAAAGCAGACAGGAAATCCAATCTTTCAAGCAGAAATTCCAACTTTCAACATGAAACATTGGCTGTTTTGTATGCTAAGCAATTTTGTTTGTGGAAGAACACTCTTGTGCTTGATAATTTAAGTTATTAACCAAATATGGGCTGAACATTCATGTCAAAATAGGACTCCCTCAGTCCGAACTGCACACATTTGTTACCTGCAGTACTGGCACTTTTGTGCCACACTTGAAGCAGCAAATTAGGCAAAGAGTGTAGCCACACTCGTATGGTATCCCAAAAAATATCACCAGGCAGTTCCATGAAAAGGGATTATTTGTTCATATTTCATTTCATAAAAGCAGAAAAACAGACCACATCAAGTGCAGCTTCAAAAAGCTGCTAAGGAAGTGTCGGTAGTTAATGCGAAACGCATCCAGTTTCCCTAAAGTTCTTTACTCCCAATCCCCTTCCCCTATTGTGGGAGTCTTTTATTATCTTTTCAATCTCTGTGAGGAATACAGTGTGGGAGTGTGTCTTCAAGCTATATTACACTATTTTATCTAGTTACCACTTTTACATGCTCTCCTTGTTTTTGCTGGGGTTTTTTTGTTTTTTGAAACGTTTATCCTTTTTACCACTTTTTTGCATATGTGACAAATCGAAGTGGATTTATAATTTTCAGAATAGTAAAACTGGAAAAGTCCGTTATGCTTTCAGTTAGGCTACTATGGACTTACATTTGAAAATCACTTTAAATTCCCACTTTAGTAAATAGCTCTGTAAGTGGCTATTGCCATTTGCATTTTGCAAAATGGCATATGGTAACATATTCTACCACATATCAAAAGTTACATTTCTTATAGTTTTCCTTTAATGGCAATTTTTGTGCACAACAAAAACGTTTTAGAATGTAGGATAATTTTGAACATTGGCAACACTTGAATTTGCACCTTCACTAACTGACTTGAATTTCTCCTCAACCCAGATGGCAGGACCTGATAGCAAGGATGGCTGCTTCAAGGAAGGTGGAGGATAATAGGCCAGTAATTCCTTTACCTACCGTTTCCACAGCGATCACTAGTGTGTAAGTTGTGAAAGGAAAATGCAAAACTTCAAGATGCAATGTTATTAAATATAGCTACATGAATGTATCGCAGTGTGCTAGGCATGAGAGTGCTAAAATATTAATGACAAATCAGTGGAAACATGAACTTTGTGCTGATCCTATGCATGTTATCAGACTGTGTGGCATATAGAAACAATTGGCGTTAATAGGTTAGTGCAGGCCAGTCGTAAGTGACGTGTTTTTACCGAGACAAATAGTGGTAAATAAAAGAGTGGAATATTTGAAATGTGTAGACAGTTGAAGGATCAGTAAACAAAATGGAGCAAAGAGAAGCATTGGGAAGGGAGGATCAATCTGTCTTTTTATGTTCTTAAAGTATTCACTGCTGACACGGCCATCTTACTTTTTTACCATTAGTGAAGAATCAGAACATGGGAACCAGCAGAAAGTGGACACTGTATGTACTCCAGACCATACCTCCTCCCTGCATTGTTCAGGTATGTATTGCAAATGTAGCTTTTGACTTCAATCTGAAAACTTGGAGATATACTGTATAGGATAGTAATATAATTATTTTAATGTTGCTGTTCTAGAAATAAAGCATTTTCATAACAAGGACACCTTGCACTAAATGAAACCCTGTTCTCAGTTATTTCTATATTTTCTATTTCACATAGGCAAAAACCCAGACACTGAGGCAGTAGTTATGCCTAAATATTTTTCTCCACCTGATACACCTGAAAATGACGTTTCACAAACTACAGGACATGACACATTTAATCTGCACAAAATGGAGTCACTTCCCAAGCCAAGTCCTGCCTCTTCTCACCATTCATCAGAACATCATCGGGCTCTGGATGCACTCCACAACCGTGAGTAGAATTCCACTCAACTAAACACTCTTTTTGCACATAATGCTGAATATCATTAATAGGCAAAAAGAAAGACACTAACCAAAGCCTCTGAATAATTGAACTTTTTGATTTAATTTGTTACTATCCTAAAATATGTTAAAATTATTTTTCCTCTTGTCATATGCTCATACTCATATGCAACAATTGGCATAGTAATCACAAGGGCAAGCAATCAGAACAAAAGAAAAGAAAAAAAGGAGAGAAAATTAAATAATTGAATTAAAAGAGAAGGAGCCACAGACCCTGTGTATGTATAAACAACTTGCCAGTTTGCCCACACTTTTTTAAACCTAGGCATTACTTTGATTAGTCTATATGACATTTGTTCCTAACATCTTGTATATGTTAAAGATTCCTACACCATCTCTTTATTAGTGGGCTCTGATTGTTTTCAAAGCAGTACAATATTATGTTTAGTTGCTATAAGTGTAATGTAAGTGAATATTAATTGGTACTGAATATAATCTAATTAGGTTTTACAATACTGCAGAGCCATTCATTTCTGCTTAATTCAGCTGTTACTTTTTTTGCAGTTGGCTTACTGAAAAAGTTACTATTACAACAACTAATGCTCGTTCAAAAGGAAGAAACTGAAAACTTCCAGCGCTTCTGCAGTCGAAAGTCTCGTGAGCATGTAAGGAAAAGTGAGAGCCAGCTGAGAGCAGTACACAATCGCCAGCATAGGGAAAGTGATGATCAGTACTCAAGTGCTGCGCCCCATTTGGAAAAAACATGTGCAGACAGACAATATGACAATAGTGCCACAGAGTTTGTTGGAGGAACTATTGATTATGGTGGTGAACCTGTTTTTGAGCCTCACTTTGAAGAGCACGCAGAGATTCAATGTAAAGCAAAAGATACAGAAGAAACACAATTCAGGATTTCAGGTTAGTGTTGAGTATCCTAAACTGGATTGAAACTGGTTTCAATGGCCACCTCACAACCCGTTCTCGTCATTGGGAACACTTGGTGCCTGGAATGGAGAACATTTCATTTGCATAGATGATATAAAATGTGTAGCATTTGAAAACTATTCTTATACTTCTTTTTTTGTCAAAGATGTCAAACCGATAAATACATTTTTTTTTTTTTTTTTTGCAGGAAAGTATCTGATTCTGGATGGCTATGAGAAAGTACAAGAGAGCTCTACAGATGAAGATTTATCTGGCACAGACCTTTTAGCACAACGCACCCCACCTGATGTATCAGCTTCTTCTTCACATGTTGGTGAAAGACTGGCAGCACCCATCAGTGAGCACCTTTTGCCTGAGCCTTCTTCTGACGTATTTAGCCACATGCTTCATTATATAGCAAATATTGAGTCAGACCTTCAACAACTGAAGGTGAGCACTGTAAAAACACAATGTACAAACTTTTTTTATTGAAAATAAATATCAGTCTGACAATTTATGTTGGCACAAGCTTGTAGAGAGAGCTCCATGAATTATGGAAAATCATTCCTGTCAATGATGTAATGTGCATATTAAAACCCAGCGTTTACTTCTCTGGAAGTGCCATTTTCTTTCTCTAGTATACTCTGACATGACTAGAAAAGTGGAGGTAATGTCCATACAACTTCAATGTTTAGGGTGACATCACCCTATGATCTGTGCTTGGTCATGCAGTCTCTGGCATCTTTAGAGACACACAGTACAAGCACAGTAAATCATATTGTGCTGCAAGGTTATGGGCAGATAGGCATACAGTGTACATTACAAAGTAAGAATTGTTGAAGTTTTCATTGTTCATATATTTTACTAGTAACAATTCTATTTTAAAATAAAATAAAAATGCAAGAATATATGTTGGCATGAGAAATCTATCCATTAAAATAGCTAGCTGAGCAGATTTTACACCTCTTTGTCATTGTATTAGCTATTACTTGCACATTTTTCAAATAGTAGATGAGATGTGTGGACTTCTGTCCCGTCATGCATAATATTGTGTTTTCTTTTTAATGTTCTAGTAAATATAAATATATATATATATATATATATATATATTATGTGTGTGTATATATTTTGATTTGTCAAAAAAAAATGGTGCTTCTATATTCATGACAAGATATGAATGCAAATTTAGTTGCAGTATCATACAGGCTCCTGTTTTACATTAAGAAAAATAAAGTAATAAAACAATAGTATTGAAGGAGCACAGATTATTGCCAGTCTACCTACACATTGGTACAGTACCAGGAGCAGGTGGTATAGAGCAGGGCTTTAAAAGCATGTATTGTCCATGACATATTCACCAGGGGTGAATTTCTGTTCGGTGTGACTGAAGTTCCATTTGCCAATGGCTAGTGGCAAGTGGAAATATTGAGCCCTGCTCTAGAGTAATTTGTGAGTTAGATATATTGAGTAGGAAAGGAGACACCACCCTCACCACATCAGTCTTACAGAAACCTCCATTGTCTTGACCTACAGCAATTCTCCACCAACCTCCAAACTCTTCTTTCACCCATCTCAAATCTCACCTGCCTGAACACTGCAACATCCCTCTACAACTCCACTCTCTCCTCTCAAATAGACCTCATGGCACCTCCTACACGAAGCTGACCCGATACTTCCAAAAATGTTCCAGAACTGCAACTGCTGAACGCTGCTGACTTCCTCACTCTGCGTCTGACTTCCTCCACTATAAATGTATCATGCTCTCCTACATTCTGGCTCTTTCCTCTTCAAAAGAAAACTATTTCAATACACTCATAAACACATTCTCCCGCGAGCCCAAACGACTGTTTCATGCTTTAAAACTCTCTTCTGTGCCCTGTCGTGCCTCCTCCTATCAACTTGACCACCACAAATTTTACAACTTACTTCTTAATCTGAGAAGATTTCTATAGTCAGGGAAGAGATCTCTCATCTCTTTCCATCCACTACAAACCTTTCCCCTAACCACACTCCCTCAGCCCCTTATGCTCATTTGCACCTGCTACAGCAGGAGAGGTTTCTGCTCTGCTCCGTTCCTCCCGCCCCACCACCTGTTCCCTCAATCCTATTCCCTCGTATCTCATCTGCACTTTGTCCTCTTCTCTTGCTCTGCCTCTCACTAAAATTTTCAATCTCTCCCTCTCCTCTGGCACATTTACTCTAAACTTCAAGCATGCAACCGTAACCCCGATTCTAAAAAAGGCCAACCTTGACCCTAATTCCCCATCCAACTGCCGCCCTATCTCGCTACTGCCGTTTGTCTCCTAGAGGGTTGTGTATACGAGATTGACAGACTTCCTAGAATCCAACTCTCTGCTTGACCCACTTCACTTTGGATTCCGCACTCTTCACTCTGTTGAAACTGCTGTGACCAAAGAATACAATGATCTTATCTCTGAAAAATCCCATGGCCATACTCTGTCCTAATTCTCTTCGACCTTTCTGCTGCTTTTTACATGGTTGAGCATCAACAGCTTATTCTCATCCTCCGTAATCTCGATCTATGAGATACCGCTCTCTCCTGGTTCTCTTTCTAGCTCTCCCAGCGCTTATTCAGTGTTTCTTACTTGGGTTCTGCCTCTTCTCCCCAATCGCTCTCTGTTGGTGTTCCCCAAGGGTCTGTCCTTGGTCCCCTACTGTTCTCAATCTACGCTGATTCCCTTTGGTAAACTCATCAGCCCCTTTGGCTTTCAGTATCATTTCTATGTGGATGACATGCAAATTTATCTGTCCTTCCCTGATTTCTCACCACCCCTTTTGACTTGTGTCTCTGACTGCCTCTCTGTTATTTCCAACTGGATAGCTGCTCATTTCCTTAAACCTGTCCAAAACAGAACTTCTGGTCTTTCCTTCCTCAAGTGTTGCTACTCCCTTGTCTGTGTCCCTCCAAGTTAATGGCACTACCATCCGCTCTACCTCTAAGGCTCTCTGCCTGGGTGTTCTCTTTGACTCCGACCTCTCCTTCATCCCTCATGTCCAATCAATCGCCAAATCCTGCCGCTTCCATTTTAAAAATATTGGGCACATCAGACGGTACGGCAGAGGTGCTTGTCCATGCCGCTGTCCTCTCTTGCCTTGACTACTGTAATACACTTCTCCAAACATGCCCCGTTACAGTCTATAATATATGCGGTGACGAGGCTCATCTTCCTGACCACATCAGCCAATGTAGGGACTCCCCCCTTTTTTAGTCCCTACATTGGCTTCCTGTAAGATAGAGGACTCAATTTAAGATCCTGATACTTGTCTATAAATCCCTACACAATGCTGCTCTGACTGCTTATCCTCACTATTACACAAATATGTCACATCTAGGACCCTACGCTCTTCTGGAGACCTACGTCTAACCTCTGTTCGTACTCCTACCTCTGATGTTCACCTGAAAGACTTATCTAGGGCAGCACCATTCCTATGGAACGCCCTTCCCCTCTCTGTTAGACTTTCACCCAATCTCCACTCCTTCAAAAAATTCTTGGAAAACGTATTTCTTTAGAAAAGCATATTAATTAAACTGTGAACAGCTTTCCCTCCCTGCACCCTGATTCCTCTCCTGAAACTTTCATCAAAACAAAACTATAAGCCCTCAATAAACAATATCCTAGCAACCTACTTTTCTACTCTACCCTTACCTTTTGTGTCACTATACCACGCTCCCTCTAGCATGTAAGCTCATTGAGCAGGGCCCTCAATCCCCTCTGTTCTTGTATGTCCAACTCGTCTGGTTACAAATACTTGTTAGTTCACCCATTGTACAGCGCAACGGAACTTGTGGGCGCTTTATACATAATAATAATAATGAAACCTGTTGGGTATCAAAAAATAAAGTGTTGGTAATGTGTGTAGGAGGCAGTGAAAGTGCTTGCTCCCCAATTGTTCAGATGACGCTCTTAGTGCTTCGCCTGGTATTACATGAAGCAATCCATAGCTCCACTTTAGCCACTGTATTGTTGAGGCCAGGCTCCAGGTTGCTGGAGACTGAGCATGTCTGTGAGTAAAGCATTAAGTAGTGATGCAGGACCTGGCACCCATGTGCTCCAGACACAATAACCTTCTTAATCATCTGAAGTGGTAATGGTTCATACAATACCCCTTTTAAAGCTTTTGCAGCATACCGTTACAGTCTCCATAAGGCACAACCATAATGTCATGAGTTAAAGGACCACTATAGTGCCCTGAGGGTGCCCCCACCCTCAGGGTCCCCCTCCCGCCCGGCTCTGGAAAGGGGAAAGGGGTTAAAACTTACCTTTTTTCCAGCGCTGGGCGGGGAACTCTCCTCCTCCGATCCTCCTCTTCTCCTCCCATGCGGCTGAATGCGCACGCGCGGCAAGAGCTGCGCGCGCATTCAGCCGGTCACATAAGAAAGCATTCTCAATGCTTTCCTATGGACGCTGGCGTGCTCTCACTGTGAAAATCACAGCGAGAAGCACGCAAGCGCCTCTAGTGGCTGTCAATGAAACAGCCACTAGAGGATTAGGGGGAAGGCTTAACCCATTCATAAACATATCAGTTTCTCTGAAACTGCTATGTTTATGAAAAAATGGGTTAACCCTAGAGGGACCAGGCACCCAGACCACTTCATTAAGCTGAAGTGGTCTGGGTGCCTAGAGTGGTCCTTTAAGGTTAACGGCAATCTCAAATTTGGCAGTGCCTCTGAATTCCCTAGAAAGAAATAGCTGTAGCCATATTTTAACAGCATGTTTGCTGGCTTCATCAAGACATACATGTTAATCTGCACTTACAAATCCAAATAAGATAAATCCAAATAAAACCTCTCATTGCTTTATATCTTAACACTGGCTTGGGTGGAAGTAGAGCCAAAACACCCTTAAGTTGTAGGTACTTTTTCTTTTTTGTAACAGTATTATTCATACTCTCAAATGCCTGGAGGTGGGCCTTTTAGTCTGTTTTCAATCTCAATACTGATGTTTTGTCTTGTAGGGACTTGAAAGTCATTACCACGCACTACAAAACAGACTGGCAATCGCAGGCCGTTCTGACCCAGGCGATCCTGGTAAGATATACCATTTTGATCTGAACTGTGATCTTGTCAAGAACAACTAATTTTAATCCTTTATTTTAAGGGCATTTTTTCAGTGGGCATCAAACAAACTAAAAGGAAAAAACATGTCATTTTATATGCATCATAATACTTGTTTAAGTGCACTTTTTTTTTTTTTTATTTAAACAAACTGTCTTTAGAACTGCTTTTCCCTCTGTATTTCATATTGCCCTTTATTGCAATGTGTGTGTGTCTATATAATATGTATAATGCCTAATTCCTCCAAGATACTATTGCTGTAAGCAGACCTTATTTTACTTGCTTCCCATGGCATCCTTGTCTTGTGTAATAGTCTAGAGAAATAAGTCTGCTTTACTTTGTGACATTGTGTTTAAAGTGTTGCTTAGTAAGGATTAAAGATATGTCTATTATCTTCCAGTTTATACACCACTCTGCTTTGATACTGTATGTCAAAAGCTGTATTGTTTGAAAGCATACTAGAAAAAAAAACTAAAACAATTTCAGTAATTGAGCCATACTTCTTTTGTGGTATAATTTGTCTCCTACAAATCAGATGCTTCTGGATTTATGAGCTGTTTTATGGGCTTACTTGCTTTCATTTAAGGTTTGACTTACTTATCAGCAGAAATAAGTTGTGAACAGGAAAACATTGTGACCAGCTGTTTAGAATTTGAGCTGGAAAAAGGAGATTTTTCACGGAGTTCAGGAAGCCAAGTTGTACTTCACAGGTAGTGAGGAGACTGGTAGAGCAGTGTGTGTACCATACTTGATTCCTCTTATGCTATTCTGCTTCAGGACATAACTCAATCAGTTTGAGAAGTTTTATATTAATAAAGTCCTAGAAGATGTGGGTGCAACAAAATACATTACTGTCATTGATAGACAGGGCCGATATAAGTCAATGATTTAAAAATAAATATATATATATATATATATATATATATATAATTTTTTTTTTTTTATTTATTTTTTTTATGAAATGCTTTTTGAGGAAAAAAATCTAGATAGTTTTCTATTTGAGATACATTTTATGGTCCAAAGGTTATCATCATTGTGAAATTGGGATTTGTTTTTAGTTATGTACATTAAAACTGTATATTCATGTAGTGTTACGTCCAATTTGTTTGGTACATTAAGTCTAATAATCCATTGGTCAATGTCATGCTTTCACAAATATTTTGGACAGTTTTTCTATCATAAATCTATTATTACAGACACTTGGACTTTGCATTCTCAAAACTGTGCATTTGTGTCAGCAGAGATAGCATATCTCTTCTTCACAACAAATATGTTATAAAATACATTTTGCTGAGTTTAGAAAAATACCTTGTAATAATCACATTAAACACAAATAATAAAAGTAATTGCAGTATTCTAAAAATGAAACCTTTTCATCGGGTTGTAAATATTAAGAGTTTAACAACCAGCAAAATTAGTCTTTACATAGAAAAAACAAGATTTAAATTCAGTCTTATTGACTAATAATTTAAATTGTCATTTAAATCAAATTCAGTCTGGCAAACCAAATGTCATGGTTTTGTTCTTGAGGGAATCCAATCTTGCATGCTGTGTCACTAAGCCCTGAAATTGTATGGCATTTTTTTTTTTTCAAAGTCTACTTAGGCCTTCAATTTGTAATTCCCCAGTTGCATAACAGCAGGTCTTGGTTTAATGTATTATCCTGTTATCCTTAAAATTGTTGGCTTTTGGCATGTCTGATGTGGAAAAGTTCTTTTAAGCATAATGAAAGCATTATGTAAAACAATATGGTAACAAGTAGTAATTAGCTTTGTTTAAATGAGAACTGTACATTTGTAACATCTGCATTATTAAAAATCACCACCTTTAACTTGTATTAACATTTTTTTCATTACAAAATAAAAATTTTAATTCTAATTTTTATTAAACATTTAGCAAATTACATCATAACCCAGTTCAGACAAGACTTTTCTATGCTGACTATCAGTTACAGAGGACAGGCCTTATAAAAATGATTAATTTTATTTTTCACACCTCACTAATACATATTTGTTAAAAGGACAGAAAAGCAAACACCTTGTATAAAAATTCTGTAAAGTGACAATCTCCCTTAAAAGAATGTGTGTAAATCCTAAAGGGACACCATAGGCAACAAAACCAATTTAGCTTAAAGAAGCAGTATAGTGTCAGGAATATAAACATGTATTCCTGACACTATAGGTCTAATAGCACCATTTAGGTGGCCAACCCCCTTTTTCCTCGTTAAAAAGGTATTTCACTCATTGTTTTTCCAGCGCTGCAAGTCTCCACCACAAGCTCCAGCTCCTTGACTGAAATCATGCTCTATACATCAAAACTGCTTCATTAAAGGATCATTATAGTGCCCTGAGGGTGCCCCCACCCTCAAGGTCCCCTTCCCGCCGGGCTGGATGGAGAGGAAGGGGTTAAACTTACCTCTTTTTCCAGCGCCGGGCGGGGAGCTCTCCTCCTCCTCCTCTCCTCTCTCCTCTCCTCCTCTTTGGCTGAATGCGCATGCGCGGCAAGAGCTGCGCGCGCATTCAGCCAGTCCATAGGAAAGCATTCACAATGCTTTCCTATGGACGCTGGCGTCTTCTCACTGTGATTTTCACAGTGAGAAAGGCGGAAGCCCTCTAGCGGCTGTCAATGAGACAGCCACTAGAGGCTGTATTAACCCTAACATAAACATAGCAGTTTATAGAAAAAACTGCTATGTTTATAGAAAAAAGGGTTAACCCTAGATGGACCAGGCACCCAGACCACCTCATTAAGCTGAAGTATCTGGGTGCCTATAGTGATCCTTTAAGCTAGAGTTGTCTTGGTGCTTGTAGTGTCCCTTTAATAAAGAGACATAGGATGAATGCTATTTACGCAGATGTTTTTCAATGGTTGCAAAGGAAATTGTTGTGCAAATTAAAATTATTGGGTTCATGGATACTAATAGGACAGGAAAAACCAAACACCTAAGCACTATTGCCTCAGTGTTGGTCTAGTGAATATAAAATACTTCGAGAAATTCAAAACTACACGTCAATTAATGGTACATGGCTGTTTTCACTTTATATTTTATTGGGAGATGCCATAAGTGCTGTGGATTTTCTACTCAATGACCATGATGTTTGTTCCAGTTGTACTATTGAAAGCAGCCAATTCGAATATTGCTTTGACTTAAAATGAGCCACTTAGTGTGTTCGTATGTGTATTTTCTTACATGGCATTTTGCAGGAAGATATGCAGACACTTAAATATTGTATGTTCTCAATCTGCTATTTCAAGTAGAAGTTACTGATAGTAGGGTATTACTGACTCATTAAAGATAGCTTATGGCACATTTTAGTTCCACCCCCCTTGTACATGTGTTTTCTTACATGGAATTTTGCAGCACTGGTACTTACTACTTAAAGCTGTATTTTCCTCCACTCCACAGGACTGGCAGACATGAGGGTGAAGTTTTAGACACTCAGGCTAAAAGTTCAGTAACCCCCTACAAATTCCCTGGTATTTGTCTATCCTTTTATTTGTTTGACAGAAAGTTGACAGGATTTGTTTTATTTTGTGCAGTGATGTGGTGGCCTTTGTTCTGAGGGCAATGGCCACCAATTTTCTATTTGTGACTGTTGTTCTCTGTCTGAAGCTGCCTTAATTTTATTGAAAAAAATTAAAGTCGCACCTAGTGTGTGGTTTATGTCTACCCAGGCAACAGCATGTAAAATAATCGTAAAATTAGTTCTGCAAAATTAATTAGATCTTTCCCTGCGTCAAATGGATCTCCTTTGTACTTGAGAAAAGTAAGCTGCTATAGTAATCAATTTATTGTGGGTGGTTTCCTAAGCTATGTCTACAGATAAACTATTTTGACCTAAAATTTGAAATTCACTTAATTTGAATTTCCTTACCGTTCACACTTTAGTGACTAATCCTGGCTGAATTCTTGTAAAAGTGTCATAGAATACCTTAATATAAATGGTCAAACGTAGCAGTGGTACTTATTGGTGTGCAATAATCCATGGGAAAATAGATATATTTATTTGAGGTTGACCGTCTCAAGTGCTGCCATTTCCTTCCGGAGTACTTTCTTGCATCTTTCTTGAGCCTTCACCATTGTTTTTCTCGCATGCATGTTTGAGAGTGCAAAACACTCTTGAAAATCCCATAAGATCGCCCAGTCCATTATGTGTTGGTAACAAGACCCCATGCGACTTGAGGATGGAAGGTATTTTAGCCAATGACAAAACAGAAAAGATTTGACATCCTTTTATTTAAGTTTGTAATTTAAGTGGCAATATGCACTGGCACTGTATACGTGCGGGGAAAAAAACAAACTTTTGTTAACATGCACATTCTCATTTCCTCATTATCAATGACAGTATTAACTTTTTTCCAGTAATTTATTAACTTATCTTGGTGTCTTAAGTTTTGTTTTCATCATAAACGGCTAGTTTGTCTGTTTACTGAATTTGTAAGCCAATTTAGTGTCCTAAATTTATGTGAACTCACACTCAACTTTCCCTTTCCTGGCTACCCAAAAAAAAAACAAAAGGCCCATTTTCAAATACGGGCACTGATACATTTGAAGAAAAAAAGTATCTAAAATCTTGTTGTTTTTGATTCCTGAATACATTGTTTAAACATTCTTTTTATTCCCACAGATCTTGCAAAGCTACTCACTGATAAGGGTTAAGCGGGACATCGATGTTCTGATTTGTGGAATCTCAACTTAATGGAGGAATCTGATTGAAATATCCCATTCTAACTTGGGGATGCGTATATATAGTCTGAGCTCACTTTGCAGCAAACGCGCAATACAGCCTCCCACCTAGCTCATGATCCACATTAGCACACCAAATGTACAGAAATGTGTGTATAGGATATAAAAATGATTTAGCCATTTAAAAGAGAGCAAAAAGAATGAGAGATGTATTTATTTGTCTTTGACGTGAGGCGTGTTTTATTTTCTTAATGGTTTTATTGTTACAAACACTGTTTAATCTCTTCATAGTTTAGATGGGGTGTGCAAATATTTTTCTCCTTCTCTTCCATTTACAAAACTGAAATACGTGCATATTGCTCATGTTGAAACTTGTCATTGGATACCTATACCCTCCCGCAATTGTGTGGAAAGGTTAACGTGTAACTAAGCATATTAATTATATTCAAAGTCAGGCAGACATTGTAGTCATCCTTTTCTATTACATGAGCACGATATATGCATAACACTACACAGCTAACAAGGCATCAAATTCTTGAAGCAGGCACCAGAATTTATTTTATGTTAAGGGCCAGTAATAAAGTTGCCTGAATGCTTATATCTTTTTGCACTGACATTGCCAAGCTTGTACAAATGCATTTTTACATTTGACTTCCTCTATCTCTTCCAATCCTCAAAATGGCACCAGCATTTCTACATTTGACAACTAACGTTTCCTATAACACTGCCAGCTACAACCTGTCAGACTGAAGTTATGACCGCTTCTCTAAAACTATTCACAAATGTTGCACAGCAAGTGGCTTTGGGACCAGAACATGCCAATTTGCTCCATTATTTTTATATAAGAGAACAAATCACGTGCCAGCCAGTGTTTTTAGCTGGTCTACATATCTTCTTGCTCCGACCACTTGAGGACCTTGCTGTTTAACTTTGCCCTCTATAGAAGTCTGTTCTTCAGTATTGTCGTAGAAAAACACTTTTGCAGACTAAAAGATAATGCAAACCTACAATCGCTACATTCTCTTTGTGTCATGCGTATTAATTTAAGTTCTACTTTTGTAATGAAAGTAACTTTTTAAAAAAAAAAACATGCAACAAGGTATCAATCTGTCTACCAGTTTACAATGTGTATCGTGTTAACAGCCAAAAACATGCATATCAAGTTATTGTTATGCTTACATTGCCAATGTTCACACACTGCTATGACTAACTTTCCAGGTTGCAGCTGTTGGTTCTGTGGACCTTGGAATGCTGGTGTTGGTTGATTAGACTAATGGAAAAGAATTAGTACCTACCCTTTGCACTGTATGGACTGGTTATTCACAGCTCACCTAGCTGTGTGTTTTCCTGTATAGGAAATTTTCAGCATCCTTTCTGACTTTTTTAATATTTAAAAAAAGAACTCATCCTCCATTTTATTGACTGTATACATGATTAATGTATTGTTAACAAAAGCTAAATCCAAGATTTGAGAGTATTCTTTAAAAGAATTGTCATAACATTCATATCCTGCATTTTTATCGTCACTGATGGTTGTCTAAAATATATATATTTGTCCAGCTTTATGTACGTGGAATAGCTCTCTCTATGCATAATAGCTTATAAGGGTGTATGTATCTGTAATGAAATATCTCTCATTTAATGATATTTTTGGAGGGGGCAGTGGGAAATAATATTCTGATATTAAATAAGTTTAAAGAAACATTAGTTCTTTTATTTTCCTACCTGCTGCTGTTTTAGCTTTTGCTATAAAATCCCCAGAAAAATAAACAAGACAATCTAATGAAAATTGTAAAATCTACAGAAGTATGGCTTTTTGTTTTTTTTCTTTTTCTTTTATTGTGAAATCAATGCAGGTCATCTATATAATTGAGTAAATACTGAATACCAAATACTGAAGAATCCTACATCCAAGTTTACATGAAAGAAAGTTAAAGGGAGCTGTAACGTCAGTGGAAAATCACTTATAATTGCATTAACCTTTTTTTTTTTTATGAGATGCACTGTGTTTTTTTTTTTAATTTGTGTTTAAAGATTTAGCAAGTGACATCACAATCCAATCCAGTTCAGTTCAGGCACAGCCATGACACTCATTGCAAATGAGGAGGAGAAACATAAATATTGTTTCATTTCTCCTTTTCTCAGTATGTTTACTCTATGCCGACTGCCACTTTGAGCATCACAATTGAGGGGGTGGCGGGTGAATCACTATTACTACCATAATCAAAACATTTTTATTTCATATGGTTTATGTGTCCACTCTTAAAAGAAACAAGCAAATGGTTCTGCAGCGCTGTTTTACACATTACACAGTTAAATATATTTTGAATGGGAACCGTCACTTTCCAGGAATTTTTCTTTTTCATGTTATGTTTACGTGTCCCCTATAAATTATAAGTAAATTAATAAATGCAGTGTTTGTGTTGAACTATGTACCGATATTGTCTACCTACCATTTTAGTTTAATGTTGCATTGCAGAGAAGAACAAACATTCGCTCATCAGCCTTCAAGTATAATTCAGGAATCATTCTCTCACATGAGAAACATTTATCTGCAGGGCTCCGTTATGTACCACTAAATCCCAACAGATCAGTTGAAAATTAAAGGGAGAGAAAGAGGGATGTGATGTCATTCTTGGTAGTGCAGAGATTAATCAGTTTGCTATAGCATTTTGAAAAGCCCTGTTTATTACAAGTAGATGATTTAGCTGCACTGTATGTAATTTTAGGAAGTTATACTGGGAATAATGAAATCCGAGTCTTTACAGACACCCATAGACTGAGTATTTGACCATTTTTATTTATCTATGTCACAACCAGCTGTATTAGAGGAAGCTGTTACTTCTAACAGCCGAGCTAAGAGTCCCCCTAGTACGGGTGGGGATCAAAATGTAAGGAAGGCAAGACAGGTTGTGGTGGTAGGGGACTCTATCATTAGGAGAGCAGATAGGGCAATCTGCCGCTCTGATCGGCTCAACCGGACAGTTTGCTGTCTCCCAGGTGCTCGGGTCCGGCATGTTGCTGACGGAGTGGATGGATTATTGGGAGGGGCTGGGGATGACCCAGCGGTCATGGTCAATGTTGGTACCAATGACAAAGTAAGAGGAAGATGGAAGGTCCTAAAGAACGATTTCAGGGAATTAGGTAGCAAACTTAAGAAAAGGACCTCCAAGGTGGTATTCTCTGAGATATTACCTGTGCCACGCGCTACAGTGGAAAGGCAGCGGGAGATTAGAGAGGTCAATGCGTGGCTTAAGTCTTGGTGCAGGAAGGAGGGTTTTGGGTTTTTAGAGCACTGGGCTGACTTTGCGATTGGGTACAACCTTTATAGTGGTGATGGATTGCACCTAAACGGGAGAGGGTCTGCAGTGCTGGGGGATCGGATGACTAGAAGGTTGGAGGAGATTTTAAACTAGTAGTGGGGGGGAGGGTCATAGCAATCTACAAAATGGAGATAGGACAGAAAGGAGATGGGCTTTAGCACAGTATAAGGGGGGTGGAGATGGGGGAGGGGCAAGCTCAGAACAGAGAAGCTGTGTAATGTTGAAAATTCACAAAATATACAATTGACACATAATATTAAATGTATGCTTACTAATGCAAGGAGCCTAAATAACAAAATGGGGGAACTAGAGGCATTAGCATACACTAAACAATATGATATAATAGGCATAACTGAAACATGGTGGGATGAGACACATGACTGGGCAGCTAACTTAAATGGGTACATGTTATTTAGGAAGGATAGGAAAAACAAGAAGGATGGTGGGGTATGTTTGTATGTCAACCATGATTTAAAGCCAAATGTTAAGCAAATGGAATGCGAGGAGGATAATGTGGAAGCTTTATGGGTAAATATCTGCTTGGGGGAAAAGAAGGGAAACCAACTATTGGTTGGGATATGTTATAAACCACCTAATGTTAATATTGACGAGGAACAACAGCTGTTTGAGCAAATTGAGAAAGCTGCAAATCTGGGTAACACTTTAATTATTGGAGATTTTAATTACCCGGATATAAATTGGGACAGAGGGACTAGTACCTCAGCAAAGGGAATTAGGTTTTTAAACTTGTTAAATGACACCTTCATGTCACAACTTGTACAAGCACCAACTAGAATGGACGCTTGTCTGGACCTGGTTTTAACAAACAACATTGATCTTTTGACCAACATTCAAGTAGGTGAGCACTTGGGAAACAGTGATCACAATATAGTGTCCTTTGAAATAAACTCAAAAAAACAAAAGCACATGGGGAATACTAAAACATATAATTTTAAAAAGGCCAATTTCAATAAGTTAAGGGAAGCTTTACAATATATTGACTGGCATAAACTCTTTAGTGAAAAGAACACTGAGGATAAATGGATCATCTTCCAACAAATATTAAAAAGGTACATTTCTCAGTATGTACCGTTGGGAAATAAATATAAAAGAAACAAATTAAAACCAATGTGGCTTAGTAGAGAAGTAAAACAAGAGATTACAACTAAGAAAAGGGCATTTAAAGCATTTAAATCGGACAAATCAGATGCATCTTATAAAAGATATAAGGAAGCAAATAATGCGTGCAAAAAGGCAATTAGACTTGCTAAACTTCAAAATGAAATAATGATAGCTAAAGAGAGCAAAACCAACCCCAAAGCATTTTTTAAGTACATAATTCTAAAAAACAAACAAAATGAAAGTGTAGGTACACTAAAAACTGAAACGGGGGTGTTAGTTAATGAAGACCAGGAAAAGGCAGGAATTTTAAATAACTATTTCTCCTCCGTATATATTAAGGAAGAACCCATGGCAATAGATGTGCAAATGATTGCTACTAAAAACTTGCAGAATAATTGTAATTGGTTAACTCAAGACAAGGTGCTGCAGCAACTAAAGAAAGTGAATATAAACAAAGCTCCAGGGCCTGACGGTATCCATCCACGTGTACTTAAGGAACTAAGTGTAGAAATAAATGAACCTCTGTTTTTAATCTTTCAAGATTCTTTTCTTTCAGGAAGTGTTCCGGAGGATTGGAGGATGCAGATGTGGTTCCTATATTAAAAAAGGGTTCAAAATCCTTGCCTGGAAATTATAGACCTGTGAGCTTAACTTCTGTGGCTGGTAAAATATTTGAAAGGTTATTAAGGGATAATATTCAAGAATTCCTTGAGAAGAACATGGTTATCAGCATAAATCAGCACGGTTTTATGAAGCACAGGTCATGTCAAACTAACTTGATTGCGTTCTACGAAGAAGTAAGTAGAAGTATAGATCAGGTTGTTGCCGTGGATGTTATCTATTTGGATTTTGCCAAGGCATTTGATACAGTTCCACACCATAGATTAGTGTTCAAACTCAAGGAAATCGGTCTAGATGAAAATGCTTGTTCTTGGGTAGAACATTGGCTTAAAAACAGAGTACAAAGAGTTGTCATTATTGGTAAATTTTCAAGCTGGACAGAGGTGGCAAGTGGTGTCCCTCAGGGGTCTGTTCTGGGACCCCTTCTATTTAACATGTTTATAAATGATCTTGAAGACCGCATTGAAAGTCATGTTTCAGTGTTTGCAGATGACACAAAACTTTGTAAAACAATACAATGTGAGCAAGATATTACTTTGCTGCAGAGGGATTTAGATAGACTGGGGGACTGGGCACTCAAATGGCAGATGAAATTTAATGTTGAAAAATGCAAAGTTATGCACTTCGGCGTAAAGAATACACATGCAATGTATACCCTTAATGGAAGCGAATTAGGGATAACAACACACGAAAAGGACTTGGAATTGTTATAGACAACAAACTATGCAACAATGTGCAATGTCAATCAGCAGTGGCCAAGGCCAGTAAGGTATTGTCATGCATGAAAAAGGGCATTCATTCTCGGGACAAGAATATAATTTTGCCTCTTTATAAATCACTGGTAAGACTCCATATTGAATATGCTGTGCAATTTTGGGCACCTGTTCTAAAGAAGGATATTATGGCACTAGAAAAAGTGCAGAGGCAGGCTACAAAATTAATAAAAGGAATGGAACATATCGGCTATGAAGAAAGGTTAACAAATTTAAACCTATTTAGTTTAGAAAAACGTCGCCTGAGAGGGGATATGATAACACTATACAAATATATTCGGGGCCAATACAAACCATTGTGTGGAAATCTATTCACAAACCGGACTTTACATAGGACACGAGGCCATGCGTTTAGACTGGAAGAAAGAAGATTTCGTCTAAGGCAAAGGAAAGGTTTTTTTACTGTAAGAACAATCAGGATGTGGAATTCTCTGCCTGAGGAAGTGGTTTTATCAGAGTCCATACAGATGTTCAAACGGCTACTAGATGCATACTTGCAAGAACAGAATATTCAAGGATATAATCTTTCAATGTAGGGTAATAACTGCTTGATCCAAGGATAAATCTGACTGCCATTCTGGGGTCAAGAAGGAATTGTTTTCCTAGCTTGTTGCAAAATTGTGCTTCAAACTGGTGTTTTTTTGCCTTCTTTTGGATCAACAGCAAAAAACAAATGTGAGGTAGGCTGAACTTGATGGACGCAAGTCTTTTTTCAGCTATGTAACTATGTAACCACTGTATGTGACTGAAGTTGTGTTTTTGCTCCTGTGTTAAATAGTGCAGTATCAGGAATACCTACCTACACAGGGTTTTTGAAAAGGATTAGCAAATAAAAAATGTGAATTTATGTAATTTTATTTGTTATATAGCAACAAATCCTATATTTGTTTGTATCAGGATAATAGTTTATCCAGCACGCAGAATAGTATCACACCTAAAGACTAAGGATAACTTCTTACCGGATCTTAGAATGGCCGGTCTTAACGTACCAGAGAATAGTCAGAATACTTGACGGGGTCAGGGACACAGAATGAGACACAACGATGGGGGAAGCCAAAAGTCAAGGATACCAGAAATAAGGGAAGTCAAAATAAAGCCAAAGTCAAATACCAGAAAAACACAGTCAGGAACACACTCTTGGAAAAGCAGCTGGTGGAAACCACGACAGGGCTCTGACTAAAAGGTAATTTGGGTTTAAATAACCCTCTTGAGGCTGTAATTGTCTGTCTCTGGCCTCTGACCCCAAAATGTGCGTGCGCGTCTATGCCATGACGTCGCACGCATGTTGACGCAATCTTTGTTGGCGAAGGTACGTTTCGTATAAAAGCCGGAACTGAAGTGGCCGGTGTCTCTAGGAATGTCGTACTTACGTAATTGCTGGGGACAGGAAAGGAAGGAGATCGGGCAGCGGTTTGCTGCGATCAAGATAAGTATACAACATCTCTGTCGGTGTGGCTGCTACCTTTATGTGCGGCCACGCCGGCAGGGAGTTGTGACTGTTTGCTATCTATGCATCCTTTTGTTTTACATGCGTGCGGAGTTAATATTTTTAAAGTAATTAGTACTTAGTGACGTTAGGCTAAATAAAATAGTCTAAGAACAACAAAACAGGCCTGTTCGTTCTGAAAGTAAATAACGAGAACAAACTTAGTGTGCTGTTTTGGTGAACTCTGATGGGAGTGGAGCTAAACCCCAAATCAACTAGAGTCACTCTTATATATCAAACAAAAACAGGAATTAATTTAATTAAAAAAACAAATATACTAAACAACTAAAATACTGTTTTATTAACATATGGTGATCAAACCTGGAAGTGTTTCACATATACAAATGTTGCATCGATTTCTCCTCATGACTTCCCAATACTATAGGTGACCTGAAATAACTACTCATGATTATGTGTGACATGATTTGCCTGGGGATGGTGAAATAGCTGATCTAATAGCGTAGTAATTTATAGAATTTATTTTAAGTATCATTGTGCCTGTGCACATTGATGTCTGTGGAGGAGCCCACTGGAGCCTCCATAGACAACGCTTTTTTTATGGCTTTATAAAGCTTGACAGTGGTAGCTAGTTCCATATTTCTATTAAATATAGGAAAAAACAGAAGACAAAATACTCCCTATTTTGTCGTATAACATCTTTTGAGTGCATTGGAATAACAGTGAAACTCTAACACAGTCAATGTATTTCATAATCATTTTATTTTTATGAAATTTGTTTGTGGGGTGGGATGACAGAGCTCAAGTGGTGCTCAGGCCCATGTGAGTGCGGACTGTTGTGCTCAATACTGTAGTTGTATCATGTTTTACTTGAATGGCCAGATTATTATTTATATAGTGCCAGCAAATCCTGCAGCGCTGTAAAATAAGTGGACTAACAGACAAGCAGTTGCAAAAAGACAAGGTGCCGAGGGCCCAGTGTAAACTAGCTTACATTCTAAGGGTAGTGGGTAAAATTACGTGAGAAGTAAGGGAAAGGTATATTTCATGCAATGGAAATGTAGGTTGCTCGAAGAGTTTGCAGTGAAGGCTTTATTTTTTAGGTGATGCAGTTGAAGGAGAGAAGGTGGGCTAGTGAGGTGTGTGAAGTGAAACTTTTTTCAGTGTTTTTTGTTTTTTTTAAGGAATGGTGGTTGGGTAAGAGTGTAAGGAATTGTGTAGAGCGTTCCAAAGGAACGGTGCAGCCCTAGAGAAGTCTTGAAGTCAAGATTTGGAGGTGCGATAATTGGCAGAGTATAGTGCTTGCATATTAGTGACTACAGGTAGACAGGAGCAGTGTTATAAAAACGATGTTACAATTTGAGTCCTATGTCTTACGGAAACTAATTTAAGTACTGGATGGAGGGGAGAACAGGATGATGAGCCTTGCCATTCATTATTGACTGTAGTGGGAAAAGCTGGGAGCCTATACAAACATTTGGGTAAATATGAATAAAAGAAAGTGATTAGAGGTATCCATGTAGGTTAAAAAAAAAAAAACATTAAGCAAACCTGCTGGTTATAGTAAAAAAAAACAAATGGGGAAAAACAGGAGAGCAGAAAAAAACAAAACAGGTTACACAAGTTATGGCAAAAACAGGTAGCAGGTGAAATATAAATTATTAAACAAAAGATGGATAAATAGAATAAAATCTTGAGATGGTGCATCAGATGGCTACCTGGCACTTATGGCAGTTGTACTGCTGATTGGGTCCTGAATAATACTCAGTTCTGTAGCAAAATAACTTGTAACTCAGGCTAGTGCTTATTACAATGATACGGCTTCTGGATCTCTGAGTTCTGTGCAGTTCTGTTTAACACTAAAAACTGTGATTATGAAAAAATAGCTAAAGTGATTGCACTTTATTTTGCAGCAATCAGATAATGCATTTGTAAAATGTCTTTGTTCTGCTGCACTTTAAATTGTTTGTCAATCCTGAATATATGTAGTGAATATAATTGCTTAGCTTCCATCAGTCTGTTGATCAGTACAAAAATGCATGTGAAAAAAATATATATACATTAGTAATGCACAAGGTTGTTTGTAATAATTTATTCTCATGTTAAGTACCTTTTCATACTAAAATTACCACTTATAATTGTAATTATGATTGGGAAAAACATGTTATATGCCTTTTTATGTTTACCCAATAGAGGGGAAAATACTGTGGTTATTGCAAACGTTCAATATAATTCGCCTACAAAAGAGGATTTTTTTTTTCCTTTACCCAGTGAAAGTGTTGAAGGTAAACCTCATATGGCATAAGTGATGTCCTTTTGGGTACTCTGTAAACTGCTCAATTCCACAAGGGTTTGTTGAGTACACAAAATAGAGTATCTTATAAACAGGCATGTGACACATACTGCGTCGGTAACCTGCACAAACTCTCTCCTATTAATCGCTAGTATAAGTAGTCCAGAGTAGCATAATTCAGTGTTTCCCAACCCAGTCTTCATGGGCCACCAACAGTCCAGGTTTTGCTAGTACCTCCACGAGTATGTTTTCCTGGCACTATAGTGGTCCTTTGACCCCTTAAGGACTGGACTGTTTTTGCGATGTTGTACATTTGCGACCAGGCATATTTTTACACTTTTGTGGTGTTTGTGTTTGGCTGTAATTTTCCGCTTTCTCATTTACTGTTCCCATACAAATTATATATTGGTTTTTTTCAGGACAAAAGGGGCTTTCTTTACATACCATTATTTATATAATCTCATGTATTTTAATTTAAAAAAAATACAAAAATCTGATGAAAAATTTAAAAAAATACATGTTTTTTGACTTTTACTTGAAAAATCTTTTACTCATCTACAAAAGCGAATGAAAATAACTGCTAAATAGATTCAAAATTTTGTCCTGAGTTTAAAAATACCTAGTGTTTACGTGCTTTTTTGCTTTTTTTTGCATGTTATAGGGCTATAGGTACAAGTAGGATATTGCGGTTTCAAAACATACATTTTTAAAATTTATCAATAGTGACATTGTAACACTATTATCTGTCATAAATCTCTGAATAACACCCCACATGTACATATTTTTTTTAAAGTAGACAACCCAGGGTATTCAATATGGGGTATGTCCAGTCTTTTTTAGTAGCCACTTAGTCGAAAACACTGGCCAAAGTAAGCATTCATATTTGTTTGTGTGTGAAAAAAGTAAAAAAACTAAATTGAACGCTAATTTTGGCCAGTGTTTGTGACCAAGTGGTTACTAAAAAAGACTGGACATACCCCATTTGCAATACCTTGGGTTGTCTTCTTTTGCAAATGGTATGCCATCATGGGGGTAATTCTCATTCCTGGGCTACCATACGCTCTCAAAGGCAACGTAACCAACCTGGCCATTTTCAATGTAAAAATATTTGACCCATATATTTGACCTTGTAACTTTCAAAAATGCTATAAAACCTGTACATGGGGGGTACTGTTTTACTCGGGAGACATCGCTGAACACAAATATTAGTGTTTAAAAACTGGAAAACGTATCACAACAATTATATCATCAGTAAAAGTGCTGTTTGTGTGTGAAAAATGCAAAAAAGTAACTTTCACTGACAATATCATCACTGTGATATGTTTTACTGTTTTGAATCACTAATATTTGTGTTCAGCGAAGTCTCCCGAGTAAAACAGTACCCCCCATGTACAGGTTTTAGGGTGTCTTAGAACGTTACAGGGTAAAATACAGTGCTAGCAAATTAAATTCTCTGGAATTTCGGCCTGGGTTGGCAGGCAGGTCCCTCAAATTGCAATCAATAAAATTACTGAATTATGTAAAATATTACATAAATACGCACGTAGAATTTAAATATATATGCATATTTATATATTTGAAGTCTACGTGTATATTTATATAATTATTTATGTAATTTTGTATATGGACGTATGTATATTTCTTATTATTTTTATTTATTTTTATATACATAGATATATATACAAATTCATTCTAAGTGTATTTTGATATAAATATTAATTTTAAAATACAGTTAGAATTAAATTTCATATAGCTATATAATTTAAAAAAAAAAAATTATTTAAAAATTTTTTTATTTAATTTAAATTACTTATTATTTATATTTTATAATAATATATATATATTCAATATATATAGTTATTATATATATTATATATATATACGTGTGTAATTTAATTATAAGTGTATTTTTATATTAATATAAGTACATATTAATATAAAAATACACTTAGTATGACATTATATATATGATATATAGACATATATTATATAAATATAATATATGTCTATATATCATATATACACATATATAATTTTTTTTATTTTTTTTATTAACACTAACTTTATTTTATTTTCTGATTTTACAGTTGCAGGGAGACTGCCTGTCAGCACAGGCAGGCACACATGGACACCCATTGTGACCATGTGATCGCTGTGTTAAGCGATCACATGGCCACAGGGGTCCTAAATCAGTGTGGGGAGACTGTCTGGGCTGCAGGCAGTCTCCCCACAACTGGAGCAACGCTGATCGCCGCCGGGGGAACGACGGCGATCAGGTAAGTAGCTCAGACCGTTAGGACAGTTCAGGACCGTCATCGGTCCTCAAGGCAAAAATGCCGATGACGGTCCTGAACCGTCCTCGGTCCTTAAGGGGTTAAGGACTGAGCCAAATGTGCACATTGTGATCAAAACGTAAACAAAATCTGGGATTTAACTGTCTGTTCAACCGTAATTCACCTCTTTCATATTAGGTGTTCCCCTACCCAGTCTTCATGGGCCACCAACAGTCCAGGTTTTGCCAGTACCTCCACGAGTATGTTTTCCTGGCACTATAGTGGTCCTTTAACCCATTAACGCAGTTACGGCGTACTATGCCGTCCCGGCGTTAATGGGCTTAAACGCCTTCATGGCGGCATAGCACGCCGTGGCGTTCAAGCCCACCCACGTGTCCCAGATCCCTCCCAAACTGCAGATCACGGTGGGGGGAGCTGCGTGGCAACCCAGGCAGGTCCCCTGTGGCCAATCCGTGGTGATCTGCAGTTTGTGATCGCAGTGACAACCAGTCACTGCGATCACTGTTACAATGTGTCAGCCAATGATTTTAAATCACTGGCTGGCACATTGTCTCTGCCCCTCTCCTCACCTCAATTCGATCTGAGAGAGAGAGCCAGAGAGATTGTTGCTGGAGAGCCCTGTTGGAGAAAAAACTGTGTAAAATAAAGAAAAAGTAAAACAAAATAAAAAATTAACCCTTCCAGTGCTGGTCACAGCATTTAACACTGTGATCAGCCTGTTTAGGGATTTTAGTACATTTGTACTATTATTATTTTTATTTTTTTAGGGTCAAAAATTTTTTTTACATTTTTTTTTTTACCCTTTGTCAGCCTCAGCAACCCAAATCACCCTCAACCCTTTCCCAGATGCCGTGATCACTGTACTGTGCAGTATCGCTACTGTACCTTATTGTACCAGTGATCACTGTGATCAGAGGGCTCTCTGATCAGGCTGACTTTTTTGGAGGGTTATTTTTATTTTTTTAAAAACAAAAAATAAAATAAAAATGAACCCTTTCTCTACTGGTCACAGCAGCCTAAACTGCGATCAGTATATTTATTTTATTTTTTGTGGGTTTTTGAGGTTGGTAGTTGGGTGTTAGGCAGGTAGGAATTTTGTAATTCCCCCTTAGATTTTTTTTGATTAATTATTCAGTAGTCCCCCCTAGAATGGCACGTCGCTACTCGGCCGAGGAGGCGTACGCCATTCTGGCAGGCAGTGATACTGACACTCTACAAGACAGTGACACTATCACTGCCTCTGACATTGAGGCTATGACTGACTCCTCTAGTGATGGTGCCCCACCACCACCAACAAGAGGACGCTCAGCAAGCCCAATGCCAGAAGGAGACTGGGTGCCCCCAAACCTGACGGCCCCAGATATTCACCCATTTATGGCGACCTCTGGCATCACTGTTATGGTGGATGCTTGGGAGCCCCTAAAATATTTTGATTTGTTCATGTCAGAGGAAGTATTTCAGTTATTGGTTGAGCAAACCAATTTATTTGCCAACCAATATCTGACTGCGAATCCAGGGTCACCTTACAATAGGCGTAATATGTGGCACCCCACGGATCTCGCAGAAATGCGCAAATTTTGGGCCCTAACTCTAGTTATGGGCATTGTCAAAAAGCAGAGTATCAGGTCCTACTGGTACAAGCACACCATCCTGGCTACCCCTCTTTTCCCTGGGGTTATGAAGAGGGATCGCTATGAGCAGCTGCTGCGTTTCCTCCACTTTAACGACAACACACTGTGCCCCCCAAGACACGACCTATTGTTTGACAGGCTGTACAAAATTCGGCCCCTAATTGAACTCCTGTCAGACAAATTCTCCCAAAATTATATTATTAAAGAAAATATTTGTATAGATGAGTCCTTAACCCCTTAAGGACGGAGCCAAATGTACACGTTGTGAACAAAACAAAATGTAAACAAAACCTGGCATTTGCGCTACATGTCTGTCCAACCGTAATACACCTCTTTCATAGTAAATGCACCCACCCTTATTATATATCATTTTATTCAGGGGAAACAGGGCTTTCATTTAATATCAAATATTTAGCTATGAAACATAATTTAATATGAAAAAAATGGGAGAAAATACGATTTTATTGGATTTTTTTAGTTCTACATGACAATTAAACGGTCAGTGTCATAATACTGTTTGCTTTTACTGCAATAAAATACACATATTTGTATTCAGCAAAGTCTCACGTGTAAAACAGTACCCCCTATGTACAGGTTTTATGGCGTTTTGGGAAGTTACAGGGTCAAATATAGCACGTTACATTTGAAATTGAAATTCGCCAGATTGGTTACGTTGCCTTTGAGACTGTATAGTAGCCCAGGAATGAAATTTACACCCATAATGGCATACCATTTGCAATAGTAGACAACCCAAGGTATTGCAAATGGGGTATGTCCAGTCTTTTTTAGTAGCCATTTGGTCACAAACACTGGCCAAAGTTAGCGTTAGTATTTGTTTGTGTGTGAAAAATGCAAAAAACGCCAATTTTGGCCAGTGTTTGTGACTAAGTGGCTACTAAAAAAGACTGGACATACCCTGTTTGCAATACCTTGGGTTGTCTACTATTGCAAATGGTATGCCATCATAGGGGTAATTTTCATTCTTGGGCTACCATAGGGTCTCAAAGGCAACGTAACCAATCTGGCGAATTTTAATGTGAAAAAAATGAAACGCAAGCCTTATATTTGACGCTGTAACTTTTGAAAACACCATAAAACCTGTACATGAGGGGTACTGTTGTACTCGGGAGACTTCACTGAACACAAATATTTGTGTTTCAAAACAGTAAAAAGTATCATAGCAATAATATTGTCCGTTTAATGCTGTTTGTGCGTGAAAAATGCAAAAAACGTCACTTTTACTGGC